TACTAATCACGTGGGGGCCAATTTGATTGATCAGTTAGTTTTATTTCGTTATCTATGACCGTTAGCAGTTATCTAACATTTATTTTATCATGGCTATCGCAAGAACTCTACGTTAGGCTTAGAATGGAGAAAACCCCATTTTTGTAGCTGCAAGTTGAGAAAAGCTATTTCAGTTGTCCTTTAAGCAATTTTTCACTTTTTAGCGTTATTCTGGAACTGCTCCATATATCTCTCACATCCGTAACCATAACAACCGTAACTTGAATACATTTAGACTATATGTAATGAAAGTTTGTAGATATATTGTAATATTGTTCCTCTACAATCTGTAGCAATTTCATTTCAGAAAATCAAAATTTCTCAAGATAAGAGTATTTGTATCTTTACTTTCCGGACACCCTGTATATATGAGTCATTACTGCCTTTTATTTCCAGTTTTTGTTGAAAACATGACATGAATTTCAAATAATTACAAATTAAATCTGTATTGAGATCATCTTAAAAACAGTAATATTATGTGGCAAATCACCTTCTTGCAGGTGGTGACATAATTAGAAGTTCCTTCTCAAGAAAGATGCTATATCAATACCCTGGAGACATTGGCCTAGATCTATTTCGACAAAACTGAATAACTCGTCTTTGAATTATCAAAGATTTTTACAAAAGTGGAAGACATTTTGAATTAAGCATCCATATACACAGGCTAGCATCGAAAAATTTGTCTGCTGTGACGGAGCATGCTATTTTGCATAGAGACACTAAAAAACTCATACAATTTATTCTTTTACTCATATGTTTCGCTATACCAAAGAAAATTACTTACTCCATACAATGGATATATCATTTGCGGGTAACTGTAACTTCTGTTTGAAGTCCAACAACGCTAAGAGTAAAACCTATTGAAAACGGCGCTGTGGTATCATACTCCAAAATGTACCATTTCTTTTATTACTTTTTAATGGTATATTATCCTGTAGTGACACGATATTTATACTTGTTTTCAACATTACTTTGAAGGTATTAATGAGATCTTGATGTATTGGGTGTTTAAATTTTTTGTCTGCTGTGACGGAGCAGTTTTTACTGAGAACTACATTAAGAATTTAAGATTCAAATTATATCTTTTAAAAGTACCCTTAGAGGAGAGAACATCTCAAATAACTTTCCTAAATTATGACAAGTAGTCTGGGAGATCTGGGGTAATGTAATTCTGAGATATAAAAACGACCACTCATTTTCGGAGGTTTGTACTGAAATCAACATAGATCAACAAGGTGTAATCTCATTATAATATTTCAATACGTTTTCGCCAAGACGTGTTGGAATGTCGTAAATAGGGCTAATATGAATTTATTCGAAAAAGCGCACAAACATCCTGCATTCCGACAGATGTATAACCTTTTACCACATAATATTACTGTTTGAAGATGATCCTTATACAGATTTAATTTGTAATTATTTGAAATTCATGCCTCATTGTTTTGCATAGTCTAATAAAAATATTTTTAAAAAAGTCTTAAAGAGACTGGGAAGGTTTTTCTGAAATTTTGTCCTGATTTTCAGCCCTTTCCACATCTGTTTTTTCAATGTTTGATGCACCAATGTGGGCTTTGTATAAAAAAAACTCATACCTCATACCCACCACCTACGTGGAACATGATACAGTCATTGAAGGGTTCAATCTTAAAGATTATTAAATCTCAAAATAGCTCAAATTATTAACATTTCTACAATTCCGGCTTTATTATATGACTATACAGATGACAGATCCATAAATAAAGGCATATGGATGCATTTTAATGTGTAATGACCCGAGGGCGCCCCAAGGGAATAAATAACTAACGACCGCGAGCATAGGTCGAACAAGCCAGATACAGAAACTGAAATGGAAAGTGTGCTAAATTCGATGCCCCGAGTAGGAATCGAACCCAGCTGGGATGTAGTAGCAATTTGCTATCAAGGGTCGTTATAAATGCAACTATAATTCATCATAAACTAAGATTTAATAAAGTAAGATCTTTAAAATTGAACCCTTCAAAGATTGTATCATGTCCCACGTACGTGGGTAGGTGGGTATGAGGTAGGTTTCTTATACAAAGCCACCAATATGTTGCACTTTGAGACACAGTTTTGAGACACAGTTAACCTCTAAAATATGATTCATTTGGGATAAAGTGGAAAACAATATTTCCCATGTTATTTTCCCATAGGGAAAACTCATGTGACCCATTGTTTTCAGCTTAATTTTGGTCATCCAAAATTGATATCTTTAAACCCCCTATGAATCATATTTCCATTTAAAGATGTTAACCGTGTCTCAAAACTCAACATAGTGATCGATGCAACAAACATTGAAAAAACAGGTGTGGAAAGGGCTGGAAATCGGGACAACATTACAGAAAAAACATGTTGATGTGGTGTTTGCACCTTCCCTGTCTTAAAGTCCAAATTATTTTATAATCTCTATGTCATAATATACTGTATAAGTGGTATTTAATCCAAGTGGTTAATTTTCCGAATGTTCAAATTTCATCATTTTCCTAATTTTAATTTTCCTAATGACAAGAAACCTCCCATTGGATAACATTATAAAGACAATATTTCCGACATTTAATTTTCCGAACCTGGCAAAAATTAGGAAATAGGCAAATTAAATGATTAGGCAAAATTACCACTTCTACAGTATACCGTAAATCAATGTACATTAGTGTCCCTTTAAGATATGTTAAGTCACGTGACCATAGCAGTGACGTCATTGATCAGTTCTGAATAAATTACAGTTGTAGTTGAAATGTTGTCTTGTTTCTAGTAAGTTCCCAAAGAATACTAAGCAGTAAGACACTCTATGACTGCTTGTCCTGGAGTTAATACATTGGCCTAACATATGCACCTGTTCAAATCCTCAGAAATTAGCCAAAATCCAATATATGACTGAAATCTGTTGCGATACCATCCATGGTCCTTTAAAAGAAAGTTATTTCTAGTCAAATAGAGTAGTTATCATTCTCATCAATACATCTTTGAATTTTCTAATACACATAATATACTTTAAAGTTTTTAGTCACCCTTTCCTTTGGCATTTGCGCTTATATATTTGCCTTGAAATCATTCGTGAAACATGTGGTTTGACCTTCATGGAAATTTGCTTAATTTTGACACACCTTTGTTTAACTTATACTGTCTTTAAGGCTGCCTTATCTGAAACCCTGAAGTACCTATGTTTCAAATGTTTAAACAATCAAGTCCCATCTTGCCTTTATTTCAAACTCTAGTTTCCAGACTCGAGTCCAAAAAATGAATTATCTACATGGAAGTTTGTGAAGTCCTTTATTTCTGAAACTGTTTTCAATACTTTTATTCCACATTCTCAATTTTGCATCAATTATGTTTCAAGGAATTTTTTTCCTGGCTCACTATGAAGGATTCAATTGACATTAAAATAAGTCATGGGAAAGTAAGTCATAAGAGGAAAATTATCGTATATTGTATTTCACCTGAACTTTTGTAAAATATCGTAAATGGTATAAGAGCTGTGAAAAATATTGTATATGGTATAAAAGGGGTGAAAAATATTTAAGAGAGCTGAAAAATATTGTATATGCATTTCCAAGACCCTTTATCTCACCCATGTACACCCCCTCCTCCCCCCCCCCTTTAACTTCTCTTTGAAGTCCAATAATGTTAGGAGGAAAAGCTATTGAAAATGGTGCCGGAGAATCATATATTGGGTCTCTTTAATTTTTTTATTAAAAAATAATGTTTAATTATTTTGTCTGTAATATAGCAGTTGCGAATGTAAACTGTGAAACTAACTGAAACTCAAGAAGCCTAGGAACTCTCCAGGAGGTAATATCAAGACTATCACAATAAATATATATTTACAATTTACGTCATCAGTAACCTTATAAACACATTATTTATTATTTACATAATTAGTTCCCTTATAGACATATTATTTATAATTTACATCATTAAATAACACAAAAATACAATAACACCAAGTCCATGAGGTAGCAAATTGATTTACGTCATTAATATACAAAATTCAGTCAAAGTAATTTCATATTTGAAATCTACATGTAAAACTACATCTATAAATATCATATGGTTTCGAAAATTGTTTATTAAATTTAATTCTTTTTATATGTGACTTCTAGTTCGGGAGATCTTTTCTTGTATTGGACAGATATTTTCTTTTGATGGACATATTTTTATTTGTAAACTATTAGATACATAAGGGTGATATGAAAATTGAACCACTAAAACAGATGTAATTTTAGTTCAATGGAACTTTCTAATATACCAACTATGCTATCTGACCCGAATGAGCCACTTGGTGGTGAAACTGGTATCTAGCTACACGCATCTGAGTTATTGTGACTATCAGAAAACATTTACAGCCAAAATAATAATATTCAAAAGTGGCGGATGACAATTTATCTGTAAAAAATTACACAATCCAACGTTCCCTTTTGAGATGCATCTTATTTGTCTTGTAGAGTCAAATGTAACTGGTGTATCTAAATAGAATTAGAGTAGATCTAATATTTAAAGCACAGCTCACAATTTTGTAAATATTCTTTCACCAGATTGTCCTTGTGGCCACATTAATGAAACCATAATTCATGTATTCTTCTCATGTCTTCTTCGATGACAAAATTATGTAAGACTAATACGCGATGGTCAGTATTTCCCTCAATGAATCACTTCAAGTGGGACAAATTTTCATTGGTCCGTTAATTAACTTGTGTAAAAATAGGCAGGAGAAATTCCACTTCATTTTAAATGACCATGAAACACTCTCTTATGAACAAAATATTGATGTTTTGAGGTTAAGTGCAGTGTTGATCAGGAACCTTGTTGAGGGACCCCAGGTAGACTAGTAGTGACCTACTATAGTAATTTTATTAATGCCAAAGTGGCTTATAGTGGCTAAGAAGCTGATAAAAAGTAAGATCATGTGTTTAATTTATCCATCAGATCATACATAATTGCCATACCTCAGTTCTTGGAGTTCTCTCCATTCTTTCTCTTTCTGCTCAGTAAGTTTCTTCAGGTCTTCTTCTGATATAGCAGTCTCCATTGCTTACTTTGTCTTTATCTCACCCATGAAGAGCGTCGTACCCATAAGGTCATCAACTATGTCTATTAGCAGTATTGCCACCTGCAATTAAATGATAAATATACAGGGTGCACATGGCCCAAAGAATGTGACTCACTTTTTTACGGGAATCTCCACTAAAAATTTTGTTTTTACGTTTTCTCCCATAAACACTCCTGTAAACTCTTCTACCGTATTTCTCTTAAAATCTCCCGTAATTTTTTGTAAAATCTTCCGTATTTCTGCAGTAAAATCTCCCGTATTTTTGCTGAAATCTACCATATTTTTTAGAGGAATCTTACAAGTCTGTCATTTATATTATCGGACTCTACCTCTTTCTTTTACTTTCAGTTTCGTGGCCAAGAAAATGTATAAATCATTTGTAATGTAAAAACTGAGCAAAGAAATACTCATAATACTTGTTCTGGGCCACCTTCCATGTAAATAAGCTATTCAATCATCAGCCTTATTACTTAATCATTTTTGTCATATTGTTTTATTTTCCAATTGCATTTAACTAAACCATTCTTAATGTTAAACACTGGTGATCCACTTGATTACGCTAGTTACCCAAACGGTTCGTTTCGGTAACAAAATTTCGGAACGTCGAAGGTACGGTTTTTCTTTTTTCCTTATTTCACGCATTGTAGGTAGAATCCCCACAACGTTTTTTCTCACAAACGTATCAGTATCATATGTTTAAGAAAATGCACATATTTGCGAAGAAATAGTTCAGAAGACAACAGAATCGTTGATTTAATTCGTCACTTAAGTTACATTTAACAACAGAGACAGCGAGTCTGTACAAAACATGTCACATAAAACAGTTTTAACTCTTTTGCGCGGTCAGGCGAGTTTTGTCGCCACTACGCTTTATGGCGTATGTCAACCTGGAGTCGACATGCTATAGGAAAGTTTTAGCAGACTTCAAAAGATGTCACCCTTGTATTGCAGTGCCAATATTTGGTACTCAGGAAGTGATTTAAAATTAATTTGGCGAAGCAAAGTTTCTGAAAAAAATTATTTTGGTCATTTAATTGATTTATTTTGTAACAAATACGAATCTGGAAGTGATCAGACATTGTGGTATTTAAAAAGGGCTAGATTTAGACGGGTAATGATGATCAAATCGCTGCTATATTCAATTATTCTGGCAGTGAAGCCTAATATTTGAAGCCTCAGAAAATGAAACTCAGAACGATGATGGGCCTGACAACTCTGTGCCTGGGGGACAGGCAAGGGAAGCTGCTGGGGTACACCAAGGTAATATTTAGTACGGGTCTTATGTTTTTTTGCAATACATAATGTTTAGGATTTTTTATCATCAGTGCCTCTAATTGTGATAAGTTCATACGTTAACATGATGATTTATACATATGTTTCCAATTATGAGTAAAAATTTGGTGGTGTTATCTCTGTTGGTTTAGGTTTTATGTCACTTTCAAATTGGCAGGCATGAAAATCCTAATTTTTAGTAAATTAATTACCGCTCAGTAGCTTTTAAAAATAATTAAATACCCCGAAAAGAGTTAAACAATTTGTCATAACCTATATTCATATCATATTACAATATTACTACGCTCTCTTTAAACATCAAAATAAGTATAAGTGATAAGAGGGGGAGAAACCCTAGGGTTCAAAGACACTGGCAGATTAGGGGGGGGGCCTGGGGGCCCGGGCCCCCCCCCTTGGGTGGGCCCAGAAAAAAAAAATTGGGCCAAAAAAGGCCTTCAGGCCCCAAAAAGTGGACCTTTTTGGTCATAACTTGGCCTTTTAAGGCCTTATTTTTTAATTTCAGGCCAAATTTTGAAGAAAATGGGCCTCAAAATTTCAAAATTTGGGCCCACATTTGCGTTTTAGGGGCCCAAAATTTTTTTCGCGCAATCGATGATGTACGTCTATAATGTTAATCTGTATTGAGATGACCCATTGACCTGATTGATCTAAATCGACAAACAAAAATGGCGGATTCAAAATTTTCTAATAACACTTCGAATAATATTATGTTAATTTCTGGCATGTAACCAATATCATAGCTTGTTATTTCACATCAAGATAAAGAAAGATGTAAGGAATATCCTTGCATCTATTAAAACATTTCTTCAATGTGTTATATTCAAAAACTAACTGGTGAGAATTTACGCAAACAAATGTGGTATGACGGGGTGTTCTTTTACGCAAGAGACGTAATATGTCTGTCATCGCTAAAGCTCTGGGGATTTCCCTCCTCTTCAGTAAGTACAGGTGAGAATAATTGAGTAACCACAGTGTAAAACGGGGCTTTGTTAAAAAACCTCCTACCTCGTACCCACGTACCCACATACGTGGGTCGTAATACAGTCTTTGAAGGGTTCAAATTTTAAAGCTTTAAAACATTATTCAATGCTAGATTTTGATTTTGGATTTGAAACTATATTTATTCTGGGTAGCTCTATCAGTACACAAAACTGGTCTTCCTAGATGTAATAATGCACTCACAGTAGCCTATTGATAGATGTGAAATTCATCTTGTCAAAGATTGATAGATATAGGGTCATAAAATAAAGCCAGCGTTATTAATTTGAGTTTTTTATTATTGTTTGTCTACATAGCGACATTCAAAGGCTCGTCCAATAGGGGAAATCTTAGTTTTAAATATATTGGAGATTTGATGAATGGAATTTTGCGTTTCATTTTATTTAATCACAGCATGAGTTAACGATGATTTTAGTATCAGTGATCGTAAATTCAGCCCAATTGAATGATGGGGAGAGAAGTAGATCTACACCCGTAAAGACAAGATTGTAATTCAATCTAAATGTGGCAATATAGTGACACCTTTTTGACGACTTTCTTAAATTCCCCAGCAAATTTTAAAAAAAGATTTTAGTACACAGATTGCTTGTTTAGTGAAAGAGCATTTAAATTGCGCAATTTTGATGAAGGAGAAAATAAGATAAGCAATTTTGCACTGGCCTTACACTTATTTTACGAGTAGACAAATGTTAGACATACATGTAGGCCTACGAGTGCATTGAATCCTTCAAAGACTGTATCATGCCCCACGTTGATACGAGGTAGGAGGTTTTTTATACAAAGCCATCAAACGGCAGCATTATAATGCCAATTGTGTCACACAGACACTACTATAAAGGATAAATAAGAAGAACTATATGTTTGGCACATACAGCGGGGTATTTTCAGGACAACTATAGATCTAGGGGAGATCCGTCAAACTTTGACGTATGGGGTTACTTCGTCATGGGCTAATTTGACCATGAAGTTATTTCGACCATTGCCGATAATTCAAATTTCCGGGGTTGGCCATTTTTGATTAAGATCTCGTCTGTTGATTTCGATTTATTTTTTAAGGTTTTCAAAAAACAAAAATGACAGACTACGTAAATCAGAAATATAAGCCAATGTCGAAATAGCCCCACTGTCGAAATAGCCCCATGACAAAGTAGCCCCATACGTCGAAGTTCGACGGATCACCCCTACTAGATCTGTTCCAATCATTATCATGGCTTTCTGAACACAGCTGGCTCAAAAGCTGAGGGTAAGTTCAAATAAGTGCATTGGACTTTACATGAGCATGGGGCATTGCCGTTAAAACATCATGTGACTATTCATATTTAGTTAACGTGAGTTATAATGTAGCAAATATATAGGGTATTACAAACGCTACCCAGCACAGCGTTTAGTCAAAATGGACTCGATTTTTTCTCTTCAAGAATTTTCAATTGAACTTCCCAGAACTGTCAGCTCGGTTTACTCACTTCAAGAGCCAATTTAGATTTTGAAACTCATGGCTCTCTAACGGAGAAATGGACAGCTGATAAATAGTGACCTTAAAAACATGAATTAAGGTGATCAGCGGCTTACTTTTGTTCTCTAACTATGTCATACATCATTATCATCCTTCCGTGCAAGTATTGGAGCGCTGAAGTGCTTCCTTTTTCGATCAAGACTTGTAATTGTTAGTCAAGTGAATGTTTTTTCTGCCAAATTCCAATATGGCGTTTTCTGCTTGGACATTTCCGTAAATCTAATTCTCAAAATTCATTTCGTTAATTGCGTATCTCACTCTAGGAAACCTCCATATTGGAAATGGGTCGAAAAAACATTCCCTTGATGAACAATTAACAAGTCTTGATCAAAAAAGAAGTACTTCAGCAATACTTGCACGGATGGATGATACTGATTGACACAGTTAGAGACCAAAAGTAAGCCACTGATCTCATTATTCATGTTTTAAAGGTCACTATTATTCATCTGTCCAGTGCGCTGTGGGAAAGCTATTATATCAAAATCCACATAGCTTTCGCAGGAAGTAAAGCTCGGTAGGCCTATAGAGTAAATCATGGCTGTGGTTAACCAAACTTGTCTGGCCCAGTTATCTACTCCTGACTAGTGTTGTCGCGATGTGCCATAATCGTACATCGATGCATCGGCAATTTTCAGTAGTAAACATCGATGCACATCGCGATGTACATCGCGATGTACATCGAGAAAAAGTCTGAGAAAAGTGCACTGAAATACCGAACGCTAAATAATGCACTAAAATACCGAACATCCGGTACATCCGGGAACTTCTAGAAAGGTGAAATGAAAGTAAAGTAATTTTTTTAGATTAATGGTACATTTCGGATACTGTAGATTGGGTTAATTTGGCGCCCGCTTTAATTTGGCGAATTTGGTTAAATTGAAAAATTCGCCAATATAAATCTTCGCCAAAATTTAGAATGAATCCCCGGGAATTATCTAGGGTATTTCGTCCAGTGTATTAAGGTCATTTCCGGTTTAGTTTTTTCCAAAAATATGAAAAAAGTCTCTCATAAACTGGCTCAGAACTGGTCCGTCACTCATTAATACTCAGGGAAAAACTAGAAGGAAAAGCATGGTAAAGTAGCAGCATCGATCAAGGTGCAAAATGTAAAGGATGATCCCACAAAAATGTACAAACGTGGTGAATATCGCTAGTGGTCCTCAAAAGAACATAGCCAAACATGCCCATTTACATGGCAATTCGCAAACAGCGCGGCGCTTAAGTTAATTAAATTTTTTTTGCATATCCGCCAAATTAAATAGCCGCCAATATGCCAAAAATGGCAAAATCGCCAAATTAAGTAGCGCCAAATTAACCCAATCTACAGTAGCTAAAACAGTTTTAAAGCGAAAGAATATCAGAAAACATTGGAAAATGAAATAAGACATGAGAAAGGTAAGCGATTTGCGTCAAAATAAGATAAGAAAGGGTGATTTTTAGCAAATTATTTTTTTTCAAAAACATCAATGTTTTGTTTCAGACATCGATGCATCGCCAGAATCAGCTTTGGCGATGTATATCGCGATGTATCGATTAATCGCGACAACACTACTCCTGACGTCGTAGACTTCGGGAGTAGATAACTGGGCCAGACTGGTTTGGCTAGGCTTAACCAAACCCGTCTGGCCCAGTTATCTACTCTCGATATCGTAGATCTGGCCCAGACAAGGTCTAATGCAAAAAAGGGGGGATTTACTCAGGAAAAAACATGTCGCTGAATCATCACTTATTATTCATTCCCTATTAGCCATCCAACCAAAACATCGGGCTACATGTAAACCCAAGTATTTATTTGAAATAAAGAGTACATAACTTACACGTAAATGTGGTGTTTTGTTTGTTATTTTGATGTTGAAATGGGCACAACATTTCGTCAATATTTCGTCAGTTCTCCGCACCGAATAAAGTCACGTGATGTGACGTAACACGAGTGTGACGCGATAATTTTTTAAACTTTCATGGAACGAAAATACATTTCCCGAGAATCAATACATTCCAAATATTACGATTTGTTCAGCAGATTTCTTATCAAAACGTAGATTACTTTATAAAACAGACGTATCTGTGTTGTATTTAGACTGGAAAGAAATATGGTGGACATTAAATACGATTTTTCAATTTGTTGAACTGACCGAATGTAGTACTGAACGAAATATGCAGCCGAGACTTCTCGATATTCTACGAGATCACGAACAGATTGCAGAAGAATTTCTCTTTTTGCTGCGTTTAATCGTTCCGTTCTTATTCATTAGCCGTCATCCAGCGATGGAAACCTAATATAAATACAAAGTTTGATACAAGGAACAAACACGTAAGTGACTTTTATGATGTTTATTCATTTATCAGCACGTATTATACATTGAAAAACCAGTGTGTTTTTTCCGGAGTAAATACCCCATTTTTTGCATTGGACCTTGTCTGGCCCAGATCTACGAGGTTGGGAGTAGATAACTGGGCCAGACGGGTTTGGTTAGGCTAGGCTTACTCAAGTCTCTAGCTTACAGCTAGTTGTAACTTCATTGATTTCGCATGAACTCGTATTTCGTATGAAAAAAATTGCTACACGCACCTAGAAATCATTTTTAATAAATTTTATAAATATTTTTAAGAATATTAATTATATTTAGGATGAAGCGTTGCTTGTCTGGATTTAGATATTTCAAAATTTCTTTTCGGAGTTTGACACATGGTGAAATGGCTGTGGTTTGTGAAAAAAAACGAAGTGTCTGGAGTACCTTAAAATTTAAGGCTCTTTAGCCAAAATGCTAAAGAGCCTTAAAATTTAAGGCTATTTAGCTGTGAACATAGTGTTTTGGCTAGAGAGCCTTTGTGTTTATAATCCGTGTTTATATTGTTTTTTATTGAAGTTTTTGTCATCTAAACAATAAAACAACACTCTCGAAAGTTTTTCAACCCACAATGCCACTTAAAAATTTCACACATGTATATCACTATAGAGTTGCAAAAAAATTAGCCCCATCATGGAATAACACTCTGGTATAGTGGTTAGCGTGCTCGCTTTTAACTTCTGCGGCGTGGGTTCGATTCCCCGACGGAGCACTTTTTATTTTGATTAACAAGCCGGAAATTTGTTCTCTGAGGTCCGGAAATTATGTACACAATTTTTTCTAGAATTCTTGGGCTTGCTCCATCGCTCAATCATCAATGTTTAATGAAATTAATCACTTGTATTGGCTTTGCTATAGTCACGAGAATACAGGGAATCCCATTTTAAGATGGCAAAAAGTATGATCTGAGGTATGATGAAGACCTTGGGATGAAAAAGGATCTTGTTTCTTCTAGATCAGCACATCTTGACGCAGTTTATCGTGAATGCAGGGACATCAGCCCAGGGACATCACAGAATACACTTCCAAATCTATTGCCCATTAGATTTCAATGCTGTTTCTTAGAATTTTTCACGTGACGAGATATTTTTGCAATAGTTTCCTCACAAGTGAGAATCTAAGCACATGAGATAACACAAAGAAAATTGGAGATTTACAATACAAGAGGTGAACTGCCGATCAAGGAAACAGCGGCTTACACAACAACATTTTTATCCTAGCCTCCACTCCCTCAATAAATGTCTATACATCAAAATCTTTACTAAACAGACGTTTCGATTTATAGTGGATAAAATGGTAATAACATTTTTCTGGCTATATACGTGATTGCCTGCATGGTCTTACACCTTTTCTGGTGACATATGCTCGATATATGCATGAACGGTCCGTTCAAAATCGATGTTTGAACCTTTGAAAAGCCAAATTTAGACTGAGGATTGAAAAGGTTCTGAGAACTTTTATTTCTCTCGGTAGACCGGAAGTAAATTTATGAGTCGAGCAAAAAGTGATAATGTTTATTTATGAAGTGGGGAAGTCAAAACAGTACTAATAGAAGTCATAGTAAGCATTAGAAGATCATTTAAATAACCATATAAATAAGGCGTATAAATAAAATCGACGGCAAAGAAGAAATGACTGAAATCTTTATATGTTTTCTTCATCTTTGCGGACCTCAGAGAAGACACTTCCGGTTTAATAATCAGTGATTTTATCGATCAAAAAATTTTCTCTATGAATTTGTCCGATTTCCGCTTGATATGGTATGTATATGTGTGCTGATTATTAAATTACATAATAGGTTGGGTATAGAATAGTCAAAGTCTTTTGATCTCGTCCCAGAAGCAATGTTTTGTCATTTCTGTCACCTAAAATTCCCTTAAGGCTCTCTAGCGAAATTGGCTATCAAAATGCTAAAGAGCCTTAAAATTTAAGGCCCTTTAGCCGAATTGCTAAAGAACCTTAAAATTTAAGGCTCTTTAGCATTTTGGTAACCCATTTGGCTAGAGAGCCTTAAATTTTAAGGCTCTCCAGGCGCGGCCGAAAAAAAAACATTTCCAACTTTAAGCTCTGAACTAGGGCTCGAGAAAAAAAATTAGGTACTTTATACAGGCATGCATATGATACATCATATTTGAAACTCTTTACAAACTGATATATTTACCTAATTGTTGTGTTATTCTAAAGTATAAGTAAATTTATGCGCTGTTTACATTTTTGTAAATTTAAAATGACCTCGTTTTCGGTTTGATAATTTATTGTAAACACAAGTCAAAAACTCTCATTTTGTCTAATTTTATGATAATTTATGCATTAAAATCAAAAAGTTTAATCTTATATTCAAAAAAGGTTATAGATCATAAAATATATTATGATCTGACAATTTCTCGATAAAAAGAGATTTGGTTGTCATGGGAACAGCTTCAAAATGGCGAGCGTAGTTGGCATGGAAGATCGGGAAGATTCCGTAATTGATGGCCAGCGTATGTCCTTACTAGATATGGTAGAAGAAAAAAATAGAGTTAATAACAAAGTACGTATTTGATCTCATGAAACTGAAACACTATAACAATTGTTCGATACCCTCACATCCATCTAACGCCTCATTATGTGTGCACTTCCGGGTTTAATTTGCTTCTTTTCAGTTTTTATGCTTGTTGTAGGCAAGGCATGCACTCTATAGTTCAGCCATTAGTTCGACAAGTTAAACCAAATATACGGCTTTCTAGACAAAGTACATCATCATTCCAATAAATCAAATGAATGAAATCCTTAAAAAGTTGTGTCACCCTCATAGGCCTAGGCTAGATTCAGGCCAGATTATTTATAGCCCTAATGAGTAGATCTATACTTAGATCTAGTTATAGTTTATCGCTGCTAGGTCATTGTGACCTATTGCCAGTATTCAGATTAGATTTTAAAACTGAGCATGATAAATCATTGACCCCAATAATATGACTGAATTTGGTGGCTACCTCAGAGCTCTTCTATAAAATTCATATATTATTAGTGCGAGTCCTTCCAATGTTCTGTGAGGGGGGTAGGATCTTGCAAAAATGGTATATCATACTTTTCATTTAAGATTTTCCATGTTTCTATCATATCTCCCCTCTTGCGTCGATATACAAGTGTTGGAAGATTCAATTCTTTCAGTCTTTGGGGATAATCCTTATTTTTCAATCCTGGTAAACATCTGGCTGCATTCCTTTATACAGCTTCAACAGCTTCAATTTCCTGGACTAAATATGGTGACAAGACTATGTTTGCATACTACAGATGGGGTCTAACCATGGCCTTATACAGTTATATCATATTGGTAGAATCTAAGAATTGAAAGGTCCTTGTTATTAATCCCAGTATTTGGTGCCTTTTTTACTACTATCTTTGTGACATATATTGCTTTTCAATTCTAGTTACCATCACTCTCAGGTCCTTCTCACCGTTTCTTGAAGTGCAGTGTTACCCATACTATAGCTGTATTCAGGGGGATCTTCCTATTCTCTATATTTTGTATTTGTCATTAGTTGAATTGAAGTTGCCAAGTCTTGGGTCTACTTCATGTCAGTTAATATATCTTGTACTCACTTCTCTGTTAAGTTTTGTATCATCGGTAAACATAATCAGAGGACTGTTTACTGCTTGTGGTAGATCATTGACGAATATCAGGAACATTTTAGGACAAAGAACAGTCCCCTCAGTGGTATACCCGATGTGATATCGCTCCAAGACAACAATTCTTCATTGATAACTACTCCCTGAGTTTATGTTTATTGACTGTTGTTGCATTTTTTATCTCTTGAAAGCCAATCTTGGCTAATGTCAAATGTCATGTGCTCAACAATAATTATTTATTGATGGCCTTTATAAGTTGATTTAAATGTGTGACAGAATGTTTTCATTTTTCACTTAATAGTTTCATGGACTTTGTTTTTTGCTATTGTTCTTCAATAAATGACAATTTTTCATTGAAATTGTTCAATTATTTTTTAATAGTGTAATATCATGATATTTATTTGACCCAGAGGCCAGAGTCAGTGAACTCTCAACAAGTCATTGCTCTTAAACTATCATGGAGCCAATTTTCTAAGAAGCTCTAAGAGTATAACTACCTTAGGACCCCAGTCTGCCAGTCAGCATTTCATAGTTTTATAACTATCTTTATGATGAAGTCCTCACCTTCTAATTTATGTCACTTTACTTTTGTTGATTCTGCAATAATATAATAATCTTCAAAAAAATAGAAATGTTCCTCCTCTTCCTGTATTTGTCTTTATAACTTGGCGCTACTTAATTTGGCGATTTTGTGTTTTTGGGCCTATTGTCGTTTTTTTAATTTGGCGATTTTCAAGTGTTCCTGACATCCTCCTGTACAGGCAAAATTGAAAATATTCATCGTCAGTGTTGTTGATGAACAATTTCTTCAATATTTCTTGTTGTTTATATACATGTTTTCAATATTTCTTTTTTTATCAATTTAAACAGACCAGACATCTTGATATCTTTTTTATATCTGGAAACGCACCGAATGAAAAACATGTCAAGTTCCTGGGAATTTTAGCGACTATTTAATTTGGCGATTTTTTCAATTCGCCAAAATTTGCCAATATAAAATGCTCGCCAAATTAAAGACAAATACAGTACTTGTGACCCAATCCCCTTATTCTGACATTCACTTTCACTTCTGAGCTCCCTTTTAACACTTTACTGAATGTGACAATTGCACTTTATATATATGCATGTAGGTACCAAAGCCCTAATAACTGTGAAATATATAAAAGTAGGTTCAAAATTCAGCCATTGTCACATCAATCAATGACTGTTTATTTTATTCATGATAAACACACAAAAATCATATTGTATGGAAAGTGGTAACCATGCAACAATTTGAACAGTTCACAAGATGAAAGTGAATGTATAGAAATAATTTCCTGGTAAACATCTTGATTTAAATCCCTTTAGTGTTGTCATGACTATGTAAACTACCAAGAAATCAAGAAAAGCCAAGTATCAATTGTATGATTACCATATGCTATCAAGTAAAACTTGACTATTACAAGGTTACTTGTATTTTTCATGCAGTACAGGCAAAACTGTTATTGACATCATTTATCAAAACATAAACATTACTTAACAAATAAATTCTGATTAAGACAAAATTATGGCAGAAAGTGGTTTGAATAATTCATTTACGACTAGTGGTTTTAAGATAAGGCCAAACACATCAAAATCTCATGTAACTGATTCAACATATGACATTGATAGAGACTGGCCTTTAAGGAGTATGCTTGATTGTAAGATTGAAAGCAAATTGAATGGATTGCATGAAAAGGTAAATTAAATAATATACTGTAGATACACTTATTTTGACACTACTTAACTTGACAGATTTGCTCAATTTCAAATATTGTTGGCTATTTAGTTTGGAGGAATCAGGACTGAAGTATAATTTTTGTCTCATTAGGACAGGTATTTACTAAGATATTTTCTATATTTCCTTTGGAATAATGTAGAATTGATGACATGTTGACAGGAAAAGGGGCCCCAGAAGTTTAATTTCTGAAGTGCATTGAACAAAAATTCCAAACTAAAATCTGAAGGATTTTTAATTTGGCGAATTTTCTGAATCCACCAATCTTTTATATTAAAATGGGAGCCAAATTATACTGTATCTACAGTATCATAACTTATTTAGAAAGATGGCAGTTTAACATTGACACATGGGATTTAAACCAGGATTTAAACAAACTAGATTCTATTCGTTTTATTTGAAAAATACATGTACGAGGGGTGATCAATAAGTAATGGACGCTTTTTTACACTGATACTTTTTATTGACAAATCCCTTTGATTTTCCTACCAGTGATACATCATTCAATTATCTATCAACTCTGAAGATTTGAAGGCAAAATATATAATACATGTTGATATATCCTCATTTCCGTGAAGGAGGTACAGGTACCCCGGGACCGACATTTACGTCACATATTCAGTTTTTAGCCCGTTTGGTAAATTTGAGTTAGATTTGAACTTTTTATATGCAACAAGTGTTGTATTGTTTGAATTTTTTTGCTGACCAGTAACACATAAACAGAGAGTATTGTAATGTCAGAGTGTTGTATGGAAGGAGTTTGCAGGTCAATTTGAGAGAGCAATGTGGAAGAAAGGGGTGGTGAGAGAAGGGAACACCCTACTCCATATGGACAATGCACCTGCCCACAGATCTCAAAATGTTCAGAAAACAATATCCCTGGACCTCAAAATTGAGCCCTTGGCCAATGCACTATATTGTCCACATCTGCTCACATGTGACTTGTTTATTTATATACTACTTATTTCTATAGCGAAATGACGCAGGTTTATCAATTGAACATTGATTAAATAAAACAACCCGTGCAACTGCATCTTGCTACCATGTCAGAGAATGGATTCAGCCTTGTCTCACAATCTTGAGTTAAAAGGATGAGGAATTGTGTACATGTAGCACTTGATGGAACCTATTTAGAGGGCTCTGTGCTATGAATGTGGCATGAATACCACATAGTGATGATAAAATATTCAAAATCAATTATGGCATAACAAAATGGGTTAATTCATGACTATAATGGTTTGTTTTATTCAGCCTGCATTCAACTGCATTGCATGTTAAACAAGCTAAAATAGCTTCAGAATATGTGACGTAAATGTCGGTCCCGGGGTACCTGTACCTCCTTCACGGAAATGAGGATATATCAACATGTTTTAAATATTTTGCCTTCAAATCTTCAGAGTTGATAGATAATTGAATGATGTATCACTGGTAAGAAAATCGAAGGGATTGGTCTATAAAAAGCATCTGTGTAAAAAAGCGTCCATTACTTATTGATCACCCCTCGTATTATATGCTGGTCAGTATTTTGGCTAGAATTTGTAGTTTTGTTTGAAAGCTTCTTTTATATTTTAATAAATTTCTCAGATTTATGATAAAAAAAAAATGGTAAAAATTTATGGTAAAACTTAAGTCACACTCATTCCACTTTTTACCATATTTACAAAATTCTTGACTGAATGAATGTTTGGTATGTTAATACAGAAAAATAAAAATAAATATGACTTATAAAGGACCGTGCACCTTCTTTTTCATTATAAGAGGTATATTTTCTCAAGAAAATATTCCTGCATGTATAAAAATGTTTTCTGACTCATTTTTCAGATCTCCAGCAATATTTATTTAGATATACAGTAAAACTTGTGTATAGTGAACATTTTTTTGCCAAGAAAAAACGTTCACTGTAGGTAGGTGTTCACTAGAGAGAGGGTAATTTATACAGAAGTCAGTGGACTATGTGCGTAGGAATGGTGTCCACTAGGGACAGGTGTTCACTAGAGAGAGGTGTTCACTAAGACAGGTTTTACTGTATAGCACTCTTACATTAAGGTGCATCTAATCGAAAAATATTCTTAATGCCATGTTGGTTTAAAGCAGCACATTTTATCAAACTAAAATGAGTCTTAAAAAGAATAAAAACATAGGCATGTTAATATTTACTTAAAATCTTTTAGCTTTTTACTAAAGAGTCAAATAAAACACCATATTCGTGCCCCCCAAAGATGTATGCCTCATCTCCCAGTAACCATTTCAACTTTGTGTCAGTTGGGGCACTAAAGAATATCCCTGTTAAATGTATGGGAATTTATCCTAGAGTATTTTATAAAATTTGGATCTCTCCCCTGCAAAATTAGAACAAAATAGTAATCTGTGTTCTATATCCTCTTCTCTATCAGAGCAAAAATCACAGAATTGGCTATTTACTTGTACATTTGCCCATTTATATGTTTTACCTTCAAAACCTAGTTTCCCGGTCCGAGCAAGAAATTTTAATTGTGCACTTGCAAAATCAAAATCATTTCTTAAATAATACTGTAAAACTTTATGGTTAAGATCAATAAGCTGTCTATACAGTGTCAAGGAAGACTTTCCATTCATTTCAGTTTGTATCTCAGAGTCGCATGTCTACTGAATAGATGGTTCATAATTTTCTATCAAAGTATTTAAGTTACATTATCAATGCCTTTAAGATCAATCAGTTTAAAGATATCATTTATATGATAATGTTAATTTATCAAGAAATATGATTATTTAATATGATTAAATAAAAATGTTATTGAACACATTTTTCAGAAATCTCTCCTGCGTATGATTAAATAAAAGTGTTATTGAACACATTTTTCAGAAATCTCTCCTGCATATGATTAGGTCAAATTTTTTTTCAGAAAACTCTCCTGCACAGGTTTGTGTTTGTGGCCAAGTTGAACCAGAACAGCACAGAGCAAACAGAAGTAGGAGGTAAATTATATACAGTCTATACCATTCATTAACACTTTCATATATTAACTCTGGTCATTGCTTTGTTTGATTAGGGGAGCCTTTATCATTTACACAGACATAATAAACACAAGGGGGCAAAACATTTAAAAAACATAACAGTCTGCAATGCATCAACAATAGATTTTTATACAAAACCTAACTGTCAGTATAAATTCTGAAAAACGATCCCATGTTTGGTAAGCAGTGTGAAAAGTGCTAACTATAAGATTTAGATTAGAATGCAATTTCTTCTCCATTATTGTCTTTAGAGGAGATTAAGATCAGTATGCAAAGTCTATTGATTGTGCAAGTAGGCCTAATGGTTTTTATTATGTGTTTTTGTTGATGTACTATTGGGTCCAAAATAAACATCGAGGCCCTTTAAGGCTCTAAGAGCAAAGTATGAAATATCCCCAATAGGAGACTGTACCTTGATCAAAGAAAGAGAAGATCTTGTTAATGAAAATGAATCCATTTTTTCAATTTAAATGGATTTTACTTTTGATCTTAATAATTTTAGTGATAAGTGTTATCATATTTGAAAACATACAAAGTTACATTTAAAAATTTCTTAACTTCTTTAAAAATGTTTTAGGCTGGACAGACTCCTCATATGCCAAGATGATACAGGCAAAATTATGAAATCATAGAAAGTAGTTCATATTATGATGACTCATAAAATAGCAATGTCAAAACGTGGGCATTCAATATCTATTCAAAGCCCATGGTCAAAATAATTAGCACCTTGTTTCTACTTTTTAAGGCTCCTGTTGTTATATAATAGTCGAAATCTAGGCAGAGAAGAGAGGATGAGTAATGGGCAATTTAAAGAGAGACCTAGCGATAGGAAAGCACAATCAAGGCCTCCCTGGACTTTTTTGCACATGTCGAGCCATATGACATATTCTATCTTCTTATCAACAAAGAAGCTCCAAATCTGCCGCTTTATGTGCAAATATTGTAATTGTGCTTACCGATCGAATTACTTTTGTCGAAATTAATTCTCTTAAACTGAGATCCCTATGGTATCTGATTGGTCATTTTTGTTTATCAGTATGGTTACGGGACCAAAGAAACTCCTAAAATGACGATTATGGATTTTCTAAAAGAAATTAAAAAACGGCTTTGAATCTGATTGACTACCCGATGTACAGAGTTTGCCTATGCTCATGTGCTCCTGCCATTTGAAAGGGTTTTCCCTCGATTTCCGCGATCAAACTCAATTGTGTTCTGTTCTGATAGTTGGTTGTTCTGTTGATTTTCTCAATATATCGCAAGTGTTATTATACCCATAAATTGGTCTCAAGATACATCTAAGGTATAAGCAATTATAATCAGATTTCAATGATTTTCCGGGGGGGGGAGAAAGCTAAAGCATAGTCTGGCTATATATCAGTAGAAAATTGGGTCTCTTACACCAGTGATAATATCACTGGTAAGCCACAAAGGCAGACATTAGAAAACACATCCTTGGTCATATAAAAATATAACTAAATAAAATGGCAGTTACCAATTCTCATTTTCACAAAAACTTTTGTGATATTAAATTGTCTCGGAGTTCCCTTTTAGTTGATTATTTGATTTGGTTGTTCTCATGTTAGCCTATATGGATCTCATTTTATATTGTTTTTACATTTTTAGAATATTATGATAGCCTTTTCAAGAATCTCCATAACAACAATCAGAATGCAGAGGGTGTGACAGGATTGATGTTGGTGTATCCTCGGTTGTGTGTCCATGTAATAGAGGTAAGATGCCCGTTTTTGGACCTCCTAGTAATTTTATCAATGTATAATAGTACAATAACGTCATTTCTAAGGGCAATATTTCACTATGTTGCTCGCAGATTTGACGTTATTAGTATTATTACCACCGTTAACGACCAGGGCTGAAATAGCAAGAAAATCTTACGCACTGAACCATATCTAATTTCCCGGGGAAAATTGCCGGTCCAGAATATATTCTAGACCGGTCCATATGGACCACCACTATGACGTCACACATCAGGTCGATAAAGTAAAATGAATGCCTTCTAAACTCGCACTAAAACCCCTAGAACTGGCCCGGCAAGGTGGTAATAATTATTTATTATTCTTTGCTCTTTTTCTCTTACATGCACCTCTAGCAGTGGTTTCATCTACAATATGAACTAAATGTTCTTATTAGAAATCTTGGTTGTATGTGGCTTCAAATTGACTTTTGAGGAGGTCAGAAAAAGTACAATTTGAAGGTCAAAGGTCAGTTATTGAAAAAGGTGGGAACATCCTACACTTGAAATGATCATTTTTCCATATGAACATTTTTTACTTATTTTAACGAGGGCTAATTCAGTAATTATAAAAATTTTCCTTGATAATCCAAATACTGAATAAAATAATTTGTTAAAAAGTACACTGCTCTCAAACAGTGCTGTTTTCGAAATCAGTGCTTTACAATGCTGTAAAAACAGGACTGCACTGCACTGTTCAAAACAGTGCTGCTGGGACTGTGTACTGCACTGAGTGTTGTACAGCGCTGCAAGATGATGTTGTGTCTTCCATTATTTAAGAAATAAGGAAAATAACTATGAATACTAGCGAATGGGATGGAGCAGTCAGTATGGTGGAGCAAAATGATTTCATCAGAATATTGAAAAAAAATAGTAATTGGCCATTAAAAACATATATGTCATTCATAAACTGCATTTGCGATGCAACTATCAGCTACCAGCTGCCAGGTGGATTGCCATATAATGACCAACTCATTTAAATAGAATAAAGTGCCTGCCATGCATCCTAGTAGCTGCAAAATAATTGAATCAAACCCAATAGCTGACCTAAATAACAGTTTAATCTGCCTATTTATGCAGCAACCAACACAGACTAAAGTGATGTGTTATTTATTGCAAATAGTAAATTTGGTACATGCGCATAGATGAAAAACATGTTTATGTTGATGCATAGCACATGGAACAGCCATGCTTTTCTCATTATCCCACCAAACAAAGGTCCAGTAGGGTTATAGCTATAAGAAACCATCCATTCATTAGTCTGTCTGTTTAATAACTAAGTTAATAATGTTAATAATCTCTGGGAGGATATATTATGATTCCTTCTTGTAAATAAATTAATTAAAATGCTCCCACAGTGTGTTATGTACAATGAGAACATACAACTGTATACCTCATTCCTTTTCAATACTGCACATGTATAATGTATTGTTATTTGTAATTGTAGAGCTCAACTGAAATGTTCCAGGAGATTCTGAAAGATTTTTGCAGCAATATTGAAGAAGGAACTGGACACATAGAGAATGCCAAAGTTCTCGTTCTTTCTCATGATGTATCCTTTTATTATATAAAACTACAGCTTTGAAATGATACCTATTTAAAATACAGTTAAACTGTAATCATCTCTGGTTTCAAGTCTTGGTCTCAAATCAATGCAAAGTTTTTTGCCCCTTTGTAAAACTTGAGTTTATAGTACAGAGTCAAATGTATGACTAAAGGGCATTTTTGGAAAGTGATTTACAGTTTCTTTGTCTCATATCTTTTGCCATTGGCATGATATATTTCCCCACCATGGAATAGTGACATATTGTTGTAACAGCCACAGCATTTTAGCTCATATTGGTGAGCTCTTTAAATCACCCACTTGTCTTACCATCTTTCTGTCTGTCTGTCCATCTGTCCATCCGTCCATCCGTCTGTCTGTTAACTCATTGATAACTAATTCAAATAGCAAATTCCTAAATGACATTTGAAGTGGTTTTACTTTTAAAATGTGTCTATATAAAATCATCAATTGTTCTTTTACACTGTAGTGGCGTCTCAAAACCTCTCCTTGTTTCAAAATGGCAGCCATTATTATTGCAGAAAAATCAGGTTTTCAGCTCAACGCCACAAGTGTTCCATCAGTCTGCTTTAAATTGTACAGGTACCTTAATTCATAAATAGGTTATCAATTTATTATCATACATGTTACTCAACAAGTATCCCAAGTATTGTTGCAAATATTCAAAATGGCTGCCACTTCAGTTGTAGAAAAATCAGGTTTTTAGCTTTTTTGGTCATAACTCAACAAGTATTCCATTTGCTTGATATTGGACAGTTGATTAATAGTACAATAACGTCATTTTGAAGGGCAATATAGTGAAATATTGGACCGAGGGCTGAAGGAGTGAAATATTGGACCGAGGGTGTTATTGGTATTTTTACCACCGTGAATGACCAGGACTGAAACAGCAAGAAAATCTAGCGCACTGAACGATATCTAATTTCCCGGGGAAAATTGCAGGTCATTAATTGCATTCTTGACTGGCAATATTGCACTAAAACCCCTAGAACTGGCCCGGCAAGGTGGTAATAATATAGCTATAGGCAATCGATAATGTCAACAAGTTTCAGCAAAATAATATTGCAAATTTCAAAATGGCTGCCATTTTGATTGCAGCAAATTTCACATAAAGCTACCAATAAGTGTGCTTGTGAAATTCCCCTGTTCCAACATTTTATTGTAGAAAATGATTTTTATCTATCCAAGCTAATACCCTACCCATGTTTTCAATTTTAGCTTAAAATGATTTTTATCTTGTACACAATTAAATCAACCAAATTTCCCAAAAAATTCAAAACAATATTCTTAGCTCCACTGATAAATGCAATAATTAAATATATTGAAACCTTCCCATGTGACGCTGGTACCCATGGAACTATTTCTATTTGTTATAGTTATGTCTTGTATTAAGTTGTCTTAGCAACAGTTCATAGTTACTGGTAACTGTTTGAATTTCTAGTCAATACAATTGAGGCAATTTGGTTAATTTTTTTTTTTTAGATAAATGTTTATCAAGGCTCCCACATATATGTAAATATTAAAACAATATTTTTAAAAAAATGTTTGGAGTATTAGAGACTGATTCTAAAGCTTTTATGCTTATTTATCATACATGGGTACTATGCTAGGATGCACTTCGATCATTGCATTTTCAGCCAAAAAGTTCCTTGACAACAAAGTCACATTTATTCTTTATGAAAATCGATTAAGGAATGGCCAGGAATGATTGCCCAAAGGTGTGTACCTTAAATTAGCTATAAATGTTTAGATTGTGTAGATTTACATCATTCAAGTTTGTATTTGACATTCATAAGTTAGGGAAATTTATGTTTAAAACAAATGAATGATGATTTGGGGCTTTCCCCCAAAAAATCTTCAATATTCAGGATCATATGTTAGGAAGAAATATGTGATGATCTCAACCATTATCCTGGAAATTATGGTTTCAAATTTGTGTGCCTTCAAAGATGTTGAAGTACATAATATCAAGTAATTAATTATCTTGTACGTATTCTCTGATATGTGAGTATCTAGAGTTGAGTAATGTTTTAAAAATAACATTTTTAAGAAATGTTCTAGAGTTCTAGTTGAATGCCCATGATGAAATACGAAAGTAAATATATTTTTAAGATGAACATTGAACATTTTAAAAATAGTATGCAATAATTTATAAAAAAAAGAATCCTTAACTCAAGCAGATTCCAGTTAGGTTATACCAACAGTGGAATTTCCGCATTTTAGACATTCGGGCGCCCTCTGGTGATGATTATGAGACATCAGAAAGTACATACAAAGTTGCCACTGATCTTGTGATACAACTCCTGAAACTTGGCAGCTACCTAGCCAAACAACCAAAGGTACATTGTACACAGCCAATATAATTCGGCGCCGTTTCGGCATTGAAAAATTCGGCGCTGTTCCGGCACCGTTTCGACACCGTTCCGGCACCGAAACCCTTTGACACCAAAATTTTTTATCTTTCCATTCCATGGGCTATCAACTCTAATTTGCCCATGATCTTTCATATAGATAATTTTCGTTCATGCTTTGAAGATAAGGTTTATGTTGGTTGTCATTGTATTGTATATAATGTACTTGTCTTGTAATATTGTCTCAATAATAATAAATCAATAAGATCAAATTCTCAATCAAATCAAAAATGACAGCTGTTTTTAAGGATACTTGTGTATTCTACTGTATGAAAGACCTGTAGAGATTATTTGTTTTATTTGTTGTTTAGCTCAACTTAAAGAATGCCATGGATTCACTACATGAAAAAGTGCCAGAACTACTGCCACAACAAGGTGAGTGAGCCAGTTTATCTAATAGGCATCCCTTACACAGCCAATATCATTCGGCGCCATTTCGGCATGGAAAAAATTTGGCGCTGTTCCGGCACTGTTTCGACACCGTTCCGGCACCGAAACCCTTTGACACCAAAATTTGCCACCGGACTAGTCAGTCCATTTGGTGTCGAAATGGCACCGAAATGGCGTCAAAAATCAGATTGCATTTTAGGGGAGTATAGCTGGTCTATTTATTATGTCTCCCTACATTGATGGTACAAATCAGTTCCCATGTAAAAAGTCATATTTTGTAACCAGATCAGGTTAAAAATGTTTCATTGTAGTTATAGTTGATAATCTGGAAAGTATGATCCCCTGAGTTGCTGAATTCATGATTTAAGATGAATACATGTACATGTGAACACTACAAATTTCACGATTTGGATATATATCATGTGAACACAAAACATGTGACATCGCAATATCTAGAACAATGCATTGATTAACTGGGTATCTAACTGGGTAACTACTAAATTAAATCACCTACACAAATTAGTGATCTCTACCAACAAAGTCAAACAGTTGCTATGTCTTTGTAATTGATTTTAACAGGGTTTGGAAAAAAGGCATTGAATATGTTAATGATAATAATTAACATGATTAACATGTAAAAACATGATTTTACAAATCGATGTGATACACACAATTACTCATCATGATCTAATTTGGCTAGTCTTGCTTAAAAGACCCTGTACTCCCCCCCCCCCCCTTTATCCTTCTCTCTATATTGCCAGGTAAAGAGAGTGAAGGTGATGGGGGGGGTGGATACAGTCTTTGAGCAAGACTATAATTTGGCATAAGCATTTCATCGAAAAGCTACTATTGCTATCTTATATGTCCTTTTTATTACTAGAATGAAATTGGTCTTCAAACAACTGAGAAATCAAACCTTGCATATACAGGCCCGTTGCCAGGGGGGGGTTCGCAGGGTTCGGGCGAACTGGCCAAAAATTCTTCACCATTTTGAGCACTTCTCGAGTGATTTTAGCCATATTTGGGCCAAGATTGTCAACTGTGAACCCCCCCTGGAAATTTTTGAAGACTGAAACCCCCCCTTGGTAAATCCTGGCTATGGGCCTGATATACATGTACGTATCTTTAAAATATGAAAAAGCAATTTTACAGACTGGTCAAAAGGTACTAAATTTATTTGGACATGGAAATATAAGTAAAAAAACTCCATGCCCGACACATTCATTTTTCCCCACATCTTTTTATATGTATTTTTAGATATAATAGCTTACCTGGTGGAGACTGAGGATAGTTGTATTAGCAAGCCATCAGACTACCTAAATAAGTACTATAGAATCCCGTTCGATGTCTGTCTAGAAAGTGGTAAGTCATTTATGATCATAAATTTTATCAACAGTTATAGTGTGATATTACAATGCGTTTTGCTGTGGACCAGAAGAAGGCTAATGTTTAGTGAATATTTCTGGGTGGGTCATTATTTTTGAAGGAAATAGAAGTAAATGTTATATGCAATATTTTAAGAAATCCTGCCAATGTTTTCCTTACAATTCTAAAGTAGAATTGAGATATTGAATCAAATATAATAGTTATGCAGAAATTCATTAAAATTAAAATGGGGGGGGGCTCTTTTTATTAGCTCACATGGTGAGCTTTTGCAATCACTCACTTGTCCGTCTGTCTGTCCGTCCGTCCGTCTGTACGTCCGTCTGTCCGTCAACAATAGTGGCACGTTTTAAAACCTCTGTCGATAGGATTCCTGTTTTAATTTATTTCTGTTCAACATCAATACAGAAAACCCCCCTATGACTCCTGGTTCAAAAGCTCGCCTATTTTCAAAATGGCCGTCACTTTTGTCTCGCGAAATTCACTTTTAGCCCATTTCCTAGCTAACCTCTGTCGATAGGATTCCTGTTTTAAGTTATTTCTGTTCAACATCAATACAGAAAACCTCCCTATGACTCCTGGTTCAAAAGCTCGGCCATTTTCAAAATGGCCGTCACTTTTGTCTCGCGAAATTCACTTTTGGCCCATTTCCTAGCTTTACAAATAATTTCAGGTGTCCTACATTGTAAAATTCCATGTCAATGTAAAGATTAGATATATGAAATAATTTTGTTACAAAAAATCAGCGAAAAATTGTATCCATTTTTTTATTTTCAGTCATTTTAGTTAACATTGACCTGTCTATCTGACTCGCGAAATCCACTTTCTGTCAATAACAGTGACACGTTTTAAAACCTCTGTCCATAGGATTCCTGTTTTAAGTTATTTCTGTTCAACATGAATTCAGAAAACTCCCCTATGACTCCTGGTTCAAAAGCTCGCCTATTTTCAAAATGGCCGCCATTTTTGTCTCGTGAAATTCACTTTTGACCCATTTCCTAGCTTTACAAATAATTTCAAGTGTCCTACATTGTAAAAATCCATGTCAATGTAAAGAGTAGATGTATGAAATAATTTTGTTATGAAAAATCAGCGAAAAATTATATCCATTTATTTATTTTCAGCCATTTTAGTTAACATTGATTTGTCCATCTGTCTCGCAAAATTCACTTTTGGACCATTAACCTTAAACCCTCTGTCAATAGGATTCCCATTTTAAGTAATTTTTGTTCAACATCAATACAAAAAACTCTCCTATGACTCTTGGTTCAAAAGCTCGGCTATTTTCAAAATGGCCGTCACTTTTGTCTCTTGAAATTCACTTTTGACCCATTTCCTAGCTTTACAAATAATTTCAGGTGTCCTACATTGTAAAAATCCATGTCAATGTAAAGGGTAGATATATGAAATAATTATGTTACAAAAAATCAGCGAAAAATTGTATCCATTTTTTTATTTTCAGCCATTTTAGTTAACATTGATTTGTCTATATGACTCGCGAAATCCACTTTCTGTGGCACGTTTTAAAACCTCTGTCGATAGGATTCCTGTTTTAAGTTATTTCTGTTCAACATCAATTCAGAAAACTCCCCTATGACTCCTGGTTCAAAAGCTCGCCTATTTTCAATATGGCCGCCATTTTTGTCTCGCGAAATTCACTTTTGACCCATTTCCTAGCTTTACAAATAATTTCAAGTGTCCAATACATTGTAAAAATCCATGTCAATGTTAAGAGTAGATGTATGAAATAATTTTGTTATGAAAAATCAGCGAAAAATTATATCCATTTATTTATTTTCAGCCATTTTAGTTAACATTGATTTGTCCATCTGTCTCGCAAAATCCACTTTTGGACCATTTACCTTAAACCCTCTGTCGATAGGATTCCCATTTTAAGTTAATTTTGTTCAACATCAATACAAAAAACTCTCCTATGACTCTTGGTTCAAAAGCTCGCCTATTTTCAAAATGGTTGCCATTCTTGTTTCGCGAAATTCACTTTTTGCCCATTTCCTAGCTTTACATTTTAGCTTTAATTTCAGCTGTCCTGCATTGTAAAAAGCCATGTCACTGTTAAAGGTAGTTGTATGAAATAATTTTGTTACAAAAAATCAGCAAAATATTATATCCGTTTTTTTTATTTTCAGCCATTTTAGTTAACATTGATTTGTCCATCTGTCTCGCGAAATCCTCTTTTGGACCATTTGCTCAAAACCTCTGTCAATAGGATTCCAGTTTCAAGTTACATGTATTTTTCTTCAACATCAATACAAAAAACTCCCTTATGACTCCTGGTTCAAAAGCTTGCCTGATTTCAAAATGGTCGCCATTTTTGTCTCGCGAAATTCAATTTTGGCCCATTTCCTAGCTTTACAAATAATTTCAGGTGTCTTGCATTGCAAAAAGCCATGTCACTGTAAAGAGTAGTTGTATGAAATAATTTTGTTACAAATTATTGGCAAAAAATTATATCCGTTTTTTTTCAGCCATTTTAATTGACTGAGAAACAGATGGCTTGAAATAATTTTGTAACAAAAAATCAGCAAAAAATTATATCCGTTTTTTTTCTGTCACCATGTGAGCCCAGTACCCATGGTACTAATTTTTTGTAAATCTTAGATAACCTTAAAATCAAAGGAACTTCCTGGAACAAAGTTAGAACTGTTGGACTTTTGAGAAAATAGGCAAGACATAGAGTAAAAAATATTGCATATTTCGAAACTACTCTCAACTCAGCTGTATCCCTTGTAGTCTATTTGTAAGTGAGTACGTAGTTACCAGTTTCACCACCAGGTGGCTCATTCGTGTCAGATAGCATGGCGGGTATAGTAGAAAGTTCCTTTTTATTACTTAAATATTCATCAGTTTTAGTGGTTCAATTTTCATATCACCCTAATGTATCTAGTAGTTATGCAAATTAAAACATGTTCAGTACAGCAGTAAAAGAAAATATTATCTGTCAAATACAAGAAAATATATTACACGTTTGTGATTTTATAACATGGGGTCTATGGGGAATCTCCCCAAACTAGAAGTCACATTTTCAAAAAAAAATAATCAAAGTTGATAAACAATTTTCGGAAACCTACATCTAGATGTACTCTAGATTTCAAATATGACATCAGTTTGACTGAATTTTGAATATTTAATGACGTAAATCAATTATTACCACCTTGCCGGGCCAGTTCTAGGGGTTTTAGTGCTAGTTTAGAAGGCATTCATTTTACTGTATCGACCTGAAAAATGTGTAATGTCATAGTGATGGTCCATATGGACCGGTCTAGAATATATTCTGGACCGGCAATTTTTCCCCGGGAAATTAGATATCGTTCAGTGCGTAAGATTTTCTTGCTATTTCAGCCCTGGCCGTTAACGGTGGTAATAATACTAATAACGTCATTTCTGTGACGTCCTTAATGTATGCCATATCATGAATCATTGCTATAAATAATAGTTATTGTAATAGTTGTCCCTAATAATATACCGATTTAAACATTTAGGAATCATTTAAGTATCATCATATTGTTATCAAAATTCAAGAACTGTTGGCACAGTTACATCTTCTTGTGATCTTTGGTAAGCGGAAAACATACTATTACTGAGAAAATTGGAGTTCAGAATAGATGCAGTCCATCCATCTGCCCAAAGCAGTCTAGCACTCACTGTTGCTTTATAAATAAACCTCAAGCACAGCCTAGCCAAAGGCAGATAGAACGATTTGTGTAAATGTGGCTGAAATCATGGGCAAATTTCGCTCAAAATATCACATGATTGAATGAGGTTGATGAAGTTTTGATTTGATTGGTGCGATGAAGAAGGTTGATCTATTTGGTGGAGTGATGTCTGGATGGTACTGTAGAAGATAAATGAGATGGTGCTGGGCTAATGACTAGGACATCAGAATCCACTTCATGATTTATAACATTTGTTTGTGGAATTGTCACCGTCAAAATTTCACTTATGGGGAGACTATGTGATTTTTGCATTTAGATATCAAAAATATATCATGGATGTAACAAGATGTGCATCCCTCCCCTAGTCTAAAAATAAAAGATGTGTACCAAAAATCTTTTATTATAACATACCTATGATGATGTATAGTGCAAAGTGTACACAAGACAGCGGGCCAATATAAGTTTTGAAAAGCCCGCGCCTGCTAACTTTCTGATTGGTCAAGGCGCTGACGTCAGAACCAATCAATCGAAGATAAAACTGCGCGAGCAATTTTTCTAAACTCATTTCAATCATTTTCAAACCATTTGTTTGTCAATTCTATAAGAAAACGGTACTCTCTAACCAGTCTACATCATCATAGGTATGTTATAAATCGTTTATGTCACTATCGTGGCACATATGCCCTCGGTTCTCAGAGATAAATGTCCCTCCCAAGGTCGGGCCATATATCACTGAGACCTCGGGCATATATGCCACGATAGTGACATAACCTCTAAATACTTATCTTATGTTTTTCATAAATAAGAGGTGTAGACCAATAATGCATGGCAGATAATACGTATGTTAAGTAATTCTAATTAAAATTTCATAACAGATGTGAAATGACGTCTATAAAAGATATAAATATACAGTAAAACCTGTCTTAGTGAACACCTCTCTCTAGTGAACACCTGTCCCTAGTGGACACCCTTCCTACGCACATAGTCCACTGACTTCTGTATAAATTACCCTCTCTCTAGTGAACACCTACCTACAGTGAACGTTTTTTCTTGGCAAAAAAATGTTCACTATACACAAGTTTTACTGTATGTATATATTAATTATTTTAATTATCTTCCTTACAAGTATGTCATAAAATGGCTTTATCTTGTAACACATATAATGGTTGTCATAGTTGCAGTTACCAATAATTGGTCAAGACTTACCTTATAAAAGATTCAACCTTGAAAGTTCAAAATCAAACCATTTGCACTATTCCCAATAATCATATTAACCATATTAGAAAGATTACCAATCATTGCATTTCAACTATTTACAATGATTGATTATTCTGGTTGCATTCTATTGATTTTTTGCAATAGTTTGTAGTCATTAAAACCTGATGGTTTCAACCATTTTCAAGCATATTGTGGAATTATTTGGACATTTTTGTAGATGGATTTTGTGTTTACTTATTCCAACTAAACTACTACATAGTTAAGACTCAAATTGCTCAAGTCAGGCAGATTGAATTAACTCCAAATCATTTTTTATGGTATCTCCCCATCTAACAGGCTTGACTGGGATATCAGAATCCAATTCAACTGTTACAAATTATATTATGTATTATCATTAAAAGATGTTTCACATTTAAAGTAAGGTCATAAAACCATTTTCAAATGGTAATATTGCTAAATGGTAATACACCAAAAAATGGTGACATATTGTTATTGCCTCCGTTTTTTTTGTTTTTTTTGACGGCAGTTGGTGGTTGTTGGTTGGCGATTGGTGTCTGTAACAATTTCTTACAACTTCCAATAACTTAACAAATACTGTTTAGACTGACTTCAATTTTTTCAAAATCATCTACATGTTTTCAGAAGTTCAAATCTGACTTTATATTTAAGATTTGACCTGCAATGACATTTTCAAGGTCAAAAAAGTCTTATTTAAACTTGCTTCAAATTGACCAATTTTTTTTCAAAATCATTTACAAGTTCTCAACAGTTTTTGATTTGACCTTCAATGACATTCTCAAGGTCAAAAATGATTTGACCTTCAATGATATTTTCAAGGTCAAAAAGGTCTTTTTTCATCTTACTTCAAATTTTTTTCGAAATCATCTACAAGTTCTCAGAATTTTAAATCTGACTTTAGATTTGAGATTTCACCTTCAATGACCTTCTCAGGGTCAAAAAAGGTCTTTTTTCAATTTGCTTTAAATTGACCAGTTTATTTTTTCAAAATCATCTACAAGTTTTCAGAAATTCAAATCTGACTTAAGATTGAACTCGTAATGTTGTGAGCAACTAGCTGGTGACATTTTGTCATGTTAATGCCTTGTCTTTTGTGCTCAGTCAATGTGGATTCATTCTTAAATTATCACACTGACACCTTGTGAATCAAGATGATATGGAGCTGTAAGTAATCAATGGACCATTTGCTATACAGTATAGATAAAGATTGATAAATAGATGGCAGCATGTGTGCTGATAGGGCTAGAACACTATTTATAATAAAATATTATATAGACAACTGGTAAAATGCCACTTAATTTTTTGATTTTTCCTTTTTGAGAAAAATTGAAATTTGAATAAATGTGCCCTCCACTGTAACTATATTAAAATCTATCACAGATTCATTGCAGTTTCTCAAAATGGTTGCGAACCAATAAAATTTCATATAAAAAGGTTGATTAGATCAATTGAAATGATGATTGTGCAATGGTTTTGTATGCTTGCAACAATGGCTTTTCCTTTGATCTAAAAGGTTGAAACATTGGTAATGAAACCATATATGAATTCAGACTTTCAAGGTTGATATGATGGTAAAAATTGCAATGATAATTTCAGGTATGAATTAAATTTTAAATATTATTGTTTTTCAGAAAAATCTTGGCCTATGCCTACTAGACTGTTTCCGTACAACTGAGTCTGGAAAAAGAGACTTTAAAAACATTAAAATATCAGTTTACATTCTCCATCACCTGGCAACATTACAGGCTCTCTAAGACTAACCATTGACCCGCAACGAAGACATTTTGGCTGAAACAAACTAAAATCAGGGGAATACATAGACTTGATCATCGAAGATCAAATGGCATTGAATTGAGGATATGAACTGATACAACATGGTGGATAGTAAGAAACATAAAACATTAGATGTTTGAAACATGGTGGGTATACGAGTAGACTGTCAGTAACACTTGTGGGTTATGGACTGACATAGAACATAGTGGGTATTAACTAACATTAAACACTGACATAAAATATGATAGGTATGAATTGACATAATAAAACATTGTTGGTATGGGCTGGCAAACTTATGTTGGTATTGACATTGTGATATTGCCTAGTATCCCAACGCCCCAGATTTGCATCCAGGATATGACTATTACTGAAAAAACCAATGGTGATTAGTTTACACCAACGCTGTGCTAATCTTTGCATTTTGATAGAAATATCTGATTATATATTAGGAAATGATACTGTGCACTCAGTGGATCCAGAACCTAACAAGGGGGCGGCCCAAATTTTGAGTCTAGAAAATATTAACGCAGAATGGGTTTTTTGAAAATTCAAGGCACATTTAATTTGACCCAAAAAAAGGTCTGAAAAGGCCAAATTGTACCTACAAAGGCCCAATGACCAAATCAAAATGCTCCAAAATCTCAAGACATGTGATTAAATGTGAGACAGGAAATATTCCAATCGAGTAACAATGTATCACCACTCAAGCTTCACTTTCGTGGATGATACAGTATTACCATTCGTGGAATATTTCCTGTATCACATGCTGAAATGTGTGATCACTGATAATGGGACTGATGTGTAACAGAACCTCATTCTTTGTGGATAGTCTTGCCTCAAGACCCTGGACAACAGGCTGTTGTTAAAGTAGATAAGGTGGTGGGTCCAGGGTCTTGAAGCAAGATTCATACTTTATGAAATAATCAGTAATGTGCATAAGGTGTATAATTTTGTATATATCTTGTAGATAAATATAATGTAGATGTAAATATAAATTATATAGTACTAAATACAGTATAAACTAACTGATTATTTGTTCATTTTGTTAATTTCAAAATTACAAAGACAATTGATGTTATAATGCTTTGCTTAAATTATGGTCAATGGAGGCTACCATAGTGGGTTTGAGTTACACTGTACCATCAGAAGACGTTACAGATCCACACAGTCATGCACCATCCATGGAAAAAACCACCCATTGAAATAGATTTGAGGAGCTATTGTGTGAAATATGTTCAGGCAATTAAATGCATCACTGTTTAACATTTATAATTTTAGAACAACAAAGAATAATAAAAAGGCCTGGTTACATGATCATTTTTGAAAACACATCAGTGCCTTATTGAATTTTAAGAGATGGCAGAAATTTTCAGGTCAAGGGGCCAACTATGAGTAAACCTCTGGTTTATTATTATGTCACAACCAAAAAGTGGTGACATATTGTTGTGGTCTCCCTTTTTTGTGACAGCGGTTGGTGGTTGGTGTCTGTAAGGAATTCTTAACTTGCAATAACTTAACAAATATTGTTTAGACTGACTTCAATTTTTTTCAAAATCATCTACAGGATTTCAGAAGTTCAAATCTGACTTTAGATTTAAGATTTGACCTTCATTGACCTTTTCAAGGTCAAAAAAAGGTTTACAATTGGCAGGTTGCGTCTGTAACAAATTCTTACAACTTCCAATAACAACAAATATTGTTTAGACTGACTTCAATTTCTTTCAAAATCATCTACAGGATTTCAGAAGTTCAAATCTGACTTTAGATTCAAGATTTGACCTTCATTGACCTTTTCGAGGTCAAAAAAGGTTTACGATTGGCGGGTAGTATCTGTAACAAATTCTTACATCTTCCAGTAGCAACAAATACTGTTTAGACTGACTTCAATTTTTTCAAAATCATCTACAAGTTTTCAGAAGTTCAAAGCTGATTTAAGATTTGACCTTTAGAAGGTCAAAAAGGTTATAAAGGTCTTTTTCAACTTTCTTTAAATTGATTTTTTTTTAAATCATCTACGAGTTCTTAGAAGTTCAAATCTGACTATAGATTTGATTTGAGATTTTACCTTCAATGACCTTCTCAAGGTCAAAAAAGGTTTTTTTCCAACTTGCTTCAAATTGACCAAATTTTTTATAAATCATCATAAAACAACTTCTCAGAAATTCAAATCCGACTTTACCTTTGAGATTTGACCTTCAATGACTTTCTCAAGTTAATAAATAGGCCTGGTTACATGATCATTTTTGAAAACACATCAGTGCCTTATTGAATTTTAAGAGATGGCAGAAATTTTCAGGTCAAGGGGCCAACTATGAGTAAACCTCTGGTTTATTATTATGTCACAACCAAAAAGTGGTGACATATTGTTGTGGTCTCCCTTTTTTGTGACAGCGGTTGGTGGTTGGTGTCTGTAAGGAATTCTTAACTTGCAATAACTTAACAAATATTGTTTAGACTGACTTCAATTTTTTTCAAAATCATCTACAGGATTTCAGAAGTTCAAATCTGACTTTAGATTTAAGATTTGACCTTCATTGACCTTTTCAAGGTCAAAAAAAGGTTTACAATTGGCAGGTTGCGTCTGTAACAAATTCTTACAACTTCCAATAACAACAAATATTGTTTAGACTGACTTCAATTTCTTTCAAAATCATCTACAGGATTTCAGAAGTTCAAATCTGACTTTAGATTCAAGATTTGACCTTCATTGACCTTTTCGAGGTCAAAAAAGGTTTACGATTGGCGGGTAGTATCTGTAACAAATTCTTACATCTTCCAGTAGCAACAAATACTGTTTAGACTGACTTCAATTTTTTCAAAATCATCTACAAGTTTTCAGAAGTTCAAAGCTGATTTAAGATTTGACCTTTAGAAGGTCAAAAAGGTTATAAAGGTCTTTTTCAACTTTCTTTAAATTGATTTTTTTTTAAATCATCTACGAGTTCTTAGAAGTTCAAATCTGACTATAGATTTGATTTGAGATTTTACCTTCAATGACCTTCTCAAGGTCAAAAAAGGTTTTTTTCCAACTTGCTTCAAATTGACCAAATTTTTTATAAATCATCATAAAACAACTTCTCAGAAATTCAAATCCGACTTTACCTTTGAGATTTGACCTTCAATGACTTTCTCAAGTTAAAAAAGGTCTTTAGATTAAAAAAGGTCAAAAAGGTCTTTTTTCAACTTGCTTCAAATTGATTAATTTTTTTCTTCAAAATCATCTTCGAGTTCTCAGAAGTTCAAATCTGACAAAAAATAGATTTGAGATTTGACCTTCTCAAGGTCAAAAAGGTATTTTTTCAACTTGCTTGGAATTGGCTTGATTTTTTTCAAAATCATCTACAAGTTCTCAGATATTCAAATCTGACTTTAGATTTGATATTTGACCTGGTGACCCCTGGTAAAAAAGCTCTAAAAGATCTTTAGGTTAAAAAGGTCAAAAAGGTATTTTTCAACTTGCTTCAAATTGATTAAATTTTCGAGGTGGTGGTGACATTTTGTCATGTTAATGCCTTGTTCCAATATCACTATCAGCAAAAGTGTAAATGATAATTTTGATGGTTCTGTTACATAATGGTGAAGCAATCTTGAAGATATGGTCTAAATTTCTGGAATTCCCCTATGTCCCTGTATACCCCTACTTCAAAAGATGTCTGTTATTAGTCATTATTATACCATCGAACGAAGTGTGGAGGGATAAAGGGCACGCCTCCATCCTTCCATATTCCAGCTCTATTGGCTTTAGGTAACTATGTCTTTGTATTGGGCAAAAAATTATCTTCAATTGGAGATATGTTTTATGAGATTCCGTTGGGAGTTTTGTGGACATTGAAAGTTTATAGGCCTATATAATGCACATGGCATTATGAATTTGCATCCAGTTAAGTCATTTATGATCCCTTTTACCCTTATTTTGTCTCAGATGAGACAATTACACCAGTTCAGACCCAAAGAGTCCCCTTTAAACCTCAAAATAGCCCAGTTTTGGTGGAAACCCTGATCCTTGGCCCAAATCCAGACAAATTTCAGAGAGAATTTCCAGACAATTTAAGACAATTCCAGATAATTTAAGACAATTCTAGATAATTTATAGACAATTCCAGAAAGTTTAGTCAGTTCTCGCTTATTGTTCTAGTGTTATTCATATCTATTTTGGGAGATGTTTGATATATTTGATGGTTTTGATACAATCATGGGCTTTCAACTAGAAAGCCCATATACAATTAAACCAGCAGAACACTGTTTTCATCATTCCTGTATAGATATATGTAGCATCATGGGCTTTCAATTAGCCCGTGTAATGTATGCCATTAACCCCCCCCCCCTCCCCCTTCCGTCATAATATAGCACATTCCTGACGCATCCTGAAATAGATGATTCTCTGATTTATTTGAGATGAGCCTTCAAACCAGTGCAATTCCAAGTCACGAATTAGGTGTTTATAACCCATAGCTTCTGAGGGAGGGGGTATATATTCCAGTTATATTGATTGAGAAATGCAGACATACTACACTGCCATCTTTCTTTTAGTATAAAACTTATTTCAAACTATGATCATATGAGATTTATCCATTTCAGTAACTAATCCGTATATTGTTTAGTTGGCAATGGTACGTATCGCAATATTACATATATTGTATTATTGTGATGTTCAATGTATTGTATTATTGTAATGTTGAAGTTCTTATCTATCTGGAATTGCTTTTTTGTTCCCTAGTATAATGAATAGTGTTATGAATCAAAACAACTTTGTACTCTTCTACTTACATATCAAAACATATACTCTTTTTTTATTATACAACCAAACTTAATTATTCTGTTTTGTTCAATGATGTAAACGGAAAGGTGAAGTGAGCTATGATAATGCCCCTTAGTGACCCGTTATGTAACTTATTCTGATATATTATAAATTATTCCGTTCTAAGTTCATTTTTGACAAGATTTGTCCTAGTTCTCTACACCCCCCCCCCCCCCCATAGTTAACATAGAATATAAAATTCATAATTTAACAATAACATCTCCCTCTTTTAAACACGCTACCGAAGTATTTTGAGGGAATGTTACACAACATGTCACCATGGTGACGTAAAAATGTATTTGTATAGTGTATGGGTTTGATTTAACTGTGGCTTGACTAGTTAGACATCAATCAGTATTGATTATCCCACCAAACGAAGTTCGAGGTGGAGAAAGAGAAGCCTCCGTTCGTTCGTTTATTTGTCCGTCCATTCGTGTGTCAATAACTCAAATACCTGTTGATGGATTTGATTCAAATTTTATAGGCTTAATGAATGACCTCTGCTCGAGAAGGAATTTTTAATATAGTCACTCAATCCACAATGGCCGTCATTTTTCGTAAAAAATGTAATCTTTTGATAACTCAAATACGGATTCGGTTCAAATTGTATATGCTGATACCCAGGGACAAGGGAACTTAGTTCAAGAAGAGGCTTTCAAGATGCCCACTGAATTTCAAAATAGCCGCCATTTTCGTAAAAATATAATCTTTTGATAACTCAAATACCATTTTGGGGATTTGGTGAAAATTTAATATACGCTGAAACGTACAAGGAACTCTGTTCAAGAAAAAAATTTCAAGATGGCCATTAGTCAAAACATGTTTCGTTCGGTGGAATTTGCTACTCGGTGGAGTTGCTGTTTTCTAGATGCAACAGAAGCCCATGTATGTTTTTTTGGAATGGAATGCTTCAATACCTAACAGTTTCGTGTGTAAAGTATTCAACATCGTTGCTCGTATTTCGGAATGTCATAAAATCCTTTCGCTTTCTAACTCTAAACGTATGTGGTGAAAACAGCTGATTTGAATAATATGAAGGATTGTTTACTGCGATATAATACCATATTTAGAAGTCTTAGTTTTAGAAATCTCCAGACGCTCCTAAAAACCTGAAGCAGGGTTTAATTGGATTTGCCTCGTATGCCGTCGACTCTCTCCTGAACCCTGGGGTAGGCTATTCCCACTCTTGGTGGGGTACTAGCTCATTGATGACGTGCGTACTATACTGTTATTTGTTTAGTTCGATGAAACTCATTTCTTAAAAACAATAGAACCCACTTACTAAATCCTGACCACGCTGCAATACACCTCTCGTGTTATCTATGCTACCGCTGACGACCAATTTCATCCATATGAAATTTTAATTTGTTACTTCAAAGAGTAATTAACATCGACGTTCTTAATCTTGCTTGATTATCCTGCAAAGTAAGTATCATGCACTTAATGTTTGTAATAAAATCAGAAACAAACATACAGGGATATTAGCTAAGCTTGTTTTCGCGAATGCCACTTTCGGCCGTCGGCTATCGGATTAACCTACTATTTTATGAGTAACTCATTTAAATATGAATAATACCTGCCACTATTTCATTTATATTTAAAAGAGTTGGTCATAAAATAGTAGGTTAATCCGGTTGCCGACAGCCGAAAGTTGCATTTGCGAAAACAAGCTAAGGGTAGCATTACACACCCAATCTCTTCGTGAGGTTAATTTACCCGAACCGATCCGTCTTCTTGCTGCAAGCAGATTGCCCCTAACCGGTCCGTCTTCTCGCTGCAAGCAGGATGAAATTCTTTGTCACAAAGTTTGGCATTTTTTATAAAATCAAACGCGCGTCATTCAAACTCACAAGATGTAAATAGCATGTCATTTACATCATACCTTGAAGGGGTAAAATAGATCTTATATGTTAGAAGTACTAAATAAAAGTTATCGTGAAAATGAGACAGTCGTTCTCGAGAGAAAAGAGCATAAATGCGCATTTAGAGAGTTTTGGTCCGTTTAAAAATCTGTAAAATATTGGGGTACTTAAAAGCATCGGGAGGCATCATATATTTCAAATTGGACACGAGGAAGTCAATATTGAGCAAGTTATGGCTGTTTTAAATTCAAATAAAACCGTTAACCCGTACCGCAGGTACCGGTCCAGCTTTTGACCCGTACCGGTCAATTTTCGTTAGCTGCGTATACCAAGGGTGTAACTCTGAATTGCGGAAAACCTACCATTTCACAATGGTTTACCCAGGAATATGGATTTCCAAATAATTCATGAAATGCGAAATGGACTAATGGAAACATAAATAACTTAAATAAAAGCCCTCCTTTGCATGTGTTCGGTATATTATTTTATATTTCTCAGCTGCCTCTAAATAACTCAAATAAAAGCCCTCCTTTGCATGTGTTCGGTATATTATTTTATATTTCTCATTTGCCTCTAAATAACTCAAATAAAAGCCCTCCTTTGCATGCGTTCGGTATATTATTTTATATTTCTCAGTTGCCTCTACTAACTCAAATAAAGGCCCTCCTTTGCATGTGTTCGGTATATTATTTTATATTTCTCATTTGCCTCTAAATAACTCAAATAAAAGCCCTCCTTTGCATGTTTTCGGTATATTATTTTATATATCTCATTTGCCTCTAAATAACTCAAATAAAAGCCCTCCTTTGCATGTGTTCGGTATATTGTTTTATTTTGCTCATCTGCCTCTAAGTACACGTACTGAACTATCATAATAACCTACGTCAGAAGAGTAAGAAGGTGATAATTTGTAAAAATGGTTGATGATGTCAATGGATCTGGTAGCGATGCTATATAAACACAGATCATCCAGAGAATGAAAACATTCCACTTGTAGCAAGGAGAGAAGAACTAGAAGCCATAAAAATTCAATTCTGAAAAAAAATACTGTGATCACTTATTCACCAGAGGTAAGCATTTTATAAATGTTTTGTGCAAGAAAAATTGAAAGATTTTAAGGCACTGATACTTATTTTAAATGAACACATTTGAATTTAGATGATGCATTAAAAGACTAAAAAATATATAAATACAAATTTTGGTTGACACACAAACATGTTAAAATAAGAATAGCATATTAAACTGTATCTATAATGGTATCTTAAAACAGATAAAAATAAAATAAATGAAATTAAATGGTATTCTGTATTGTTTTTCAGAACTTCAAAAATTAAAACATTGAGCAAAGGTGGAGTGACTGCAGGAATTCTCGACATATCGGAGAGGTCGACATAATTCACACCAGAAAATAAAACACACCAGAGACATGGGCTGTATTCCTACCAAAGAGAAGGTCGTTACTTTAGAAAAGACTCAACGTGACGATATAGATGATTCGCATATTTATGATTCACCTGTCGTCTTGCCAAAAACAAGATTAGCTGTAGCGGATGTACTGACGGAGATCATAGATTTTCCATCGCTCTTTAATGATCCGCGATATGCCCATGAACCAGCATGGGACAACGAATGCCACCTTTACGAAAGACTTGGAAAACCAAAACAACAATTCATAAACAATAATATGACAAGTTTCAATACAAAAACATTTGATCTAAGAACGTCGTAACAACAACAAGCGCTATGTTTTTTTACATGTACAGCTGTATATACTTGTATGCTGTCGTGAAAGCTTCACGTAAAAAAGCGATAGTGTATGTTTATCAATTTCACTTTTAAGTGATTTCAAATGATAATGTATTACAAGTCAGTGCTATTTAATAGCATGGAAAACTTTAATTTCCAATAAAATTATATATTTTGATCAAAATAATTTTTATGTTATAATATAATATTTTGTGTACCACATGAGTGATGCGTTTAACAATAACAAGTAGGGGATCATTAACAGAAACGTTGTTCTATATCAACTGTTGTTTAACCATAAACAGATGACGACAGAGTGAGAGGACAAAGAACTAATATCAATTCTGGCAAAACATCTCTAATTATTGTACCTTATGAGACAATGGCTGGGGTGGTAAACGCCTTATCTGAGTAAGTCATTTGACGAAATTTTCCTTCAGATAAACCAAATAAATAATTTTGTAGAAGAAATGGTAGGTTATCATTGCAAAAAGATGACGACAACTGTACCTACATTCCAGCTAACGGACATGTCATGATAAAAATGCTTCACTTTTCCCAAAGGGTAACTTTGCATAAAAAAAATTTGCGAAAGAAACGTCAACATTTTTTATTTCGTGAAGTAGTTGTTTTCCTTTTTCATCTTACGACTTTTTCATAATTAATTTGACAATGCACTAACATCATATGGAATCATGGAACATATGCAATCCATTAACAAGTATACTACTGAGACAAACTGAATTGGATTCAATTGGTATATAGTTGTATTCTGGAGAGTATGATCTTATAGATCGAATAGAGAAAATACTGCACTACTGAAAGCAATCTTTTTAAGACTAGTGCCACTATTCTTCTTACAACGCCTGATTCTATTTTTGAAAAAAGATATAATGTGAATTAAATACCAGTCCAATTTTCTCAGCCTAAAAATTTAAAAATCGGACTAATGAATTTGGACAATATTGCCCCTGCTCTTCGGTCTATCTTAACTAAATTTCTCTTGAGAGTAAGCTGTATTCAACTGCCTTCATCTGTACAAGTAGACTTTGAAGTTTTTTGGCAAAAATTCAAATGAGGACGCACAATCTGGGGGACGATGCGAAAATTGTTGATAATTTCAGGGACCTACGTATATGTATATCTTCTGGATACAAAAAGGTTGGTTTAATCTGGGTGACTTTATTCCAAGGTTTAATCAAGTAACTTTGATCAAACAACAACAAATTCTCCTGTGATTTAAGTTGTTTTTACATGTATATTAGGCCCATCCCATCAGTATAAAGTTCTTAAGCGCCGCAAATGCATTATTATCCATAAATTCAGATTTTCGTATTTCATTAACTCTGTTAATCAGTGTAGATATTCACACTACTTTCTTATTTCAGTACTTCAATGTCTGACGTGAAATCTTGATTTCCAGTTTCATTGATATATATTTTGAACACGTTTACAAGAGATGATGCTGTTATGAGATCGTAGTATAAACATAACAATGTTGACCCACAAACCTACATCCTAATGTGCAACTTTTACCATTTTAGAATTAAGAAATGTCAGTTTAAAAATTCCAAATTTACATTGAAATATCTTGAAAACGTGGCAAAAACTTGAACATGATAATGTCAAAAGAAACAAGGCATTAACATGCAAAATGTCACGACTTGCCATTTGTTACAGGCAGATCACTGAACACATACCACCGTCAACAAAAAGCTGGAGACCATAACGACGATATAAATATGTCATCACCTTCTCATATCACCCTTTATCGGGTATATAGAGTATACGATGACACGCCGCCGTATCCAAACTGCGTGCATAGTTTATGCACGCAGTTTGTAACACTAACAAACTGCGCGCATATCGACATTGCATGCATCATACAAGTGATTTCAAACGTCATTTTAAGACATTTATTCTCCATTGATTTATAGTTTCAAAAGTCCATTCGGTGGCGATTATGTGATTCTACCATGTGATAGCGAAAGTTATGTCTAGATGAACGTTTTAAGGTTTTAAAATATAAGCAGATTAATAAAAATTTGTCATCGGTTTTTCGATTACCGACACATAAGTTATGATGTCGCGCTTTTCACAGAAATAGAAAGTAATTATATTACTTAAACTATATGCAGCAATCCTGTATCTTTCAGTATATGGAAACACAAGGGCTGAAACTTCAAACTACGACAAACAGACATTATATGACACAACACTATATTTTGAACACGAATGCTCCTTAGGAACCTTATATTGAGATAACTAGGTTTACACCAGGAAAAAAATCGTGTGCTATTTGTAAAGTAAGCTAGACTCAACATAATGGTAATGTCTGAAAACTAACCAATACTTTTCATCCTTATGGGAGTCGTGTCCTCCCCGTCTGCCATTTTTAAATATGCGCGCAGTTTGTCAGGGTTTCAAACTGTGTGCATAGTTCTGTATTCATTACTGTGCGGTATTTGTGATACGGGCGAATATGTCATACTCACCTGCGATATATTGCGTATTCCGCAGGTGAGTATGGCATATTCCGCAGTGAATATACCATACATTGATTTCAGTGAATACCCGATACTAACTTGCGGAACATGATATGTCATACTCACCATAACTGCGGATATGTCATATACCGCAGGTAAAAACGCGATAAAGGTTTGGTTGGAACGAATTATCAATCTGGAGTCTAATAATTTATAAACTCCTGTCCAATCTGCCATTTACCGCAGGTGAACCAGTCATACACTGCAAGTGAATATACCATATTCGTTGCGGAATATGACATACATATTATTTGCCTGGCCTTGATCAGGCATTACATTGTCAAAATTGGTACTAAATATTGTATGGAAGTACACATAGTGCTAAGTATTTGATTTTATTAATGTGTGTAGTTAACTGTTATTATTGGTAGGAGCAACAGTGCCCTAACATGAGCGTCTCTTTAATTGTCTTAACAAGAGTCATTAACAGGTACCTTGCTACAATAACAACAAAATGGATATAGCCACATTATTGTACACGGGTGCACATATTAGGAATCGCATATGAATATATCCAATCTAATGTGACTTTAAAAATGAATAGCAAAACTGAATAAGTCTAGATAAGACTGTTACAACTATTTGCATTTAAAAATGCTAAGGGTTGTGCAGTGTGAAGTTCGGATTTCGTGTGTTTATCCTGCATATAAACAGCTAAAGAACTGATGCTCCGTATACATCACAAAAATTGAACCATTTAGAAGAATAACTCAATTGTGATGGGAAGTTCTTACTTCGTGTGTGGAAAGTGTTCAGTGGGTAAAACGGCGGTATAAACAATACATATACAGCATAAACAACTTTCTGATTTAAAGATACACCTGTATGGCATTTCCTTCGAGCAAATTGTCAAAAACGTTAAAAATTTCATTTACTTCCTTTTTCTAGATTGCCTTTATATATAACTTCAATATTCAACAAGCATGACGATAAACTGGCTTTAAAATTAGAGGTTGAAAGTTGTGTCACCCTGTATATTCCTTTGCCGAAAGGATAAGTTCCATGTATAAAGCAACTACAGTATCTGAATGATTTATCCTACGTTTAGAGCAGTAGATGGTCCGAACATTGACTGAGTTCACACAGACGTCTATTAAATTATTTGTTATTTGATTTCCACCGTCATCCTTAACACTGAGTCATGGTGTTTATACCTTCAAATGAACGTAAGATCGTTGACGTATGAATCTATATCATTTACAATCGTCTTTACAAGACTTTCACTCAGGGGCGTAGGAAGGTGTAAATATGACACTATCCCAAAAATTATGTCTAATCTTTTGTATCAAAACGCATTTTTCATGCTCGTAAAACGTCATTTCTATGGTAATACGTTTCTATGTGCTTAAAATGTTCGAATGTTTCGCATCGTATACAATCACCATGGAAACCAATATTTTAAATCTCGACAATGCAGATTTAAGAAACTAGTACCCTCTGTAAAGAAAAAAGATGCATAGTCCTTTATCAATTATAACATTTTCAAAATTTTGTATGATATTACTAAACTCTTGGAGGCACATGGTATAAATATTGTGAATAACTCGTGGAAATTATTACGCGGTAAACACGATACAAAAATATGTCATATTCCGCAACGAATATGGCATATTCACTTGCGGTGTATGCCAGATTCACCTGCGGTATATGGCATACATACTAACCAATGAAACGTGATACGGAAGTACGCAATTGTCAATTGCATCGATTGAACGAACAAGTAAATTTTATTAATTATGATAATGATTACTGAATCAACAGTACTGTGTATCGAATATATTAACTTAGCAGAAGTATCAGTCACCAATCTCACGTAATAAACTTACTCAATCAATCCAGGATTCATATATTAGTACTCGACGCACTAACTTTATTGGTAATCCAGCGTAGTTTTACATTTAGAGTCGACTCTCGCAACCAATCAAATCAAAGCTTTTTGTATCACGTTTTCACCTGCGGTATATGCCATATTCACCTGCAGTGTATGGCATATTCCGCAAGTGAGTATCGGTATTCACTGAAATCAATGTATCGCATATTCACTGCGGAATATCGCATACTCACTTGCGGAATATGCCATATACCGCAGGAGAGTATGGAATATTCACCCGTATCACAAATACCGCGCAACCATGAATGTATGCCATATACCGTGTAACGGAAATCTTAAAAAATAGATGAAAATTTAAAAAAGTTAGTATTGGTTAAATACATTGTCTCACAAACTCACTAATGTGAATTTTTCCTTTGAATTACGTCATAAATTACACACAACTTCCTCTAAGGCTAGGATATCATTTTCTATATGTTATATTCTTCATACCATTGTAAAGCCCATCCCAAACTGACAGGTTTGAAATAAACATTGACACACTGACAGAAAATTATGGAAGTGCCAAAACCTGCCTAAAACATGATTTTTAGACAATTTCATGCTTCAAATAGCAGCAAAATGAGGGATAGGATGTAACCATTTTGCTCAATAAACACATTTATACATCACACCTGACTTAAAGGAGGAGGGAAGTTAGCGCAACAGATTTTGGGCAGTCATATGTTTGATTTTGGCCATTTCCTGGGGATTTAAACAGGTGCATATGTTAGGCGAATGCATTACCTCCAGGAAAATCATTTCTAGAGATGATAAAATAATTTTGACTTTGAGACAGGGTAGATGCAAACAACCCAGCCACATGTTTTTTCTGAAATGTTTTTCTGATTTTCAACCCCTTCCATCCTTGTTTTTTTAATTTTTCTTGCATCAATATGTTGCATTTTGACACACAGTTAATCCCTTAAAAGGAATAAATGATTCCTTTTAGATAAAGTGGAAAACAATATTTCCCATGTTATTTTCCCATAGGAAAAATCATTGCTTTCAGCTAAGTTTGGTCACCCATAATGGGTATCTTTAAAACCCCAGAAGGAATCACTTATTCCTTTACAGTGGTTAATTATGTGTCAAAATGCAACATATTGATGCAAGAAAAATTAAAAAGCAGGGATGGAAGGGGTCAAAAATTAGGAAAACATTTCAGAAAAAACATGTGGCTGGGTTGTTTGCATCTACCCAATGTCTCAAAGTCAAAATTATTTTTCATCTCTAGAAGTGATTTTCCTGGAGGTAATGCATTGGCCTAACATATGCACTTGTTTAAATCCTCAGAAAATGGCCAAAATCCAACATATGACTGTCCAAAATTTGTTGCGCTAACTTCCCTCCTCCTTTTGAAATGCATACGCTACGTATAGGATGTATCACACTGGTGTATCAGTGTATAACATATTTATAGGTATGGGTCATTGAGAAAGATAAAGGGTTAAAATTATCTTACAATTTCCAGTTTATTGTAATATATGTTACCCCTACCCCTAATTTTGAACTGAGAAGAGACCTCTGAATCTGAAGGATGTTATCACAAAATGGTTGTAATTAATCGGACTTTCATTATACATGTATAACTGATATTTTTCACAAAGTTTTATTAAATTGAATACTTTTTAAAATGGAGTAATCCTCTAAATGTAGCTAACAATTTAACTTCATGTCTTAGAAGATCCCCTTCTTGAGCACATTGCTGGGTTTAGGATTTCTCAAATTTATGTGTTGCTTTAAATGTTTAAACCTGGTTAATATCAGGAAAGAAAACATATTTCAGATGAAATTTATTTATTATTTATCATTATTTTGAAATTAATTTATGGCGGGGTTGGGGAGTAATGTGTCTTAAAGACATGATAAGAGATGTACCTTGACTTTATTTCCAATAACTCCATAAATGTCCCTATTTTTCTTCAGAGTTGTATCATCCAGTTGTTACTGAGTTACTTCATTTTTCAAATACACAAATTCGTGCAACTTTTATTTTTTACTTAATGTATGGAAACTTACTAGTATTCTAAAAAACAGATGACATTAATTTGGTGATAAAAATGTCAAAGTATTTATTACAGGTCTAGGTCTTGTAAGACCATTGTAATTTTGATGACACAATTTGTCAAAAATTTAAATGCCCATCATGTTATTTACACAGCAGACCCAAAACCTCATCAGACGTTGGCTAGTCTGCAGAACTAAATAGCTGACATTGCTTAATGGTTCTCAGATGTTTGTATTATCTTATCTATATATCTTCAATTCCATTTGATTAAATATATGTTGATGCATCATCACAAATCAGATAAAGCATCGCCAGGGTACAGCAAATCCAACAGCCTCTTTAATGGAATTCTCTCAAATCCTGGAATGTCACAAATGCACAATGAATAGCTGAGACTCACAACTGAGAAGTGCAGTGATAACTCACGAATGATGTTAGAGCCCAATGTTTACATAGAATTACGCTAACCAGACATCAAGGATGAATAGGAAATGACTTGGCGTGCAGAAAGTCTTGCTTTTATTTGGCCCAGATTCATGCTAGTTGTCTGTCACTGCCGACTTGCAATATAATTTATATCATGTCGATGTCTGTTTGATTTGTGTACAAATCTAAGCAGATGCTATGTCCGTTTTGTGGCAAAATATATTCCAAGTCCAATTATCACCAATATTATGAGTCCTATTACAACCAGAATCAATCGGTTTTGTATTATTCTGAAAGAGAAAAGAATATGTGTGAATGACATGTATATAACAGGTAGTGGCCAAAATTTGACACCCCCAAATGGCACCAATGTGGAATCCCTTTGGCCAACACAGGTTTTCAGGAGCTTAATAGTTTTTTCCTTGTGATTTGCATGCAATATCGCCTAAAACGAGTGTGTTCAAAATATGATGACACCGTTAACATATTTTGATGAGCAGCTTAACCATGTAGGTATCTGCTTTTTAATATTAGTAGAGTGCTCTTTAACTATAATAGGTGGGGCTTTCTAAAAAGATCAATTGAATCTTTAATGGTCATCTTTAATTCATCTATTATTCCAATTACCATGACCATGGCATTTTTGTTTAAATGCTAATGACTGTGAAGCAAACTATTGCAAGGCTTTACTTTCAGTTCTTGCTAATATCTAATAAACTGTCATTAATTATCTTTAAATAGTCTCTCAATAGTCTTTAAAGCAATGTGACTCATTTGCCAGACCTTGCAAAACACATACTGCAACGTGAGTGATCAGTTTATTTTTTGGCAGAAAAGAAAAATGTATCACAAAAAGCACTGTCAGGTGTTCAAACATGTGGAGTATTTTTGTTCGAAAACAGGTCGACTAATTTGAGACTAATAAGAGTATTTAGTAGTCTATAAGTGGTTTACTAGAGTGGTATGGCAAGCTGTTTTTTCACTTGGGCTGCATTCATCTGTTTTTTTCTAGAATTTGGGATTAATCAAAGAAATAATGGTTAACCCCACATTATAGAAATACTATTGAATATTTTCCCAATGTAGTACTGGGAACAGTATGAGCGTATTGGAAGTTGAGGAAATACTAAAATGGCACATGACATGAACTAGATCACAGCATCAAAAAAACTTTAAAATGCCACCAGAAAACAAGATGGCCACTCAAATGTTAATCAGCTTTAGAACTTGATATCCTCTATCATGTGTACAAATTTGGAGAAAATCCGACAATGACAAGATTTATCTAAAACCCTTCAAAATGGCCACAAGAAAACAGGATGGCCGCCCAAAAGTTAATCAGCTCTAGAACTTGATATCCTGTATCATGTGTGCGAATTTGGAGAAAATCTGATGAGCAGAGTTTTCTGAAATGGCGATGACAAGATTTATAGAAAAACCTTCAAAATGGCCACCAGAAAACAAAATGGCCACCCAAAAGTTAATCAGCTCTAGAACTCGATATCCTCTATCATATGTGTGTGAATTTAGAGAAAATCTGATGAGTGGTGTTCCTGAAATTGCGATGTCAAGATTTATAGAAAACCTTCAAAATGGACGCCAGAAAACAAGATAGCCGCCCAAAAGTTAATCAGGTCTAGAACTTGATATCTTCTATCATGTGTGAATTAGGAGAAAATGGGATAAGCGGTTTTGCTGAAATGGCGATGACAAAATTTATAGAAAAACCTTCAAAATGGCCGCCAGAAAAAAAGATGGCCGCCCAAAAGTTAAGCAGGTCTAGAACTTGATATCCTCTATCATGTGTGTGCAAATTTGGAGAAAATCTGAAGAGAGGTTTTCCTGAAATCGCAATGACAAAAAAGGGGGACGATCACAAGCACGATCACGTCATCATGACGAATATATCCCACCGATGGTGTGATAAAAAAACATTTACAAATGACAATATATATTTTACAAAATTGTCTTGTATTTGATCTTACTGTGAAAAATATTGAATTTTCTCTACAAACATCTAAAGTACTTTTAGTCACAATTATTGACATTGGCGTCATCGAAGGCCCTACTTGCATCAATAAAGTTACGAACACATCAATATTGCGACTCTATGACTCTATAACTGCACCAATGGAGTTTATTCATAGAAAATTAATGACACACATAATAACTTATAATATTTTGAGTGAATCTCAACACGTGCAAAGCAAACGTCAAAATAAAAAATAGCAATAAACGTAAAGGGATAAATATACCCCTCACTTTTGTTACAATGACGAAGCTCCATTATATTACCAATGTATGTTACTTTGACGACTTACCTCAATTTAACAAAAGCGATGGTCTAAATGCATGAATTACAGCTTAATTTAAAAATCAAATTCCAAATGAGCGAGAAAAAAAGCTAGACTATATTGTCTAACTTTGTGCCAAATGATAATCTGCAAAATGAGTAATTTAAAAGTTTAAGTAATTAAACTTAATTTAAAGTATGAGCAAATTATGTAAGGTAATACTGACCTGCTGATCAGTGTCTTAGCATTTATTATTGTCCTATTCATTGGATTAAATATGTTCCCTGCAATTTACTGTAAGGGCGGATATCTTGTTTCAGTCTTCCTAGCCATATGGCCAGGAGACCAGTTTAGTTAGTTGCTTCTTGTTCTAGCTGTCAAGACTTAGCATGATAATTGAATCTTGAATTTCCACCCACCCACCCTTCACAGCAATGATCATTATTGTTTATGACACTCAATTATCACTAGCTATAGCACAATCTGTAAATAGTGAGATTAAAAGTTCAACATCGCATTCAACTCTGGAAATAGCTTTGCTTATCTAAGTAGAAGATTAGTAAGTAGTTTGTTAGTGTAGGGGTAGAAACTAAAATTTGTAAACAACTATTAGTGTACGTAATGTTACGTAATCTTAATAAAGTTCTACTTGATCCAAACAGAAGATTGGTTTTGTACTTTATTCTATATTAGTTGCAGAGGGGTTAGTTAACTTGTTATGTAAATACCGAACTTTTATAATTGTCATTTGTGAATCAATTTAAACGTGAGTTTAAATCAAGAAAACAAAAAACTCGTATCCAGGAAGTTCATCCATATTGTTACATTGACGTTCCATCAAAGTAACTAGTTGTGGAACAGTGTTTATTGCATTTGTCATTATATGCAATGTTCAGATGTTATAGGAATTCTAATTGTATAAGTACTGACAAGACTTTTTGAGTTTGAATTAATGGATATTAAAGCAGTATTCAACAAACCTGCGCATCATGCCTGAGAGCACACGGGAACTTTTACCGAGATTTGCATCCGTCTCACGTAACTGAAAGTACAAAATTTAATCTCATTATAATCACAAAACCAATAACAAGAATCAGGCGAGCACAATTACAAAACAGACAGCATAGACATGAAAAATGAAATTAGTAATATCATCAGTATGAGTAATCTACAATTAACATATGCTTGGGCTTCACCAGGGGGGGTAAATTGGGTGACCCCCTTTGAAACAGCCAATAATATTTTTCTTCGATGAGATTCCCAAGAAACTGGAAAGCACAAATGACCTTCTGGGAGTTTCAAGAGACAAAAACCTGCCTACAAGTTACCATGGCAACCTTATCTCAAAATTAATTTAAGAAATAGCTATAATAGTGCAGCATTGTACATGTAATAACATAATCTAAATGTTCTGAAAAAATGAAGGGATATGTGAAAAAGTCACAAAATGAGAGCATTTTTATCAGAATATATGGATCGCTCCTTGTATAAATAGCTTCAAATTACTGGTTTTTGAAATATCAACATATAATTGCTTTCATACTTTTGGAGTTCCAGCAGAAAAAGAAACATGACAGACAAATATATGAAAAGATGGTCCCCCAAATTGGGCATATTGTCAAAATATACATGCTCTGGAGTATGTTATATCAAAAATTGTAATATGCACTTTTATATAAAAAAAATTACAAATAAAATTGAATTTTGATCGGAATAAATTTAACAAATCTGACATTTGATGTAAATTTACATTTAGATTTCAAATATGATATCACATTGAATTTTGAATTTGTAATGACGTAAATCAAGATTATTCCTTCTCGCATCTGCATCTGTAATTCTTTGTGGTAATGATTACAACAACTGCAATTCTTTGTGAGAAAGTGATATCAGAATTTTTTTAAGAAGTACATGTACTACAACAAAATCAGCTCTAATTAATTAACACCTCAAGCTGGATCAAGGCATGATTAAAAAATATAGATGAAAAATTTTAAGTACAGGGTATGGAGTACAAACTACATATGTTTTATGGTTAGAACAATAACACCATGAAAGTAATACAAGTATAATTGATACTGATTTGATTGCAGAATTGCATTGCTATGTGAGTCTGTTTCAATGTCTTACCCTTTCTCTTGATCGTTGTATGGTTTCACGTTGTGAACTAAGATCTTCTAGGATCTGATTACCTATTTGTTCTGAAAGTATATGTATCACATAGAGTTAGTGGAAATAAAAGTACATATCCTGTATATTGAATGCAATGTACTACATAGAGTTAGTGGAAATAAAAGTACATATCCTGTATATTGAATGCAATGTACTACATAGAATTAGTGGAAATAAAAGTACATATCCTGTATATTGAATACAATTTACTACATAGAGTTAGTGAAAATAGGCACATATCCTGTATGTTGAATACAATGTACTACATAGAGTTAGTGAAAATAGGCACAAATCTTGAAAATTGAATGCAATGTACTACACTGAGTTAGTGGAAATAAAAGTACATATCTTGTATATTGAATACAATGTACTACATAGAGTAAGTGGAAATAAAAGTTCATATCCTGTATATTGAATACAATTTACTACATAGAGTTAGTGGAAATAGGCACATATCCTGTATATTGAATGCAATGTACTACATAGAATTAGTGGAAATAAAAGTACATATCCTGTATATTGAATACAATTTACTACATAGAGTTAGTGAAAATAGGCACAAATCTTGAAAATTGAATGCAATGTACTACACTGAGTTAGTGGAAATAAAAGTACATATCTTGTATATTGAATACAATGTACTACATAGAGTTAGTGGAAATAAAAGTTCATATCCTGTATATTGAATACAATTTACTACATAGAGTTAGTGGAAATAGGTACATATCCTGTATGTTGAATACAATGTACTGCATAGAGTTAGTGAAAATAGGCACAAATTTTGAAAATTGAATGCAATGTACTACACTGAGTTAGTGGAAATAAAAGTACATATCTTGTATATTGAATACAATGTACCACATAGAGTTAGTGGAAATAGGTACATATCCTGTATGTTGAATACAATGTACTACATAGAGTTAGTGAAAATAGGCACAAATCTTGAAAATTGAATGCAATGTACTACACTGAGTTAGTGGAAATAAAAGTACATATCTTGTATATTGAATACAATGTACTACGTAGAGTTAGTGAAAATAGGCACAAATCTTGAAAATTGAATGCAATGTACTACACTGAGTTAGTGGAAATAAAAGTACATATCCTGTATATTGAATGCAATGTACTACATAGAGTTAGTGGAAATAAAAGTTCATATCCTTTATATTGAATGCAATGTACTACATAGTTAGTAGAAATAGAAGTTCATGTCCTGTACAGTATATTGAATGCAAGGTACTACATAGAGTTAGTGGCTGAGAAACTAGTTATAATCAAACAAACCTGTCTCAATTGCTGTTCTATATCCCTGCTCTAATCGCTTTCCAGATCTTTCCAGTCGCTCAGTGTTGTCTAGCAACCTTTGCCTCTGAAACCACAAGGTCATCAATATAACCACTCACAGATAACGTGATATAAGAATTTCTACAAGACACACAGTCATAAATTTATTACACTTTGATGAGCAAAATGGTCACCATGTAATTTACACATCAGCCTCAAAACCTTATCAGTTGTTGGCACTAGTCTGCTCTTGCGTGTTTAACAATTCCAAGCTGAACAAAGGGGCTTTTCCTTTAATTTTGATGAAAAGATTTATAGATCAATACAAAATTGCTGACCTTGTAATTTACCAAGGATGCCAGCAACCTTTTCAGATATTGGCACTGAAGTGATATCTGATATCTTCAACACAAAATTTTTGAGCTTTTGTGAATCCAAACAAATTGATTAAAGTATATTAAGTTATGCACATGAATTATATAATATATAACGTTCTCAGAACATTTAATCAATCGATTAATTTTATTAATTAATTTTGATCATAACCAGGTGAGGCAAAAATTAAATAAATGAGGTCAATTAAGGTAGTTTCATTCCTGACCATATATCATCATGAATTTTGTTCATAAGGATAGTTAAGAATAAGTCAAAACAACAAACCTGGTCCTCAGAATTGTTAGTGTCATCTCCTCCAAGAAGTTCATCCCGCATATGAACTTCATCACTAAATGCAATCCTAGCTTTTTTCTGGAATACATACATGTACATGTCTAGAGTGGTATATGATTGAAATACTTTTAACAAAGTTTAAGATTGCAGATTACAGAATTACAAATTACTCAGAGGAAAAAACAAAAATAAGGCATTAATATGCAAAGTGTCAGAACCTGCCATTTGTTACAAATGCCAAGCGTCGAACACCAACCACCGACAGCCACCAAAAAAAGTTGGAGACAATAGCAATATGTGATGGTGACAAGAAACTCAAGATTTGCCAACAAACTGTGTACTTACAAAATCTTTTTCTAGTTTGATAAGTTCTGTTTTATAGCTTTTCAATCGAGTGCTGTATTTTTGTCTATCTCTTGATGGCAGTTCCCTGACTTCCAGATCCATCTGCTCCAACTAGAATCATATAATGGTAAAAATGTACACATGTATAATACATTGTCGAAGTGGAACTTTTGGTACCTCTACACCTTTGGTGTTCTGGGACAAAAAAAATCAAGTCAACTATCCCACTCTTAGCCACATGCAAATCCAATTCCTCACTCCTTGGACATAATTCCTGGGAGTTTATGTATCCCAGCTTATTAGATATGGCAGGGGTGTACAAAATAAATATATTTTAAATCAAGACACCATATTTCAGTGATTAAACTGTTAGGTCAAGGTTATACATGTAAAAAGCTTAAAGGTAGATTGGCAATGAACTCACGACATGCAATATTCAAAGACGTCTTGGCTTAAACATTTTAGAAAAATGATCTTGAGATAACAATTAACCATTTTCATGATGTCTTACGAAATATGATTTAGTTGACACCTGTTTTTCAAAAATGTCTTAGAGATATGTAGGTATACATGTAAACAAGGCACATGACGTGAACGAGATCACACCATCAAAAAATCTTCAAAATGGCCACCAGAAAAAAGATGGCTGGCCAAAAGTTAATCAGCTCTAGAACTTGATATCCCCTATCATGTGTGAAAATATGGAGACAACCCTCTATCATTTGTGAGAATTTGGACAAAACTTGACGAGTGGTTTTCCTAAAATGGTGATAAGATTTATCGAAAAACCTTCAAAATGGCCACCAGAAAACAAGATGGTCACCCAAAAGTTAATCAGCATGATATCCCCTATCATGTTTGCGAATTTGAAGAAAATCTCATGAGCGTTTTTCCTTAAATGGCGATGACAAAATTTTCCTAAACAAATATTCAAGATGGCCACCAGAAAACAAGATGGCCATCCAAAAGTCAATCAGCTCTAGAACTTGATATCCCCTATCATGAATGCGAATTTGGAGAAAATCTGATGAGCAGTTTTCCAGAAACGATAACGACCACGACCACGATCAGGACGACTATATCCCACCGATGGTGTGATGATGAAAAAAGTGGTACAATACTGATTGAAGCATGGTTGAGTCAACATAACTATTCTGTTCCAGCTTCTTAATCTATACTTTGTGCTAAACAACAAGGATGGATTTAAACTAGCTTGTAAAATATTGTAATGCTAAGATGTCATGACTAGGGTCCTAAAACATTTTAACTAAAGGCTCTTCGCCAAACAGTTTCTTAACATTTCTGCGTAAATTCATCACTCTGGCTGTCTGTATACTTCCAATTTGAATCTTGATAAAGCTAGTTGGATGATTAGCGAAACATCGAAAATAAAACATTTTACTCTGAAGTAAATGAACTTAAGTTGTTACCAACAGTTTTTGGTCCCTTCCCTTTGGCATTTGTGCTTAGATAATGCTTACCCCCTGGGGCAATACTGCATGTCATAGTCCTTACCCTCCCCACATGGGAGTCTCATGCAAACCTTTGAAACATGCACTGACACTATTTCAACCCTCTGGGGGTCTTGCAATACATATGGTAAAAAACAAGTAGCGGAAATAATATTAACGGATGTGTTAAATGACAGGTGTTAATAATGATAGTACAGATAGATTTTAGATAAATCTCTGGGCAGTTCTATGAATTTCGTAAATGACTGAAATTTGTTTTCATCCAATCACCAATGATATGTCATCACTACCTCTTACTTGTGTTTCAAGATGCAAATTTATAGTTAACAGGATATACAGTAATTTTATCTATATTTCAAAACTCTTGAAAGTAATAAATATGACTATGTATCATAAGAGATCAAGAAAATGTATTGTGGTTCAAAAATGAAGAAAAGGTAAATGACATTGCCAAGATCTAAACCTGGTCTTGTAGACTCCTTAGCTACTTAGAGTAGCTGATAATCTTTGAGTAAATTTTTAAAATTTAAAGATTATTTTTGAAAAAAGTCACATCACTACCCTTCTATAATTAGAAAATGGTCAATAATATTTCCAATAATCTGAGAATGCATGTCTGAGTAAGTATTCTAAGCCTTTAGAATAAATGATGTTTTATTCAGTTTTCATTTTGCGAAAATGGTGGTGAAATTTTTGCTTTTCTATTCTGAGTATATATAGTAGTATATAGTATAGTAATATTAGGTGTCCCAAAAAATGAGCCACTTTTTGAAAAGTATTAGCTCAACAACTGATGAATATTTGTACAAAGTAGACTAAGAGTATCATTAGCAAGTTGTAGAAATATAAACAAGATCAAGTGAGTATTCTGTGAGTACTAAGAAATTCAAAATAGCATGTCAAAAACTCCCATACCGGAGCTCTGATATGAGATCTCTATAGTGTTTGTACCAGCTATCGTCTCCGCACAATCAGTCTTCACTGCGTTCAATGGGAGACATGTGATGTCTGATTAATTCTTTTCATTCGTCCCAAATGTCCAAAATCCAATTCATTCTCAAAATTCATTGGAGGTGATATTGTTAGAATAAATACGGAAAAGTATTTTTGCTTGGAAATGGATTAATAAGTGACTTTTACATTGATATTGGTTATTTTGATACACTGTCTTCAATTCAAAAAGACACGCATGTCGCATATTATGAGACCAATCTCTTACATATTCATGTTTGTACCTTTCTAACAATCCTCTTGGGCTACTTTGTAACAAGTTCACCAGTTGCCAATTAATACTTGTCAAAAAGTGGCTCATTTTTTGGGACACCTGATATATAGTAGTATGTATGAATCGGCTGTTTTTGGCACCAGAATCCATCCTAAGAAAGATGAAAATATTTTCTCGGGATATGGACCTATATCTTGTAATCTCTAATTTCAACCTCTAAAGTGCTTGAAAGTGACTTTGTGTTCTGCTAATTTTTCAACTTTAAGCAAAATCGAGAGGTTTTTAAATTACTATCCCACATTATTATTTTGGTTTACAATAAAAAGGTAATGGCAAGTAACTCTGTTATACAATAATCTTATTAATATTACAAAATTGTTAAAACTTACCAGTTCCTTTGTTTCATCCATGAGACGATCGACATTTCTGATTGATGCTTGTTTGTCAGCTGGAAACAATAATAAAGTTAGTGATGATGGTGAAGTGAAGCAGTGAAAACATTATTGTATTTACCATGACAAAACAAATTCTATTGCAGACATGTTAAAAATTGTCTCACATTTTGCTGAAGCCATGCCCCTTCATGCAAAGTATGATTTGGGTTAAAATAAAGAAAGAATCAGATCTATGGAGTGGACAATCTTCAAGACGATTTCAATAAACTGGAATTCACAAAACTCCCTTCATTTCTTAAAAATAGACTGATCCAGTACACAAGCCTTGAGCTGCCATATTGGTTTTATATGGGAAGCTTATCGTAACCCTTTATTGGCTTTAAGACTCAAAGTACATAAATGGAGGGGGAAATGTTTAAATTCTTCCAAATAAAATTACATCTAGAAATGTGGTTTTAAAAAGTGTTTATTAACTTTGATAAATTAATTTTTTTTGAAAATGTGACTACTAGATCGGGGAGATTCCCCATAGACCCCATGTTATAAAATCACAAAAAGTGATATCTCTTTTCTTATATTGGACAGATAATCTTTTACTGAACATACTTTAATTTGTATAACTAAGTGGCGGGTCCAAAAATTTACAAAAGGCCAAAATAGTGATACTTTAAGGGCGGGCTCTTGTCTATCTCTAAATGATGCCTCAGTGATTTAAGAAATGTGACGTCAGATTTCAATGATATTTGGACAAACATGAGCGAGTAAGGGCAATCTACATGCAACTAATTCAGTTTGGTTCTGTAACTGATTCGGTTCATTTCCATGCATGCGCAAAATTAAAAGGTGTTTTCCATGATACCTTTCTATTAGAACATCATTCCATGAGTTCAGTCATTAACATCAATGCTGTAAACCAGACATATAATCCTTACATGTACACCCATGATCCAAGGTAGTTGCTTAAAATCTACCACAGTCAAGACAAAGGCAGATATAGACAAGGCATTAACATGACAAAATGTCACCACCTAGTTAGGTCATTGAAGGTCAAATGTCAAATCTTAAGTCAAATCTAAAGTCAGATTTGAACTTCTGAGAACACGTAGATGATTTTGGAAAAAGTTTTTAGTCAATTTGAAGCAAGTTGAAAAAAGACCTTTTTGACCTTGAGAAGGTCATTGAAGGTCAAATGTCAAATCTAAAGTCAGATTTGAACTTCTGAGAACTTGTAAAGTCAAATTTGAACTTCTGAAAAGATGTAGATTATTTTGAAAAAAAAATTTGGTCAATTTGAAGCAAGTTGAAAACAAACCTTTTTGACCTTTTTTGACCTTGAGAAGGTCATTAAAGGTCAAATGTCAAATCTAAAGTCAGATTTGAATTTCTGAGAACATGTAGATGATTTTGAAAATAAAAATTAGTCAATTTGAAGCAAGTTGAAAAAAGACCTTTTTGACCTTTTTTGACCTTGAGAAGGTCATTGAAGGTCAAATGTCAAATCTAAAGTCAAATCTAAAGTCAGATTTGAATTTCTGGGAACATGTAGATGATTTTGAAAAAAAAATTTAGTCAATTTGAAGCAAGTTGAAAAAAGACCTTTTTGACCTTTTTTGACCTTGAGAAGGTCATTGAAGGTCAAATGTCAAATCTTAAGTCAAATCTTAAGTCAGATTTGAATTTCTGAGAACACGTAGATGATTTTGAAAAAAAAATTTAGTCAATTTGAAGCAAGTTGAAAACAGACCTTTTTTTGACCTTGAGAAGGTCATTGAAGGTCAAATGTCAAATCTTAAGTCAAATCTTAAGTCAGATTTGAATTTCTGAGAACACGTAGATGATTTTGAAAAAAAAATTTAGTCAATTTGAAGCAAGTTGAAAACAGACCTTTTTGACCTTTTTTGACCTTGAGAAGGTCATTGAAGGTCAAATGTCAAATCTAAAGTCAAATTTGAAGGTCAAATGTCAAATCTAAAGTCATTTGATTTTGAGGAATATCATTTTTATCTACGAGGTGATATTGATATCTGCACAAGAGAGTGAAGCGAATGAGTGCATATATCAATATCACCGAGTAGATTAAAATGATATCCTGAAAAAATCATAGGATGTTCTTATTATCCTACACTTACAAGGAGTGTACTGAATTTATAATATCATTGTAAAATGAATTTCATGCCTAATAGAGTCAATTTGGTGGGAAATCAACAAGCGGAGTATATCGTCACAATATCCTCCGCATATTGGGTTTTCCGGAGTATATCGTCACGATATCCTCCTCCTGGAGTATATTGTAACGATATCCTCCGGATATTCATTTTACCAATAAATATCAAATTTATTTTTTCATGTTATTATACATTTAGTACACTAAGTGTAGGATAATATCTCTTATCTAAACTTGTTAAGATAAGAGATAATGATATCTATCTTCCTTTCCAGGTAACCCGTCTCCTATGACATAGAGGGGCATAAGGGCCTTAACTTGGAACCTAATGTCCCCTTGGTAATTTCTATTGTGTTTTTTTCGATGACCATTGCACAAGTATCATATTAAATCGACCAATCACATTTGAGACGCGCAGAAAATATGCGCAGAGAACTGAATCAAAGAACCGAATCAGTTGTAGATTGCATTTAGTGCAGGAGCCTGGAAAAAGATTTGTTGTCTCAGGATCTTCTTGAGAAATATCTATTGAGCTACTGATCCTTCTACGAAAGAATCTTGCCGGAATCTAGATCTATTCTAATGATTATGATGATTTTTCTTTTTTTCACATCACAGAAAAATATTTTGAGAAGAGATCTACTGTTAGCCTTTTGATTAATGTGAATTTAGCTCGCATACATTGGGTAATTATTGTTTGGATAATATTGTATACTAACCGCCGGTTAAATTTGGGATACGTCCTATCTTAGATGTGATTTCTGCAGATAAAGTGGAATATTGTTGTTCATACGAATCCATCAAATTTGCCATTTTGGCTTTGCTCTCCTACTTGGGTTACAAAACGTTGTGTCCAATTTATTGGTGGATATTTAATGTCAAATTTATCTATGATATGTTAGAATAAACTTAGTATAATACGTATCCTTGTATTTGGAATACTGAAAACGGGATGAAACACTTATAAATCAGATATTATGCAACAGGATAATTTCAAACCCTGCTAGAAAGGCCAAATTGTTTGGATCTAAGTTCCGGTTCCTGTAAGCCTCCTTTTCAATTTGGTTAAAAAAGGTGAACTTTCCCGTGAAATTTCCATCAAAATCGAACAAATCCTCTTAGATATAACGATAGATCTTGAAGCATGACATTAAATAAATTTACTGAAACCATTTCTAATCCGCTGGTGTTGTTATTTCACTCGTTTGATTAATTTGACATGGTTTTCTTCGTATCTAAATATTCTAATTCTGATAATTTTTATTTCAATTCTTGCTTGGCTTGTAAAGATAACATTCCAGAGTATAGCTCATTTTATTACCTATATAATGCTATTGTATGTTTTTCATATCAATTGTGTTTTGGTTTCAAAGAAAACAATCTTGATTTTCAGTCAACATGGTACAGCGACTTACTTTCCGTCGTAGGTTGACCTACAACACCCAGTCCAACAGAAGAAAGATGTAAGTACACTTTTAAAATGACCTTTTCTGTGAGTGTCCTCACAGATTCTTTTGGAGTAGGATCAGTAGCTCATTACTACTTTTTTCAAGGCCTGACCTGGCGTTGTTTTCACGATTTACAGGTTCGTATGTTCTTCAATGTTTTGGTCTAAATTATAAAGCATCACCAACAGGTCTTACTCTATTAATCGACTAATACAGCAGACAGCTCATATTTCTACGTAGCATTTCGTTCAGACAAATAGTGGGACTGTAGATCACGCAGTTTCATTCGTTGCGTACTTCACTTGAAATTGGTAATTTTAAATATTGGCTACTTCACTTAGCTTGGCGGATGTAGAACATTGCTTAATATTCTTTTAATTTTCACACCAGACATGCTTGGTTGACACGTCAACAAAGTAAAGTTCAAGGGTCAATACGTTATTTCGTGATAACTACAACGCCTTCCCGGAAGTCAACATTGATGAAAAATGAAAAAGTCGGAAAAGCATTTACACTAATTTCTATCAAATGCTATGTTTATGCTAGGGCCAGAACCAACTATGAATTTCGGAGTCGACTAGTTGAGGTGTCTTAGTTGAGTCGTCATCGATTAGTTGCCCCCTGGCTTCGGAAAAAATAAAAATAAAATATTACCTTTATCTGTCATCAGTTTTTGCCGCATTTACAGATTTGTTTCTCCTAGTACTCTGTTTCTTGTATAAACAATGTATCAAATATAATAAATCGATCGTTTTTAAAGTTTATATTGTGTATTTGTGTTGTTTTATGCAATAATTCAACTAGAATTTATCATTGTTGTAAATAAACGTCTTCTTCTATTTACTTCCGCTGACCTTGACCGTTACCGGAACTACTTAGTTTGAATTCGCGCAATATTTAAATAAAATGTCAAACTCAAAAGGGAAGTCTCCCATATGGGAATACTTTACCCTAACGGTCACGGGTGATCATTGCGATTTGCGATGGCACATATACCCATATTGCATGATAGCACATTATAAAAATGATAAATGTGTGGGACTATATTCTTGCCAATTAAAAATGAAGTGCTTCGGCGGCCTTTAATTGATCGCTAAAAGTAAACTTTTTAAAAGTTAAATAACTTCAATTAGTATCGAATAAAGAAGTGAATCTGTTTATAGCATATGTTTGAAGTGTTTTGAAGAGTAGAAACATGCATTTTGGGCTGGATAAGTAAGGAAAATACATAACAACATCACAAAAATGAGGTGAGTGAACGTTTATTTATGAACTTTTCTTCACAATTTTTCCCGGGGATATGTCTTCGACGATCGATTTTTCAAAATCAAAGTCGACTATCAGCCCAACTTTCGTCGTATCCAACTAGTTAGACTAATCGTTCCGGCCCTAGTTTATGCATCATCATCGACGCAACAAAGGTGATATGGTTTCATTAAGATTCTGGTTCTAACCTTTAGAAGGTAAGTCAGACTCCCAAACGTCAGCTAACTCTTATATTTAGCATGTTAGCGACGAAGTCGGGCCTTGAAAAAAGTAGTAAATATTCCTTGAGACACCAAATCTTTTTCCGGGCTCCTGTCTGTCCAAATATCATTGTAAAATGCTGACGTCACATATCTTAAATCACGAGGGTATCATTCAGATTTGGACAGTCAAGAGCCCACCGATAAGTGATGGGACTTACCCCCTATTGGGGGTAAATCGCAATTTTCTCAGAAATTTTCAGGATCACGAATTTTCAATTGATTGATCATTTTGCTAGGCTTATTCAAGTTCTAGTTGATTACCCGAGTCACTCGTTATACCACTACTATTTTTGGCCTCTTATGAACGCAGTATTGCTTGTATACCATTCATTATGATGAAAGGTAAATAACAATATTCTAACGAATGAGGTATGAATTGTCTCATATATATATATCAGAAACATATGCACAATCATTATTTTAAAATTTGAAATTTTCTTTGGTGTCTCATCTTGAGCAATATTTATTGAGCTACTGATCCTACTTTATCTACACATGAATCTTGTCAGAATCTATGAGTATCCTACTAAAATTGCTGCGGCATCTATTCTGGTAATGATTTAGATTGAACAACTTTGCTAAACTTTGAGTCAATATTCCATTTATAAGTTTGACTTCCTAAAATAAGAGAATGATATGCTATTACCACGTATTAACTGCTAATACCACGACCTCTGGTAACCTAGGTTACCTAGTGAAATCATGACACGTGAAGACAGTATGGTCAGGAAGAGAAATTGAATCGATGAGTCGAGTGTGTACCTATGATGATAGAAAAGATTGGTTCAATGATGTTTATGATTTATTATCTTTTCCACAGCGCTCTGAAGTACACATTCTAATACTATTTTTTATATCATATTTTTATATTTATATTATATTTTTTATATTCCATCTTGGAGTATTTCCTCTTTCATGATGTTCTTTACAAATTGCATTGTTATTGATCTGTTAAAATAAGATTCCGAATCTAGTATCTGTAGGAATTTAATAAGAATCTCAACCCTCTGTTTTAAAGCATGCTCAACTAACCAAATCTAACATATTTTCTTACCTCTATTTTCATATATTGTGCTGGATGCTGCTGTTATATGAAACAGAACCAAAACTCCAGGTAATCTAATTTTGTTTATATCGTCTTTGAATCATAACTCTTGAGATGACAACTCTTTCTCCAAAGTAGCTTAAATCTTTTTTGTTTTAAATCACATTTTCAAAGTGCATTTGTTTTTGCCTAAATAAACAATCAATAGACTACAGAACAATGTTGTTCTATTTGGCAGTGGAGACGATTAGGTCATTTAAAGATGTTAATTTAAGAGCAAAAAAGGCTCCAAACTTAATCAAATACCGGTATGTAGTATGGATGTTCATTTATGTCTGGGGATTATATTTTATACCACAAACACAATAAATACCTGAAATTTGCAATAAAAGTGCCCAAAAATTGTTGTTTCGAAATTCCCCATTTTTCCTGTATCGTGCTAGTCACATGACCATTACTTAAAATGGGGAATGGTGGCTTAGGGGCAACTCAGATTTTGAAATATCTATTCAGTAAAACATTTATTAAAAATATTTTCTTTGTAGAAAATTGAATGATTTTACTTGCTAAATGTCTCGCATATGTTGTTAAAATTAGCGATACGGAGCGTTAAAGTAATTTTGACCACCTCACTGAACCACCTGTGTTATTTCAATAAGAGGATCATTAAAAAATTATTGAATTTGAAACCATTATCTTTTGTAAAGCCTGGACAATTAAATCATATTTTTGATGAATGGACAATTTAGCAAATTTAATTATCTCTTCAGCGTTTTATTTAGTGTTACCAAAAAGTGGGTCCAATGGACCCCACGGTAAAAAAAAATGGAGTCCAAACCAAAAAAAGTGGGTCCAAAAAATTAAAGGCCTGAAACTAATTAAAAATGAAAAAATTGGATAAAGCAAATTCAAGTACTCGTTTTTTTCTAAAGTAACACAAATGTAAGGCATTTTTGTCTTTTTTACCATGTAGTCTTATGGAGTGATTTTATATTAACTAAACTTACAACTACATAAACATATTTATTGTAACATTTCATAATGCTCATTATCATCATTGTCAATACATGAAGGATGTAATGATAATTCAATTTTTCCTCTTTTTATCTAAATCTGTTCAAATAATACACATACATGTACTGTAGGTACATACTAGCTCAGACAATTTTGTAATTTAGACCCTCTCTGGTGCATTCTGGCATATCTCGGCAAAAAATTTCCAATAATAATATTTATAATACATAATTGATTGTAATTAATTTTTTTCTTAATTACTTTGTTTTTCAATGTTGCCCCTTGTTCCTCCTCACTCTGATGTAAATTAATAAACTCAATATTCCTTTCTGACACATTATCAATCTCAATGAAATATAAAGATCAACATTCAATAGTTTGATATGTATTTTTGACTTGTAATATTTTATTTGTTTTCAAATGTTGCCCTTTGTGCTTTCTCACTATGATGTAAGATAATGCCAAAAAGATCAATTGTATTAATTAAACAGTTTGTTGTCAAGTTTATGCGTAGGCTAATTGTTAATAATAGTATCCATTGAAAGATGGCAGGACAGTGATAAAGGTTTTTTGCTACTGACCCATTAATCTCAAAGCAATGATGTTTTGGTTTTAGAGGTCAATCAAAATGGTGGCCGAATTACAGTAAGATAATTATCTCCGTGTTTCTCTGAAACACTGCTGATTATCTGCCTATTATACTTAGATTTTGTCTTCACAAGGTAGGCCAATTTATATTCTTTCATTTGTACTACTGTTTGAGTGTTCTAAGAGGTAAGGTTTTTGGAAATTGCTGTAAAAATAAAGTGCGTCCAAGGGACTCTGGAGTTTTTTATTTTTCCGTCCAACATTATTTTTTGGGGTCCATCTAATGTAAGGACGGCGTTAAATAATCCGTAGTCTCTTACAATTTCAATTTTGAGAGCAATCGGATGGATGGATCGTTCCTCATATGACTTATGGCAACCAAACCATTCCCCATTTTTGTTACATTTCATGAAATTCATCAATTTTGACATCAAATTTTGACCCAATATAATGGAGATATAACATTGAAACGCTGCAGACTTTATAGGAATAGAATCAAGATACAGATTTATTTACTTTATTGGGATTTCTCTTGTTCCACGCTTAGAAAATAGTCGTTCAAACAAATATGGGGGTTAACATGTAAACCTATGAGGAAAACCACTGGTCCTTAACTTTTTTTGAGGAGTGTAGTTATATTAAAATATGTTGCCCAAATTGTAATAAACATGTCCCAGATGCCTCTCTCGTTGGTGTTAACTGCAAAATAAGCCATCCTGATATTTGGTAGTCAGTTGTTCAAGTGATTATACTATTGTGTTTCTGCATCTAAAAACTTGGTTGAAACAGAAAGAAGTAAAGTCATGTTCTTCCATATGCTAAATAATTCAAAATTTAAGCTTACCTGTATGTAAATATCACAAAAAAAGTATTTTTCTGAAATGAAATGCAATGAAAATAAGGGCTAATCAATATGAATTTGAAGTACGTCAATTAACTCGATACCTGGCAATTAACGCACAATGACGTCAATTGTCGGAATAAACGTTAAACGGCCTAATCGTCTCCACTGTTTGTGTACATATGATGATAGAAAAGATTGGTTCAATGATAACTGTGATTATTATCTTTTCCACAGCGCTCTGAAGTACACATAAATTTGATCAACCATTGTGAAATGATGGCAGTAAAATAAGATATTATTTAATGCTTTAACTATTTTTATTTTTAACTCAGGTGGAAAACTTGTGTACCTTTACAAGAAGAAGCTTGGAAGCATCCCTAAATGTGGAGACTGCAAAGTAAAGCTCCATGGAGTGAGTAAACTATCTTCTACATACTCTATTAACAGTTTTGATAAGTGAATGTGTACCTATGATGATAGAAAAGATTGGTTCAATGATGTACCATGATTATTATCTTTTCCACAGCGCTCTGAAGTACACAACGACATTAGCACTAATTATTTTCATCTAAATGAATCCTGACAAAGAACATAAAAACTATAAATCTTAAGATGTTAAGTTGGAAATATTTGTTACACACATACAATGTAGGCTATGTACTATAAATTGATTTAATTTGGCACTATTTAATTTGGCGGATAGGGCAAATTTTGAAATTTTGGCTGCTATTTAATTCGGCGGATTTACCGATCAGTTAATTATGAATATTGGAGGGCAAGCTAGGAAGTCACTTAGCTAGGTTAGTTTTAGGTGAGACGAGGGATTTTACCTTCAGGTATGAGCTAAAATTTAATAAAATGTGGTTACAATCAAAGTATCGAAAGTATTTTCAATGACACTTTAGGTCCTGGGGAGTTTTTTAAAAAACAGCCGTCAAATAAAGCAATTTACAGTACTTCTACTTAATATGGTAGATCTGCCAAATTGTTAGTCTGCCAAATTTCTAAATTCCTGGGGCCGGGTATTCGCACTGCACAAAATTTATCACATTTTTCTTTTGGTTGAATATTTTCTTTCAAAATTTGTTCAAATTCATCATTTTTGTACAGTAACAACAACAATACTCTGTAATGTTACTTTTGAACAAGTGTGTTCTTTACATACAATGTACTTTATTGATTTATTCTTTGTACAATGTACTTAAAGTTGCAACCATATGACTGATACCACTGTCATGTTACTTTGTAGATTACCCCTGCCAGACCTAAGGAACTGATGGCCATGTCAAAACGCCACAAGTCAGTAAGCCGCACATATGGAGGATCCAGGTGTCACAGATGTGTACGAAGCAGGTAAGTTATTCTAAGTAATTCAGAGAAATCTTTTCTAACCACTGGGAATGGGAAGATGTTCCATTAAGCTCAACATAAGTGCTGCCTTATGTTTCTACGAGGGGTGATCAGGAATTTCTGGACCGTTGGCTCTATTTTTGCCATTTTTTATCCTTTCTTACTGATTTCTTTACATAATATAACCCAAATATATAGGATCACCTCACGAAGATTTCATTATTCTATGCCATCATTATCTTATTATTTTTGTTACCATGGTAACCGGTGACGCGACAAGGTGGAGCTCAGAAAAAATACCAAATTTGAAAAACAACAGTAATATGAAAAAATACCAAATTTGAAAAACAACAGTAATTTTATATGATGTTTGGACACTGTATTCATTGCTGAATATGTGACATACTGTCTAGGTTGTATTATTTCATTAAGTATATTCATTAATGTGCATCTGTCATTATTCTTCCATCATTTATAATACTTCAAAGTAGTTACCAGTACTTTGTAAGCATTTGTTATGTCTTTTCACCCAGTCCTGAAAGACGTGGTGTGTGAATTCCTAAATGATCTCATTACTGGCCTCAAAGTGGATACCTCATAATTTTGTCTTCACTGTTGGGAAAAGATAGAAATCACAGTCAGCTAAGTCTGGGGAATACGGTGCGTGTGGTACACGGCATTGGGAATACGGTGCGTGTGGTACACAGCCACAGCCGATGGAAACAATCACATTTTGTAGGCAAAGACGGCCTGTATCACATCTTTCAGGAATAGGTGAAAAGGCATAACAAATGCTTACAAAATGCTGGTAACTACTTTGGAGGATTAGAATTGATAGAAGAATAATGCCAGTTATTATGAACATTAATGAATATACTTAATGATATAGTACAACCTATTTGAGGATGTTTGTAACATATTCAGCAATGAATACAGTGTCAAAAAATGTAATATAAAACTACTGTTGATTTTCAAATTTGGTATTTTTCTGAGCTCCACCTTGTCGCGTCACCGATTACCAAGGTGACAAAAATAATGGGATAATGATGTCATAGAACAATGAAATCTTCATGATGTGATGCTATTTATTTGGGTTATATTATGTGAAAAAATCAGTAAGAAAGGATAAAAAATGGCAAAAATAGAGTCAACGGTCCAGAAATTCCTGATCACCCCTCGTACATGAATCTACATACTATTACTTTCATCAACTCTGATTCTCCACTGTGTAGTGTGTACTTATGATAATGATAAAAGAGAATGATTTAACAATGTCTGAGATTATTCTTAACAATGTCTGTGATTATTTATCTTTTTCAATCCATAGTACTGTGAAGTACATAACATAATTGACAGTTTTTGTTTCATTTATTCTATTTTTTTGCCTACTAGGCCTACATGTCAAGTCAACCTTTAAAGGATGTTTTTATTGTCAGCTTGAATTTACAATGGAGCATTTTGAGGAATATCAAAAATTTCTCGAGAGGCATGATTTTAAAACAGTCATTACTGGAACATACACAATGCATACCTGCCAACCTAAGACCAAAATTTTGCGGTAGATTTCTTTAAAATTGCTGTATTTTTGCGGTAGATTTTTTCAAAATACGGTAGTTTTTGCGGTATTTTTCAACAAAATTGCTGTAGTTTTTGCGGTAGATTTTAGAAAAAACGGTAGTTTTTGCCGTAGATTTTTAAAAAAACGGTAGTTTTTGCGGTAGATTTAAAAAAATACGGTAGTTTTTGCGGTAGATTTTTAAAAAATACTGTAGTTTCAGAGGTTTGCGGTAGGAATTTGAAAAAGCGGTAGTTTTGCGGAAGATTCTGAAAAATGGGGTAGTTTTACGGTAAATTTTGAAAAAATGCGGTAGTTTTTTTAAAAAACCGGTAGTTTTGCGGAAGATTTTGAAAAAATGCGGTAGTTTTACGGTAGATTTCGAAAATTGCGGTAGTTTTTACGGTAATTTTAGGAAAAAACTGTACTTTTGCGGAAGATTTTGAAAAAATGCGGTAGTTTTACGGTAGATTTTGAAACTTGCAGTAGTTTTTACGGTAATTTTTTGAAAAACTGGTACTCTTGCCAAAGATTTGCCAAAATGCGGTATTTTTCGGTAGATTTTGAAAAATGCGGTAGTTAAACCTTTATACAATGCGGTTTTCTATATTAATACAATGTTTACGTGGTCATATTGTTTTTGTTATTGTGAATACATATTTTACTGCAAGAGTGCTTTTGATAATTACAGTTTGTAAAGCAGAACTACCACCTGAGAATTATACGAAACTATTATTTTCAAGAAAAAATAGATATAGTCGCACGAAACTGGGGACAATTAGCGTAACATTATGGCGTCAAAAACCAAGACAAAACAGTGAGCTGCATAGGGCGCAAACAGCCTTACAACGTCAAAAACGACGCGTCACATTTTTGTCAAGTTTAGTCAACCTAAAAATAAAATACTTTATCCTTATCTAATCATCACAAAATTCACAGGGTAGCAAGATCTCGAGGACAATATTTCAAAAATGTTTTTGAATTTTGAAAAACGGTCAAGAAATCCACTTGGGGCGTTGGTAAAAATTGATATGTATGGAATTTGTGGTAAAAAATCGATGCGTCACATTTTTTCAAGTCTCGAAAACCAGCTCTTATTTTAATATTATTTGCAAAATAAACAAACTGATTGTTGTTTTGTAAATTTCGCCATTACAATATTGTGCTGTTAATTTTTCTTTCAAATCAGACTTAGATTAGAAGGTTAAATAAAGGTAAACTTATTGCTCGTCCCATTCGCCTTCAAAACCTTACACAATTTTGAAAATTTTAAAAGCGTTCATATACGATGATTTGAGCGGGAGCCGTTAAGCAATTGTGACGTCATAAATGAACATGTTCCATTGAATAAATTGTGAAATTTTAGTGGGATTTTGATCATTATTTCAAAAGTTATCCCAATTTCAAGGAGCCCTATAAGCGTAAAGTGTTACGTCTTACAGCGTATTTGACGATGTCGGGATATTTTTAACTTTAAAAAAATGTTGGATCCCATCAAAATTTTGAAGGAAAAATAATTTCACTGAAATGCGAATAAAAAATACTTCAAAATGATATGTAAAACACATAGTTAGCTTTTTAAATAAGGCAGAGATTAACGCTCAAAGCTGAGATTAGTCCGTATTTCCCGAATTGTCCCCAGGTCCGTGCACGTCATAAAACTATTTTCAAGAATAAATAGAGACTAAACACTTTTTATTCTTCATTTACCATGCCTACAATGGACTGACAGCAACTTTGGATTTTAATGTTTCAGCAAAATGTACATGTATATGAATACAACTATTTTACAACTCTTTTACAATAAATCTAGATTGATTCAAAATACGAACACAATATTCATATCTCCACTTTTATTCACCTTCTAACCAGTTTTTTTAGATATCAGGATGTAAGTTTGGAAATACCAATGAAACATTTACTGAAATACAAAATATGGATTTTACACGTTTTTACTCATCATCTTAGATGATCTATCACTTTAACGAATTGAAATGACAGACATAATGTTCATATAACATTGGAATCATATGGTATTAAATATTGATTTGTTCACTCGCAAGTCTCTAATGATATCAATGTGTTTGTCTGGCACAAATAGAAAATAAGTACAGATCAATTGTCTTTCAAAAATAATATGTTATGAGCATTTGCTGAAACCTTTCCCCTGAGACATCGTTCAGATTCGGATATCACAATACTTTTATAATAAACCCAAACTCAATGCTTTATTTTTTAATTGTATTTGTTACTGATATAATGTGTTCTGATGAAAAATACAACATTTTATCGTACTGTAAACAAATTGATTTAACAAATCAAACTACGCATATTTCATACGCTAAAACAATATTTTGAGTCGGTATGCACACACGGGGATGCCTGATTGCGTGGCCGATTTGCTTCCCCGGGAAATATTTTTTCAAGTACGTTATTTGATGGAATCTAAGCGTTTTTATCAACTTTAAATGTTGACAATCGTAAAAATACAGACACGGTAGGAAGCATCAATAAATTCGCAAATAAATTAATGCATTTTAACAAATTTTTATTTTTTTCAAATTCATTTGGTACGCCTGTGCGTATTTTGCGTAATAGGCGCTACGCTCATATCTGTGTACAAAAGGGTTTGGTTAACTACAAAAATCATGGCAGAACGAATTCTTTCTAGCTAGTGGTAGTTGGTGTTTGGACGCAAGCTTACACGCAAGCTTACTTTGATAAATGCTCAATAACCTGATAACCACAGACCTGCCGATACCTATTTATATTCGGGTTGGTGAAGAAATATTACAGGGACAGTACAGGAAGACTTCCATTTTTCAGCATTTCCCAACAATAACGGGAAATTTTACGGTAGTTTGAACAAAAATACTGTTGATTTTAGCAGAAATACGGTAGATTTTCGAAAATTTACGGTAGATTTTCAAAAGTTTACGGTAGATTTTACGGCTGTTCTCATGGAATAAACGAGTTTAAAAAAAAAAATTTACGGTAGATTTCGAAAAAAATACGGTAGATTTTTTTACGGGAAAAAGATGGTATTTTTTTACGGTAGTTTGTCATTTTTTTACGGAAAAACGAAAAATTTACGGTAGATTCCCGTAAAAATACGGTAGGTTGGCAGGTATGCAATGTCAAGAGGAATAATCTGACTATTTTTTTATGTCAGAATTCACTGTTTTGATTTTTATAGTTGACAAAATAGTGTTTGATTGAACACTTGTGAAAGACTCCTACAACAACACTCAAGTGTTCGATTTTTTGTGTTCACACTTAACTGAACTGGTAGGAAAGAATCAACTGCCCTGCATATCTCTTGAGCATTTCTTTGAAAAATGCGTAGTTTGTAAACATTGCCATTTAATTAATCTGAAAATGTGACTTTATATTTAATTTGATCGAAAAATTATCTGAGCTGATTTTTCCAGACAAAATATAAAGTGTCATATATACTCCTAACAATCAAGACATATTTGTTAATGTAAATGCATAAAAAATACTATACAGGAGTTTCACTAGAACTTTTCACAAAAGGCTAAATAAATGAGAACAACAATTGATAGCAAAATTAATGGAAATCATAAATTAAACATGGAAAAGTTGAAAAGTCCTTTAAAACAACAGGCGATTTTGTGAAAACAGCGGGTGAAAATCACATGTTGTCTGCTCCTAATGAAACCCCTGCAATATCAAAGTATTGAATGCAACCAATGATGAATACAATTTGCCGATCTGAAACAGTCATGTACAGTTTATGAATGCAATTTTGTAGTCTGAGGTCAGTAGTGATGATTAAAATGTAAACGAGTATGTTGGGTCACGAGATTAAGATATGTATTTTTGCATTGTTATTAGCCAGTTTAATCACCTAATTCTGTCAACATTGCATAAATTAATGTATGTGAGGTTTTGCTCTATTTTTTTCAACTTAACTTAATGTACTGATAAATTATTTCTTCAATTGCAGGATCGTGCGTGCTTTCCTAATTGAAGAACAGAAGATTGTTGCCCGGGTACTCAAGGCACAGAAAGAAGCTACCAAGAAATAATTTATCTGTAAAAAGGGGACTATTATTAAAAATAAAAAAATAAAAGCCAATGTGATGTTTCATGTTTGAATCTATGACATTTAAAACACTGGCTGGGAACATGTTATAGATGAGATCAAAACAACATGATTCACAAGGTTTCATTTGCTATAACTTAACCAAGGTTTGTTAAAACCACCTTAGAAGTTGTAGATTACCAAAGCATCAGCTGATGTAATCAAGGGCCATAGAAATCATTTCTGGAAGAAAATGGATGTAATACCTGAATGAAAGCTTGGTGACTCAGTTGGTCTAATCAAAGATAACACGAGAAATTGGAAACTAGTCATTTATCAACTTATTTGATTCTGTTTGTCATCTCAATAAGATGAGACAACCTCCAGACCTCTATCCATATCAATTGTAAAATGTTATCCCAACGAAGTTCGATAGGGATATAGTTAAGCCCTTCATCCGTCCATCTGGAAGATGGCTCAAATACTAGTGGATGGATTTGTTTCAAAATTGGTGGAAAGATGTATATTGGTGAATAGTTTTATGCAAAAAAAATCTTTAGTTTTTCATTTTAAACCAATGAAATAATATTATTGTTTGAAATTGTGATTGTATATTCACAACATCTATCTATGTAACATATATTCCGAATTTTTCAGCCTGACCCCCAGGGGCTGTCAGAAAACAGGAATTTGCGTTAATTTTGATATCTTTCTAAAATATAGTTTTATTATACTCAAATGAAAGCCAATTTAGAGAAGATTGCAAATATTGTATCGTTTTTCTAATTTGGGACTCCTATTTCGAAATGGCTGCCTCATGTTGGAATTATACTCAAATTGAAGGAAATTTAGGGTAGATCACAGATATGGTATTGTTTTCCTGATTTGTGCCCCAGAAAATCCAAAATGGCTGCCAACAGGAATTTGTGTCAATATTGAGATCTTTCTGAAGTATAGCTTTAAAATACTCAAATGAAAGGTAATTTAGAGTTGAATGCAAATATAGTATCATTTTTCTGTTTTTTGCCTCGTAAAATTCAAAATAGCAAACCTATGTGGGATTTCACCATAATTTTTCTGATCTCTTCAAAGTATGGCTATATTGTACTCAAATTGAAGGAAATATGGGGTACATCATAATTATTGTATTGTTCTTCTGATTTGTGCCTCAGAAAATTCAAAATGGCTGCCTAACAGGAATTCGCTGTTACTTAGAGATTTTTTAAAGTATGGTGACATGATACTTTATTAGATCTAAAATACGAAATATAAAATCGTATATTATCTTTATTATTTTTGCCTTTGAAACTTAAATGGTCACCAAAATGCTTAAATCGGTGGAAATTCTGGTATATCTCTATTGATTTATTTAATATCTACCATTTATATTTCAATTGAAGAGTAGATGGTAAATATTACATTGTGACCAATACAGAAACATAAATGTTAAAGTGTTCGTTTGGATATGCTACCCCATGGAGTCGCCATTTTCTAGTAATGAATTATCACTGTCTGATTTATTTAAACTCAATAAGATGAGACACGTTCCTGATGCCCACATCAATCATTATATTTAACTTAAGAAGTTGTTATTGAATTTGCAATAATCTGATCGTGAATCACCATCTGATTCTGAATTAAGTTTTGTCTATTATGTCTATAGTTTAGACTAAATTATAGTTGTCCCAATTTGAAGTAAACAATTGTCCCGAAGAATGGTGTTTTGTTAGAGATTATAAGCAAGTCCTTCATATGGCAGTCCGGGAAAAGTTCCAGTACAACAGGGCGTCCACAAAAAAAGTATAGCCAACTTCAAGACCAAATTACTAGAATCCTGAGCATTTTTTTTTTTGAAATACAAAGGTAACAGCAAAAAGCCGTATTTGTCCTCCATCAAAAGATACCTAGATCATGTAACTGTCATGGATGACTGAGAAATCATTCATGACCATTCTGATAGGTGGTAAAATAAGCGCTGTGCCAAGTTATCTTGCTGTGTGCCAATCGATGTGTAATTGCCTTATGTTAGAGGACAGGACTTTCATAATGAACTGGACTGGGGGCTGTATAACTCTCTTATGAAAAAAAGGTTTGGCAAAAAGCTTACTTACACTAACATAGGTCTGCAAAAGTTCTAAAAAGCAAGTACATTGTATTGCTTAAGAACCCCTATTCTTACTATTGAAAATGGATTCTAGCAATACTGTGGATTGGATTCATGTAAAATGTGGATTCGATCCAGAATCTTCAAAATATGGAATTTCTGTTGATCTCCTAAAGTAAAATACTCCAATTAGTTTATAGATACTAAGTATTTAACTGCTTTCCCTTGTAAATCAACTTTTGTAAGACATAATAAACATAGATCTGTAGACAAAACCTGTCATTCAAATTGATGTGTGGACAGTCCAAGACATTTCTGCTATGTTCTGTTTTGACTGAAAACATGATATGGATCGTCAAACCAGTCTGCCCTATGATTTATGAAATGTCTCAAATTACACTGAGATGTATAAGAAAGGTGGTATCAAGTCGCCCTTCTCGCCCACCCAAGCAAAATAATATAACATATACTATTGGACATTGTGGAAGCGAGGAGAGCACCAATCTTCTTAGAGAGCGATCAATAGCATTTTTACGGAAAATCCATATTTTGAAGCTTCTCGATCCAATCCACATTTTACATGAATCCAATTCACTCGATCCAATCCACCTTTTAATCTTTACCTTAATATTCTCCAAAGTATAATCTGCCACTGAATTAGTTATTGGAAATCTAAAAATAATCCATTCTGGCCATAGAGGTACTTGTCATTTTTAAATTGATTTTCATAAAATTAATAAATGACCCCTTGGTACTGTGGTAATGAAAGGGGTGATATCTAATTTTGCATTCACTAAGAATTGAATGGAGGTAAGATCCTTAAAGCTGACCCTTTTCGCTTTCCGACGGTGTATTAGAATTGCACATTATTTTCAAATATCAAATCTCATTCCGACCAAAAACAAAAATTCTGAAGCACTCTGTAGCATAATGGGGCCACTGCATAATTTAGCATTGAAATAGTTAAACCTAACGATAATCCATTCTGGTCATAGAGGAACTTGTCATTTTGAAATTGATTTTCAGAAAATATAATAAATGATCCCTTGGGAATGAAAGGGTTAATATCTAGTTTTGCATTCACTAAGAATTCAAATGGGGGTCAGATTGCGGACATATGCAGAAAATGTGAGCAATCTCGATGTTAGGAAGGTATATGGCTCTAAATATATATGAAGCACCTTCCCATCAGAGTATGTCCCTGAAGTTCCTAAAAATATCAAAAGTTCTAAAGTCATTTGGCAACACACGTCATTTCAAGAATGTGATCAGAACTAGTTTGGTGTAACCTGGTAACTGGGGATGTAGGTGTTGTTGTCACTGCCTACTACCATGACTACACATACCGATGGTAAAAAAATCATCTTGTTGGTCTTTTTTGATAAAATTTTAGTTATCAGCTTGATCTAGCTTTAATACAATTAAGCAAAAACGCGTGCTTTGCTAATTAATACTATTGTCGGTTCCCACGCCCAATCGCTTCGTCCTGTCAGGACAGTGAATGAAGCTTCATCAAGCAAGATGAAATACAGGGTGTTCAAAAATGCAAACGAAAGAAATCGATATATCTTGGAAAGTTTACACTCGTAATAGAAACACTACAAACTTTGGAAGTCATTTCGACTTTTTGTAAAAATTATCCATTTAGTATTTGCTCTTTCAATTGTGGCATAGGTGATATACATTCTCTTTGATGCCACTATTCTTCATTAATTGTGATACAAATTGATATTTTTGTACTCTCAGAAGAAGGATAAGATATTCGTTAATTCAATTCGCAGACAGACCTAACGCGACCTAATTGCACAAATAGTCAGCCTTTGTTCATTTCCAATAAGTTCAAAAAATAAACAGGGCTTTACCAAGTAAAATTTCACCACCTGCCATTGCCATATCTCTGAAAACACCGAAAGCCAATCACCAACCGCAGTCACAAAAAAGTTGGAGACTATTACATTATGCCACCATTTCTTGGCATGATAGCCTAGTTCTAAAAACCTAAGTCTGCGATGCCTTTGTATGAACGAAAAACCTGGTACTTTGAGTCAGGTGTAAAAGGGTAGGAGGTCTAAATCAAATAAGATGTATTACTACATTTGAGCTGAACTTAATTTTGGAGTGGCACTACCTCGCCAAAGACATCATATCATAATAAATCGTCGACATGGTTGCTGCAGGGTCAGGCCATTTAAAATTGTAAAAATTACTTAATACTAGTATCAATTTATATCTAAAATGTCAATTTTACTTGAACAGGTCTTCAGCAATATCATTGATTCACAAATTATGTCATTTATGAAAATTTTGCGGAGTAAAATTTTGAACCCAATTTCTTAAATATTAGGTCCAAGGTTAAAAAATAATTTGTTATCTAAATTGTCCACTTCATGTTGGGAGGAACAGATTTTTGCCTGACGTGTCCACCTCTTAAATAAACTCCTATTTATAGAGTTAATTTGACTCACAAATACCATTTTGCAAAAAATTCTGGTTGAGAACAGCAAAAAGTGTTTTCATTCACTTTACAGACCTAACAACAGGGATCGTTATAAAGCTTGCATAAAATTGAAACGCCAACCTACACGTATGACTTAAATACTTTCCGTTCACGTTTAGGTTGTGAAAAACATCACAAGCTTAAACTCCATAAAACTGAAAAAAATGTTCATTGATACTACTCACTACTACTCTGTGTGAGAAGAGTTTAGTCAAGTCCGGGAGTAGTAGTAGAGCGGGGGGGGGGGGTCACAGGGGCTCGTAGACTAAACCGGGTCTTGGACATACCAGTTATCTGTGTGAATGGTTTTGTGTGCTTAGATAACATTCTCCTTTATACTCGGTTGATGAATGAAAATAAACTCTAAATTACTAATTTATGTTGAAGGCACGTTGAACTTCCTCACGTGTACCCGGGACGTGTACTAAATAATATGAATACGGATCACTTATGACGTTGATGACGGGGTATAAATTGACGTGACTAGGACGTCATCGTCGGTTCCCACGCTCAATCTCTACGTTCTAGAGGATAGGTCCGAAGCTTGATGAAGCAAAATGCTGGGACGTAACGAAGATTATAATATGAACATTCATTTATTTATCTTTTCCAATATAGCATTGTTTGTATATCTACAATATTATATACATATGTAAACATACAACAGAATTCCGGAAATACTGGAAATCAGAATTCCAGAAATAATGGAAATCGGATATTGTCATGAAAATGTTGAACTGCCTCACATATTCCTTTATGGCTACAATTCTATATATATTTACATTCTATTTACATGTTACACATACTGTAGTCATAAATGCAGCCAATAAAACAAAGTGCAATGCAATTCAAAAACTCTATGACAACACTGGACGGATTGAGATTTATCTATAAGAATAATTGTGATTTTTCATTTGAAAAAATATATGCTTGTCTTCCCGGTGTAAAAGAAATTATGGTCCCCTGGGGATTATGGTCCCCTTTCCTTACTGGCCCTGACTGTGTATAAATAATAATCAGTCAGGGCCAGTAAGAAAAGGGGACCATAATCCCCAGACCTAATTACAAATATTTTCCTTATTATAAGGAAAATATTTGTAATTAGGTCACCATGTAAATCAATAGAGAGTAGGACCAAAATTTGATAGGACCACCTACCCTTTTACACCGGGCTTGTCTTTCTTAAGCAATTAGTTTAATAGGTTCTCTGTAGGAGCATTATTAAATTATTGTAGGAGTAACAATAATTAAATTACTGTAGGAGTATTGTTAAATAATGAAAAACACTCATTATCACCATTCAGTCATTATCTATTTTATCGTTGATACGGTATCCATAACATACATTGTATTTTTGTCCAATACCTTGGAATGAACAATAAGTTGATCATCCTAGGTAGGTATCTTTTCTGATTCAATTCACTAAATATTACAAACAATCTGAAATAATTGTGTATTCATCTGGTATTCTTTGAAAGACTGGCAAGTTGTGTGATTTGATTTCAGTTGTCATCCTCTTTAATTTCTTCCTCTTGTGCTATCTCCTCTTCTTCCTCTTTCTTTTCAGGTTCCTTTTCCTCTTCCTCCTCTTCTTCATCTTCTTGTATGGGAGATTGCTGAAATAGTTCATACATGTTAATTATTCAAGCTACAATTTGAAATATTTCATACATGTTAATCATTTCAGCTACTATTTGAAATTGTTCATACAAGTTAATCATTTCAGCTACAATTTGAAATATTTCATACATGTTAATTATTCCAGCTACAATTTGAAATTGTTCATACATGTTAATCACTACAGCTACACTTTTAAATATTTCACCAGACTTGTAAAATGAACAAGAAAGCCATCCTTGGCCCAAGAGTAATTCATTGCATTACATTATCATGATCTGCTATGAAAGCAGTGAATGACCGATCTTGAAAGCTGAAGAAAGAGAGTCTGATCACATCATTTCATTTTTAGTTTCAAAAACTGTACCTCAGTGGTTGACTCCCATTATACGAAATAAGGTCGAGCTTATTAGCTCAATTATATTATGCATACCTTTCCAGTATCTCCCTTGTCAGCCTCTGTATCTTGCCTACTGGCCTCCTTCCTCTCTCGCGCTTTCTTCTCTGTCTCAATGACATGCCAGAAGTCTTTCTCCGCCTTATCAACCAAGTTTTCATCCTCTTCAAAGTTATCCTCACCCTCATCATCATCCTGCATTGTAATATCAATGATTCAATGTCATGATAATTTCTACATCTTCTAATTCTACAATTGTAGTAGTGTCATTTTAGGCTTTAACTTGAATAGTTCATGCCCAATATTGATGGTACTGTATATGGCACAGGCACATACATGTAGTTTTCGCCAAATGGAGACACTACTTATGCCTGGTTATTTCTATCATGAAATGTTCAAAATATTTGAACTAGTTGGTAAAATACTGTATGTTGTTGTTATTATATCAGGTAGAGCACTAAAGATGGTTTGTTTTGGAAACATTCAATTGTACAAGGTTTAAGATCAAATTAACGAATGAACCATCAAGGGAAAATCAAAGGGTTTTCACAATTGTATAAAAACAATGATCATTTCAATGGGACTGAAATTAGAGTGTTTCATTAAGTGTTAAGAGCTTTGAGAGGTTTTTCACAATTGTACAAAAACAATGATCATTTCAATGGGACTGAAATTAGACTGATTTATTAAGAGCTTCAAGGGGTTTTTAATAATTGTATAAAGGAAAAAAGATCCCCCAAGTGCAGTGAAATTACAGAAGATTTTCTTAGTTTAAAATCAATTCATTACCCCCCCCCCTTTGCAAACCTCCACCAACACCGCACATGACCTTGATCTTCTCATCATTAAGATTACACTATACGAGTGTACAATGAAAATGACCATTCAGGATCAACATAAAGATGTTTTTGCAATATAGTTTCTTTATAATTATCTTCACCAGTCTATCTGCATGGTAATGGCCTTAATTATACATTATATATTCTAGGAATAGAAAAAATTGCCTAAAAGGGAAATGCTGTTCAATGTAAATGGTTACAAAACTAGTTGTATGTAGGCGTCTTTTGCACTTTTTGCTTCTGAAAAAATTAAGGGATAGAGATGAAAAAACACTCCTGCATGACTCAACAGTACCTGAACCTACGTACCCTAAAGTAAAAAAATATATTAAAAGAATTATTTGTCAAAGTGCCAATTCCTGTACTATAGTTATATAAGTTTAATATATCGGGTGTCCCAAAAAAACGTCCCGCTTTTTGAGCTCTTATAACTCTGCAAGATATGAACCAGAGTTGAATTTGAATTTGACATTTACACTTTCCAATCACCCGATCATTTTGACGATTTTTGGGCACTTCAAGAGAAAAGTCCTTCTCATCAGTGAAAATGATCTTCTTGACATCTGCGGCTGAATAACGATCATATAAATTGCGACATCTTGTTTTTCTTTTTCCTTTAACATATAAGTGAGTTGTTGATCTTTTGCTGTACCAACTTTTTATCTTATGCTGTTGAACTTTTGTATTTGGCGATGCTCATCAATCTACATTATAAGGTGAAATAAGTGAGTTGTCCTCCGATATTACATTTCTTGCTATGCTATCTTGTATTTGGCGATACTCACATAATGTACATCTGATTAATTCAATATATTAATAGCTTATAGATAATATCCTTATCTTACTCCCTGATAAATTTCAAATGAATTGGTTTACATCTTGCAGAGTTATAAGAGCTCAAAAAGCGGGACGTTTTTTTGGGACACCCGAAATAAGTGGTCATAGTCCTATAACAAGATTACATATTTAATATGTTCATTATTGTGTTAAATAATATCATATTAATGTCTATAGTGTGTTAAAATTACTGTAATAAAAGACAAATAACAATATATTTATCTTGATTTATTGTTTGAATATGAATTTACTTTGAGTTATTAATCAAAATAATAACATTCTGAAAAAAACACTTTATAATATCAAATAATATTATTGTGATGAGCCTGAAAAAATGGTTCTAAATTCAAGGCTGTCTGTTCCTGACGAGACAGTTCTGAGGAGATGAAAACACATTTTTTTGCTGCCGCTATTTTGATTAATTCTGGGTTATTCTAAATATATTTGAGAATATAGAATTGAACATAAAAGTCATAGACATTATTTCCAAATTTAATCATCATAAATCTGAAAGTTTGAAATTGGCAATCTTATTTAGGATTACGCCAAAATATTTTTAAACAAAGACTGAATTAATCTGAGAGAAATATTCTGATAGCGCCTTGTATAATACATTCTAACTGAGTTAATCCTACACCTTTGATGATCTTTGATTTAATTATCAAAGTATATATTAATTTGAACATGTTAAACTTTATCCCAATCAGTCGACAAAAATTAACTAAAACTAGGCAAAACCAAATACAAAATACAAAAATATTAAGTAAATACAGCATGACAAAATATGGAATGTGTCAGTTTAAAATACAGCATGAAAAATGTATATTATAAAAAAAACAAAGATATTCCATGAGTAGTGTGCTAACTGCTAAAATCTCTAAATATTTTTCATTCTTTCAAAAGTGAAAATTAATTGTATAAATTATGTTATATTTCAAGTTGGGTAGAGTTGTCTAGGGGATGAGTTGTCTAGGGGATGAGTTGTCTTGGGATAAGATGTCTTGGGATGAGTTGTCTTGGGATGAGATGTCTTGGGATGAGATGTCTTGGGATGAGTTGTCTTGGGATGAGATGTCTTGGGGATGAGTTGTCTTGGGATGAATTATCTTAGGGATGAGTTGTCCTGTTACCCTCAAATGTATTGTATATCAGAAAACATATATTATAGGAAGATCCTATTGTTTTGAAAAAAATATTATCTATATCCATGAGTGGATATTGATATCTTAATCCACATATTAAATATATCTCCATTGTGATGTTTGATCTATGTCCTTGCAACTATGGGATAATCATGTACTGTATGTCATATTACATATATGTCACAATTAATTGGTTTCCTAAGCCCAACATACACCAATGGGGCAAGTTGGGACCTTAATACACATAACATTGCGTGGGAAGTTGTGGGACTTCATGGGAACTTGCCCCATGGAGTCCGTAGAACTCCATGGGACTCCGTCAGATTGTGCCCCGTCGAGTCCCATGAGGTCCAAATTTGGACTCGGTGGGATTCGATGGGGCAAAATCCCAGAGTCCCATCTTGCCCCATCGAGAATATGTTCAATTTTCCATGGGACATCGTGAGCTATAAACATAATAAAGGGAAAATACAGTACATGTAAACTGTAGAGTGAAGTATGGTACATAAAATTTGTACAGGGAAAACAGTACATATAATCTGCACAGGAAAACTAGTACATATAATCTGTACAGGGAAAGTACAATATATATAATCTATTTCTTATCTAAAGTTGATTGTTGGATTTCTATGTTGCCTTTGTGTTTTCTCATTATACAACCATGAACAACCACGTGTCATATAATCTAACCATGTGTCATAATGTAATATACATGTGTCATATACTATAACCATGTGTCATATACTATAACCATGTGTCATACAATATAACCATGTGTCATATAATACTAAACATTTTAAAAACTGGGTTTCAAATAATACTACACAATACAATTTATTTTGGTTATTTGTGTGTAAAGGGGCTTGGTGAAAGTTCTCTGGTACATTACAGCAGAATCTTGACAAGGTAAAAGCGCATGCATGAAACTCCAGTACTCCTACCTCTACTTCAAAATCCAATATTTTATTCACTTTTAACAATGGTTTTATATAAAAGCTGTGCATATACTAAAAATATGTAATTGCAATAATATTGGATTTTCAATTTCAATAATTTGGGCAACACCAGAGACCAGCAGTGATAAGGCAATGGGCCCTCTAATGTAAAATGACATTGTGCACATTTTGAAAGTTTCAATTTCCTTTCCTACTATCCTAGATTAATGCCTTGGTCACATTTGCTCCGATTTTCACTACATCGCACGGCCGATTGAGTATTTTGTTCAAAATTGTATACAATATTGAACAGAACACTCAATCTGGTGGGCGCCGTCCGATGGATCGGAGCAAATGTGACCAAGGGATAATACAGTCCTTTATGTATGTTGAGAACATAATAGTTTGCAAAGCATTTCCAATCAAACTAAAATGTGCACAGTGACATCTATTAAAACAACAAGGGTCTACATTTAATTTACATGGTATAAATTAACATTGGGTGAAGGGTGATGTTAAGGTAGCGCTGGCAGTGACAATTCCTGGGTTGTTTAGCGTATTACCTCATCCATGATGTCACCATAGTTAGATGTTAGAGATACTCTAGATTCTGGACGGGACAATGCCTGGGACCCTCGTCGTGATTTAACATTAGAACCAGGTCTTGATTTAACATGGGACTCTGGCCTGGATTGAACATGGGACTCAGGCCTGGATTTAACATGGGATCCTGGCCGTGACTTGACTTGAGACCCTGGTCGGGATTTATTATGAGACCCAGAAGGAAATGCATCTGATTGTAATCTAAAACCCTGTGGTTCATAAAGGGCATGGGGGTGGGGATTTTTGATTGGTGAATAAAGTTTTCTTGGGCAATAAGGGGTTGAATATCGGGTCATAGGCGTATTCATCCCAGTCTAGAGGAAAAATATGAAATAGTAAATTATAAATACATATCATTATTAGAAACAAGAAGAACATATCAGACATGTGTATGCTAACAAACATAATTGTTTTGGCTAAAGAGCTTAAAATTTCAGGTTCTCCAGCCACTTCGATTTTGTTTTTTGAAGGAACAAAATCAATTTGTAAGATCATGTCCAAATGCATAAGTGGGCAGATGGAAAGACTCAATCTGGAATATACTGTAAGTAATGAAAATGTGTTTGGGACAACACTAATCTGTTATGCAAATGCATACCAGGTTTTAACCCAAAGCAGCTCTTAAGTCCAAATTCTACCTCTTTTCGGTTAAAGATATTTTGATACTTCATCAATTTGACAGGGTGCATTTGTTCATTCAGGGTAACACATACTTTTGAATTCTCAAAAGGGTTCAGCACTTCAGCTTTAATACTAGGAAGGTCACTATTATGTTTGTTAACATACACTGATAATACCAAATACATGTGAATAAATACCAATAATGAGCATTATATAGCACTGTATTCTATGATTGAAAATGTCTTCAGATCACTTCATGACTCAATGCCAAAAATATGGAATGATGTCAATGTATTTGTGTGAAATTAATTGTTATCAAAAACAAGAAAGTTTCTCTCACCTTATCTCCCTGGGAACTTTTATTCCTCTCTTTTAGTTTCATTTCCCTGTGTCGAGATTCCAGAATCTTTTCTCGCCGAGTCTCACGCTCAAACATCTGTAAATTACAAAAATTATAGAATTCAGTTTTAAGGAATCTTTACAATTAATATAACAACCATCTTATTTCATATTAATTATTCCTAAATTCAACCATGGCCTAATTCTCTCAACCAATCAAATTGCATATTTACTAGAGGTGTCACAGAACAAAAATCAGAATGGTTCAGGGATCAATACATATATTTTGACAAGTCAGGCTCGGCTCGTCTAAGGTCAGCTTTCCCTTTTTATGTTTTGTAATGAGAGTCGACTAGTTGAATTGCAATAATTTAATCTAAAATTGAGATTGTTTAATAATAAGCTCATGTGTTTCATCAGTATAAAACTGATGAATCCCACTCATTAGACAACTTTCTCACTTTTCATTTTTATTTTTTATCTTTTTTATTTTATTCCAACAACATAGAATGACAACAAATCTCAACTTACTGCTGTGACGAGTGCCTTCTCATTCCTCTGTAGCGTACATAGACCATCTGAGAGTTCCAATAGAGTTGTGGTTCCACTTTGTGATCCTGTTGCTATTAATCTACCCTGGTCCTGTACTCTAATACTATGCAGTGCCTCATCACACACCTATATACAGGGAGACAATATATAATATTTTTACTTGTCTCATTACTGTTACTACATATGAAACCAAGCATTAAATTGCAAATGTCACCACCTGCCATGTGTCAGCCACACCAACCGCTGAATGCCAACCACTGTCCACAAATAAGTCGGAGACTATAACAACATGTCACCAATTCTGGTGGTGACATAATAAAACTTATATATCATCTGTAAAAAGTTATGTTAATAAATTGGAAACAAACACTCATGAATTAGCATAATGATCCCAAGTTCTGAACTTTTTGAAAAGGCACACCTGTAAGCTGAGGGTTGGATCATTTTGTTTGAAGATAAAGTCCCAAATATCTAATGTTCCATCCATCTTGGTTGTGTAAAATACTGCTGGTCTGACTGGACTCCAACACCCATCTGTTAAGTAGGCCATGTGGTATCTAGAATAAAACAAAATAGTCAATGATTCATTCAAAATATTGTTTATTTATATACCACTGTTATATAGTAATTGATTTATTCAAAATAATGTTTTTTTAATACATCACTGTAATATAGCAATTGATTCACTCAAAATAATGTTTATTTAATACACATACTCAATTAAAAAAAAAACAACAACTTTTAAAGTGATCATTTTGGATGATGACAACTAACAGACTAATAGACTGCATTGTTTATATAACAAAAGGCTCACTCAATATACTAGTGTAAATGGCAAGCAAGATTTCTTTGTGTTTTGATAATTGGACAATGGGAACTGAACTGTACATCAACTATATAATATGTTCAACATACTTAGTCCACATTATCGAAGATTCCCTGATATCTTCTGACCAGATTCTAGCAGTCCAATCACCAACACTAAGGAAATTTTTGGGGAAGAAGGGGTTTCTTTGAAGTGCGTAAACAGGCCCGTGATGTCCAGGATAAAGTGCGACAATTTTTTCTGCGGGAGTTTTTGCTTTTCTGTTGCAAGACATAATGCTCCCTTGCTCACAACCCACCATGAATTTTGTTGGCTAAAATGTTAATAAAAACATTTGTATGAATTGTTTGTTTTTTTAATGTAAAGACCAGTTAGAGTGAGAATTACCAAAGTAAAGTAAAAATATATAAGCCCTTTATTGGTTTTTCCAGGAACTTAATAAGTACTTTGATGAGGCTAACTAGTTCAATCTCAATAATAACATTTACATACAAGTTCTCTTAAAAATGTGAAGCTTAACCTTCTTAATAAAGATTTGTTTCCACAACTCATTATTTCAAGCCTTGAGGTTTTGCTTTATGATAAATTCCAGTGCAGTGCATCAAATATACTTGAGGGTAAATCAAGTGATATAGGGAAAGAACTTACAATTGTAGGCTCATATTCTAATGACATAGCACCACATGCTTTAGTAAGATCTTGTTTCTTGGTTGGGTCAAGCACGAGAATTTCATTAGGCTCGCCCATTTTTCTAATGTCCCACCATAAAACCTGGCCATCTGTTGACGCTGAGAAACAGTCTGTGCCAGATTTTGATTGCAGCCATATTGCTTTATAAGCAGGGTCTCTGTGACTATGTTCTATAGGGGACATCTCTACAGGCTGGCTTCCCTTTCTTGTATCCCAAAATGCTGAAGGGAATAAACATGGTAATCTTAAGAATATAGATAAATACAGAATAAGTGAGGGGTGTCTTTATCATGTGAAAAACTGCTTTTAATTTAACAATCCCAGATTTTCTCATTGAGTCCTGGCATTACAGTCATGACTCATATCTCTGTCCCCTGATGTAAGATACATTGGTAGGGTCAAAAAAGTTTGAAGTTAGACTTAACTATTGCATGGTACAGTATGTATGTACAGTAATGTAAGACCCATTTTCAAGTACATGTATTGCAATAACTACATGTATTGCAATAACTACATGTACGTGTAATTTATAGCTTTTTATTAATTCAAGATTTATTTATTCATTCATTTTAGCTAGATTAAGGCAAAATTTTTGAGAGCGAATCAGAATAAGGTCCTTTGCCTCAGTCTAAGAGGCTCATGATTGTGCATGATGGACATACCTATCTGTCCATTGTAACAGCCTCCTAGGAGAACGTGTGCATCTTTTGGATTGTACTCCAGACAGACAAGAGGAGACACTGGCTTCAGTACCATCTCTGGTTTGTTAGGATTCTCTGCAATAAAACATAAAAGATTCTTTCAAATATTTGCTATTTTTACAAGCAATCTGCTCATACCAAATTCAATTCAATTCAAGATTGTTGATTAGATGTCAACACCTAGCAAGTTATCCCAAATGTTTACAAAAGTGTAACAGTACTGTATATTACAAATGCTGATAACCTTCTTAGTGATGACAAATCAACCAAAACCTGACATGACTTTTTTAATCAAATTACATATTGTACTGAATATACATAAATGTATACAAATCCACAGCCATTTTTGTTCAATGATTCAATTTTATTTTTCAAAATGGATTTCAATAATGCATTAATGTTGTAATATTTCTAACATTAATTATATGTCACATTTTTGATTTTATGAAAGAAACAATTCTAATTCCAAATAATAGAATAAAAAGCTTTTTGCAAGTTACACATATGCTATAACATTTTTGATATATTGAAAAACAAATTGCATTAAAATGTTCATACACTTACCAACATCCCATATATAAGAGTCCATGCTTGTGTCAGCGGAGGACCCTTGGAACTCTAGGTTACAGTAAGCTATTGCTAACTTCCTGGGGCCATCTGGGAACCATGAGATATGTGTTGCTGTTCTCTTGATTTCATTGGGATCTCTGAAAGATAACATGGCAAATATTTATTGCAAAATACAAGAAACTGATGCATGCTGTAAATAATAAATAACAAGCTCTGGTATCTTACTTCTCCCAAAGATATGATTTGTCTTAGTAATTGATTTTTGTGGCAATTTAATTTAAAGGATGTTGAAGGAATAGAGTGTGCTGAACATGCCAAAACTATTGCCAGATATACTGTTGCCTTAAAATTGAAGTGTCGATCAAAATAAAGTCAGAACTATTGGACTTTTTAAAAAGGAGGTCTAACATGGAATGATAAGAATAAAAAAATGAAAAATTGTCATAATCATCCAAAATTTATTTTCTCCTTATACCATTGATATGTCTTCCCTCTAGTACATTTAAATTAATGATAAGGCTAACACACTTTAAGTACACCAATTCGAGTTCATCATAAAAGCAAGCTCTATACTTCATATTGCTTAAAATGCAACATTGCATCACTTACCTGAATACATTTATAGTCTTAGCAGATGGTGGTTCATCAGTGCTGTCTACTTCTACATCATCAAAGTATTCCTCATAAATATCTATGGCATTGTTTTGGCGGATACAGTGCTCCATCACCTTCAACACAATATCAGCACTTATCATTATTAATATAATGTCTTCCCCACAAACTTTCAAGGATGACATTAAAAACTTTTAATGAAACTGCCTTTACATCAAATTGACAATGGTAAAATTGTTTAAGTTAATACTTCACTAATGTTCACATATTAAAGTGTGAACACTTAAGCAAGCCTCAGAAGCCTTCACTTGGTACTAATTTATCATATATTCTCATACTTACGCCCCCTAACTGTTGTATTGTATTGATGTACATTTCATCTTTTTCTACTTTTTTCCTAAACCTCATGACTTGTTCTATTTCTTGAGCATTTACATCTTTTGGCCATCCTCCTTCTGTGTGGTTGATGCCTCTGTTTTCAGTTTCAAATCGTTCTGTGTTCACCTTAAAAGTACAGCCAATTTTATGATTAAATTAATACATGCACTTTTCAGGGAGCATATTTTTCTTTATTTCATATTGTGATTTAGCTAACACATGTGTCCTCTTTATATGCATTGTTTATATTAGCAAAAACTAATCCTATAAAATCCATGTGATTTCAATTGTGTAGCCTATCCAGGTGTACAATGTCATATAAATCAACATACCTCATGTTCTGACATTTCTTGAGCACATTGTATTTTAGAATCTACCGGATTCCTCTCAATGAAATTCTCAAGCAGGGATGGATCAGGAGTGATATCAACATGAAGTTCTGCAGGCCTGTCGGAGAAATTGCACTGACGGCCAAACTCGGCCCGTTTCTTTGTGTACACATACACAATCTCCATTTTGTATTATTAACCTAAAAATGATACAAATATAAATTGAGTACACTAAAAAACAACAAAAAGTGATAAGTAAGCCATACATAAACTACTTTACAACATCAAAGTAAAACGATGCCTGGAAGGTGAGTTGAATAAATCCGATCCCTCAAAAATATATACAGATATACAACGATCACATCATTCAATATTTGTCTTATTATTTTCCCATTATTCACAGGAATATTGATAAGAATGTAAGACGCTCGTTTAGTTTCAACCATGAACTTCAAATCAGATTTGTCATTATGCTGTTGAAATCTACGTCAGAGCCAGTGGATAATAATTAGATTCGAATATTTCATATAAAATTCTTTAAATGTCTTCATGTTTCGAATTGACTTCTTGATGTTTGTGCAAACTAGTACAAAGATCATAGCAGTCTTTCCTAACCTTCCATACGTTAAAATCTTCAGTTTTTTGGTAATCTTACTTTATTTCTGTTCGATGTGAAGTCCAAGATTGGTACTAAACGAAAATAAATTGATGGAAACATTATCATTTTCCCAGGTTTTGAATTGTGACGTCACGATCGTTGAATACAGCCTGGTATTCTATACGGATGAATATGTCTTTTTAGCATGTGGAATACCGCTACTCATTTTTAGTTACATGGTACCTGACCAATGAGAGAACGAGTATGACAGCATGGAAATAATAAACCATTGCATAAAAACCAATACATAAGTGAATTGATTTATGTGGGTATATCTTGAAAAAGTAAAAAAAATTGTGCAAAGTGGCAGCATTATTGCTGAAACTTGGGAATGTACTTTTTCCAGAGTTCAGATAGGATCTATAGGGCGAAAGGGTGTAACGTCGACACCATTTTAGGGTAACTTCGACATGTGGGGTAACTTTGACACCTCGTTGTTTATTTGCTCTAATTTCTAAGTAAGTGGCGAAGTTATCTCGTCCCTTATGTCGACATTACCCCACACATCGACGTTACACCCCTTTGCCCTAGAGTCTACCGTATTTAGGTAAACAGTTTACACTATATTGATAGTAACCAAACCCGTCTGGCCCAGTAATCTACTCCCGATTCTGAATTGTCGTAGATCTAGGACCAGACAAGGTCCAATGCAAAAAAGGGGTATTTACTCCGGAAAAAACACACTGCTGAATCATCACTTATTATTCATTCCCTATTAGCCATCCAACCAAAACATCGGGTACCATGTAAACCCAAGTATTTATTTGAAATAAAGAGAACATAACTTACGCGTAAATGTGGTGTTTTGTTTGTTATATTGATGTTGAAATGGGCACAACATTTCGTCAATATTTCGTCAGTTCTCCGCACCGAATAAAGTCACGTGATGTGACGTAACACGAGTGTGACGCGATAATTTTTAAACTTTCATGGAACGAAAATACATTTCCCGGGAATCGATACATTCCAAATATTACGATTTGTTCAGCAGATTTGTTATCAAAACGTAGATAACTTTATAAAACAGACGTGTCTGTGTTGTATTTAAACTGGAAAGAAATATGGTGGACATTAAATACGATTTTTCAATTTGTTGAACTGACGGAATGTAGTACTGAACGAAATAAGCAGCCGAGACTTCTCGATATTCTACGAGATCACGAACAGATTGCAGAAGAATTTTTCTTTTTGCTGCGTTTAGACGTTTCGTTCTTATTTATTAGCCGTCATCCAGCGATGGAAACCTAATATAAATACAAAGTTTGATCATGGGCTTTCAACTAGAAGGGTAGGCAACTTCCCATATTTCATACATAAACATTGCCATGGGTTTTCAAAATTGGAGAATGTACACATTCCAAGAAAATCTTATTTTGTACTTTTTATTGATGATTAAAAGAAATAACTCAAAAATAAAAACATGATCTTCTACATACATCTTGATAATTTAATAAAAATTGGAATTCATCATAATTATGACAATACAGAAAGTGAACATTCTCCCACAAATTATGTTTTTATTGGAATGTGTTCTTGAATAATTACCCACAATGCAATACTCAAAGAGAACATCTTGATAACTCTTATTCTTATTGGTCTCTTTTGTTTACTTTTATATGATATTGAATATATTTTATGCTTAAATCATATTAAAAATTGATTTTTATTCAAAATAATACTTAAACATTATACATTTATCTAATACTTTTTGAAATATTGTCATAAAAGGGAAGCATGTCATTGCTCATTTTGAAGGTCTCATGTTATTACATAGAGTTGCATACCCTTCTAGTTGAAAGCCCATGGTTTGATACAAGGAACAAACACGTAAGTGATTTTTATGATGTTTATTCATTTATCAGCACGTATTATACATTGAAAAACCAGTGTGTTTTTTCCGGAGTAAATACCCCATTTTTTGCATTGGATCGAGTCTGGCCCAGATCTACGATAATGAGAGTAGATAACTGGGCCAGACGGGTTTGGTTATATTGATAGTTGATCACATTCTGTTCTAAGTTTAAAAAAACAGCGATACAATCAGGGCTAGGCCGATGCTTTCCTGAAAAATTTGAAAATTATTTTACTCTCACCCAGAGCGGAAATCATGAGAAAATCATCAAAAGAGAATGAATATGAATTCACCTCAGCATTCCAGAATTGGAAAGAAAATATATTCAAATCAAATTTGATATTTCTGACCTTTAGAACGATGAAAATCTGTCATTTTTGAATATAACGTAGACAGATAATAGTATTTCATAAAACAGTATGCAACATTTATAATTAAAGTTAATTACTTACTATTATGCATGCAAATTTGTGAATATTGATAACTTTTTTTGAGGCTTCACCGTTGCTAATGGAAATATAGCTTTGCGCATGCGCAAAGTTGAGGAGCATATATGTTTTGCGTTTCATAAATCACATATATAGCATTTTTGTCGTTTAAACTCATTCAGTACCTAGATTTCTATCAATTTAAAGTAAATGTGATTATTTGATGAGTGAAATACAGAGAAATCAAAATCAAAATTAAATTGTATATTATTGTAAAAATTCCATAATATTTACTCCTCAGAACTCATGACCAAATGGAAATGAAAAAAATTATGCTGCTGCTATTTTCGGTGTTTTATAATACTACAAGAATAGTTAAAGACATGTAGATGTGACAACAAGACATGCTTGTTATAAAAACTTTGTCGATTCGATTTGTCCAGATTGTGGTTCTACACCACTTTCTTTTTGTGGCATTTTGCAACGGCATTGAAGAAATCAAAAACTCCAAAATTCATGATACTGGACAACAAGGTATCAAATCACAGGTGGAACCCAAATCTCATTTCGTCCAAGAGATTGAAGAGATATTTGAGGATGCGGTAGAATCAGGTAAGTCTGTTGCCACTTACCTGTCTTTGTACTTTATGGGGCGTGATAATCCGATTGTAAGCATGGAAACTTTACTGGCCTACAGTTACATGTATTACTAGAGGTGTAACTCCCGAGTCAGTAACTCGAGTACAGCTCGTCAGAGCTGCCTATACATTGCCTCGAGTTGTCCTCTAGAAACTCGCAATCTATTTCAACTCGCGAGCTAGCTATAACTCGAGTCAACTTGCGAGTTTTGCCTATCTTGTAAGCATGTAAAATGAATTTGGGTCCCAGAGATCGTGCAACATTACTTCATTAGTGGAATAAATATATATATATTTAGCACCCGTCACCTAAAAACACTCTCAAAGCTTCACAAAGTTCGACAAATATCGTGGAATGACGAGTTACGAATAAAAAATGGTCCCCTTATTCTCACGTCGTTTACACGACTTTAACATAAAGATGATCTATCATTAAATTAAGATCATAAGTCTTAACTTTAGATCGATAACCAGCAGTCTTTAGTATAAATAATGAAGATAATCCGGGAAAACCATTCATTAATTTGAGGGGCCCTTCTAGGTTTTCTAAAATATTGCTTGGTTAGATTCTAGCGATCTCTCGTCCTTACCGTATGCGGCGACGTCTATACTAGATCGTTTTTGATTGAAATATGAGATAATTGCAATGAATACCACACTTTCATATGGCCCCAACGTGTTAAACAGCTTTTAGATGTGACTAAACCAGAGAAACTTGCCGCTAGAAGCTACAGTAATTTTGTATACCCGGGTTTACAACATGTACTGGACGAAATGAATGAACTCGAGTTTTGGAAATATTTGGCAAGTTGAACTCGAGTTGGATTTTTCTTGCGAGTTACACCTCTAGTTATTACACGAGTCTTACTCACTCGAGGTTGGAATTTCTTAGAATGACAGAGAACAGTATTTCACATAGTCGCCCCTGGACTGACAATCTGACTATAATCAGGGTTCGATCTTAGTGGTAGCAAGGAGCAAATTTGCTACCTGATTTCACGTTTTGCTCCAAAAACTTCGTGGCCGGGAGCAAATGCTTGCTACCTCAAATTTACGCAATGGATCTCATGCATTTCAACCCTTCTATCGCATAGAATCAATGGAACTAACCACTCCCGATATTTTTTCATCGCATTTCCGATAGCAATATACAACCTCAACGCTGATTGGTTGATACGGATCCCAAAATGAAACAAAATAAGATAACATCACTGATTGGACTTTACTCGCTTTAGCGAAAAACAGAATTTCTTGCTGAAAAAAATGTCGCCCGCATGATAACATGTTTCATCTACGAATACACTATAATTTGTTTCCCCCCAATTGATTATACTACCTTTATTAGGATTAGATGATTCATTCTCCTATTTTCAATGAAAACATACGGATTTTGGTCTGAAAAACCACAATTGTTCTCAGACGACTCTTGAACGTAAAAATTCTCATTTCGTTCAGTGCAAAAATGCGAGAAATAACCGGGGATTCGTTATAAGACATGAATAGAATTTGAGGAGCAATTTGCTACCTGATAATGTTTTCTTGGAGCATTTTTGTTGCTACCTGAATATGAGAATTTGCTCCTTGTTTTGGTAGAAGGTAGCAAATCCTTGCTACTGGTAAAAAAAGTTAAGGTCAGACCCTGATAATAGAGGTTCACTAGAAGAATATGCCAATATTTTTTCAGGCTAACTTTTTTGATTATGCGCCTTTGTTCAGGGGATATAGAAAATTTTTAAAATGGGGTGAAATTTCAAATGCTGGGGACTCATTTTACTGTGATGCAATTGAAAGAAAAAATTTTCAGAAATTTTTTTTTGGGCCTTCCTAATTACTACATCTAACCCTGAAAATATGTTTGTGTGCATAACATAAATTAAAGGACAACTACTAATGATAATTGGTATAGATTATGTTATAAATGCTATTGGTTTTATGCCATCACCCTCCAGGCCATCCTCTACCTTGTATTTATAACTATAGTTATTATATAAAAGTCATACTGCACGTGTAATCTAATTATGGATGGGTTATAGCAAAAAAAATGCAGAACTTGCAGAAAAGAAAAATCATGGGACTGGAATACAGAGTGTTTCAAAGAATGTGGGCAAATTAGCATTTTATAAACCAGGTGGTTTTGACACTTTCTAATTCTAACTATATACTGTCCACATAAAATATCCCATAGTGTGAAAACAGCAAAAATGCTAATGTTACATGCTTCTATGTTCTCAATATTTTCGTATATTTCTTTCAGTGGAAGGGATGTTCAATGACAGAAATCCATCAGTTCATATGAGCTGCTCCTCCCCCGGGTCCCTAGATTCAACCCTCACATTCCACGCCACCTTGAAAATTTTTCCTATCCTCGACTCCTACGTATACGAGTGGTATGACAATGCAACGCATGAAGTTATACCCATGAAAGCTAAGAGAACAAGTAAATTGACGAGAGTGTATAGCAGTAAGGATGTCTCTGTGGGAGTTTATCCGATGGAAGTACGTATCAAATATACATCATCGGGAGATATGATTGCAGGGAATTCTCTCAATTTTACTTTAACAGGTTAGTATCAGTCAAGAACATGTATATGTTAAAAGTTTTAAATAGGAACAAACATATTTCATATCAACTTGATTTTATGTCACCACCACAAGTGTATTGTTATAATGTCCAACTTTTTGTGGATGGTATTTGGTGGTTGGTAGTGACATTCTGCATGTTAATGCCTTGTCAGTCTAAATATCGCTTTTCAAGGTTCAAAAGGCGACTTTGAATGGACTTTTATGCATAGTTCGAAAATAGAATCACCAGAAAAGGTTTTAAACCATAAAATCGACTCTAAAGCCTGAGAAAATGTTTTTTTAACCATTTTGTCAACTGTGTGTTACAGTATGCCTTTAATGCCTTGTTTATTTCTGGTCTTTTAGCCTAACAGGGATTAGCTGGCCGCATATTCAGTATGAGAATTACTGGTATTATACTTGTGAAAGGGGGTTATATAAGAAAGGGGGGGGGGGGTCACAAAAGCTTGAAGCAAGACTAACAAGGAATCCATGTCATCATATCTTCAGTGCCAAAATATATAACAGTTATGACCTTTTTTTATTGATACAAACACTGTATATACTGGATGACTTTTGGTCAGTTCACTCAATAAGGCAATGATCCGTCGACTAGTCAAGAATTATATAATGATTTGTAAAAATGTTCATCTACGTAAGAGATGTTGCATATAGTCAGTAGATTGCCCTTAAACGTATCGTAATTAAAGGCAGAAAATTAGACTTGGCTATAGGGAAAATATTTTACATCTGGCTAGACTGTTTTTGTATTCAAATCTCAAAGTCACTACTATGACAGATTATAGAAGACCTCCAAGACATACAAAAATTTGAAATAAGTCTAATCATGGGTTGAAAGAAAGCATGGTTTAATGCTAGAGAACATAGTTTTCTCTCTACCCTTTGCATTCATTTGACTTCACTTCTTAAAAGAGAGCTTCGTCTTCACTCTTTCAAACTAAAATAAAACTGTGAACTCACCACGCCAATCAGTGTTCGTCGGCCAAATTTGACCGACGTTCTATATATGGTTATTCCTTCTGACGTAATCGTTGAGCCCGGAATTGACCAATGACATGCTCACATTTAATTAGAACGCATTTGGCGTATGTTTCTTCAAACTCGCTGATTGGTTGAAGAAAGGTCAGCGCGTAGGTCAGAAGTGATTTACTACCCAAACTGTCACTAGTACCCGTCGTGGGGGGGGGCTACTAGACTGTAATATGGTCTCTACTAGGCAGAGTGTAGTTTAACTAGACTCTGCACGCAGGGTATCTTCTCTCCAAAGATTTAATGGTCTGCCTCTACTCCAAGACAGATTTCATACTAGAAACAAACATTGCTACTATTTTAGATTGTTTTATGAGCATAAACCTTTGAACTCACTATGCTCCGGTGTCATATCATGTTATGTTATTTTAGAATCTTGTTTTAACAGACACAATAATATGTTATATAAATGATCTACATTAAAGTACGTCAAAATAATTTAAATGATATAACCTTGAATTTCGTTTTCACTCTAATTAACTTTTTTTTGATTTTGACTTTTTTTTATTGTAAACACATAACGCATAAAGTATTTTTGGCAAATCTACTTTCACCCAAGAAATTAGATGTTTTTGTCTCAAGCAGGCATCTAAAATATGAACAATACTCAATTTTAACCTTAACAAGGGCATAAACTCAGGTGATGATTATGTACCCTTTGCATTCGTTTGACTTCACTTCTTAAAAGAGAGCTTCGTCTTCACTCTTTCAAACTAAAATAAACCTGTGAACTCACCGCGCCAATCGGTGTTCATCGGCCAAATTTGACCGACGTTCTTTATATGGTCATTCCTTCTGACGTAATCGTTGAGCCCGGAATTGACCAATGACATGCGCATATTTAATTAGAACGCATTTGGCGTATGTTTCTTCAAGATCGCTGATTGGTGGAAGGTCAGCGCGTAGGTCAAAAGTGATTTACCCAAACTGTCACCGGTACCCGTGGTGGAGGCGGGGCTACTAAACTGTAATATGGTCTCTACTAGGCAGAGTGTAGTTTAACTAGACTCTGCACGCAGGGTAATGATTATGGCACATTTCTCACAATGAAGAATAAACAGAATAAACATAACAATTGGTTGTAACATATACCATCTTGATCCATCGAAGGTATTTCTTAACCGAAGGAATACAATTGGTTTAACAGTATGACATATAGTTGGACTAGTCTATTTTATAGAAGTCACAAAGCCTTGATATGTTTGAAGTTTCAGTTAAGTAGGATTATTTTGATAAACAACTCATAATTCAAATCTGTTTACTACTTGAGATTTAATCCTTGTTTACACCTATCTTACTAAGTTGTTACTATTTACACCATTTCCTTCATTTTTTTATCACACAATGGCGGGATAAAGTCGTCATGATGATGGCATGCTCTGGATCATTATCATGATCGTTATTAGAGTCCCACTTTTTGTCATTTGGATTACTCGAAAATAGTTTGACTTTCTTTCAAATTCCTTCATATGTTAAAGGATCCCATCCCATCATGGCTGATTAAAAGATTTTGGAGGCCATCTTGTTTTTTGGCAACCCTGTGAAAAGGATGTACCAAGTTCTACAGTTGATTAACATTTTGACAGACATATTTTGCAAATTTTCATTAAACCATCAAATATGACTTTTAAACCTTGAGATATGGCACCGTAGCTGATACTTGTCATAAAATGAGGCTGACAGTAAGAATGGGCGATCAGTCATTTGGAAAGTTTCATTAAACTACAGAACACCTTATGATTTACTCATGATACGATTCTCATTCAATCATGAATATTGCACTCTCATCATGGATATTGCACTCTGTTGCTACTCGCGCTCATTCAGATATCATTGCTATTTGTCGATAAAAAACATATCTTGCGAATGTATCTTCAGCTACATGTACAGGCAACTTCATGATAAACACAGTGATTGTTATCGTTGGTTTCATTGTCATGATCAAGTACCTGAAGTAGGTTGACCTCCTCTTGGCCTGTTCACATAATCTTATACATTGATGTTAATGGATGTATAATACAATTTGTAATTTTATGAAATTGAAATTCGTAAGGTTTATATGAAAATTGTGTGTACTTTTACATCAGTGAACTTTAATTATGATTGATTCCAAGAAAATATGTCACAGGATTTAATGACAAATTAAGCTTTTAAATTAATGATGCTTTTGACATACATGTATTAGAAAAAAACTGCTAAGTTTGAAAATTTAAAAAAATCTACAAAAATCTCTAGTTCTACAGTATCGCAAAATACATTAGATAAGCCATCCCTATAAATTATATGAATTGTTGATTCAATAAAAGAGCAATCTGTAGAGATGTACTTAGTGATTTCAACATAACCTATCCTGATCTAGTTACTTTATCAATTGAATTTAAAAGTACATGTAAATTTGACTGGTGTTTATGTCTCATAATGATAATCCAAATATGATTACAAGAACAGAGATACATACTAAATTATGTGTGTATACTTTCATTTGATAACAACAGTGCTATTTTCTACCATTGCAGACATTTTTCAAATAATATACAATGTATTTGTAATTGTGTATATTCATAGTTATAAAGTAAAAGTCTGTGGAGTGAAACCTTGGCATTGAGCAAAAACATATTTTATTCAAATAGCATAGAGTTATAAAACATTTAACATAATACATCCTGATTTATTAAGTGTTTGCCTAAAAAAGGAGGGACAGAACAGTATGCAGATGAAAGCAATGAATTTGTTACAAAATCAATGACAATTCGTTATATATTTCGTAACAAGCTGCTTTCATTTCATTTTGTGTTTTTTACTTTCTCAATATTTTAAAATACAATAACTAAAGAATTTAAAGTTAAATTGACCTGAGTTTTAAGCATAAATAGGAATGTCATAAATGCTCAAAAATTTCAAGTACTGTAATTCTCAGACTTTATTCTTGCCCATATTATTTTATCTAAGAAATGGTTCCAAATTGAAATTGTTCTTCGCCATTATACAGGGTGTCAAATGGTGTTGTGCTCCCCCTCCACAGCATAAACTAGGAAAGATACACACACATACCATATACCATTGGAAAGAGCATTTAATTGTTGTTAACATGTGAAAAGATGAAGATGCATGATGGAAAATAAGATATATTTTCAACTTACGTTTAAAAGTGAGTATGACCCCCTTGGGCAGCCTTAACCGCTGCCAATCTAGCCGGATATGAAGCTAAAGGGGAATGGAAAAGGGCTGTGTCTTTTTCAAGAGATTTTAATACTTCGTAATGAAACTAGCACCCTCATTCTCTATATGCAATACACCTTATTCTGTCTCTATATTGCTGATTATCATCATCAAAAAGTTGTTTTGTCATCTTTATTTCAACTGTGAACTAGCTTTAGTCTAAATAAATAAAATAAGGCACTACACTTAACAGTCAGCCACTTCTCAAAAATCAATGAAATAGAGCACTATACTAGAACATTTCAAATGCATGTGACACAATGTAGCAATATCTGACCTAGGTCATCTAGGGTTTATTTTATCCAGAATTGAATGCTCTTTCCAATGACATACATAATGTGTAGGTACCTTTCTAAGTCTATGCTGTGGAAGGGGGGCACAACGCCATTTGACACCCTGTACATGGATCATTTAGTACATGATAGTAGTCACATGATTCTTATGATACATGATCACGTTTATAAGATTCGAAGGTTATCATATCCCTCACTATGAGCTCATGAACAGGAACCTTTCACCCTACTGGTACAATGCGTGAATTACTGTTTAAAGAATACCTGTTTGAATGTGATAACATTTGAAGTTTTGATAAGCAATCACAGGGTAGTCTCAATAAAGAAGTTAGAAACAAGAACTCGGTTATCATGTCCTTCATATTTTAGACTCTTTAAGAATAGTTTGATTTTCCTTCCTTATGAGAGTTTCATCTAGGTATTTACTAGGATGAGATACTCAGGGGATAAACAGTATGTATAGTAAAACAAAATTTGCAAGTTATTCTTGGTTAATGAAAACACAGAATTAAATCCTGCACTAAGGGTGATGTTAAAAAGTCAGTACACCCTCTAGGGATTGAGCCCACGATCCCTCGCAAGCCAGGTAATTGCAATTTAGCCTGCAAATCTTTGTGGACGTTGTTTGGTGCTCAGCGTTCTGTTTCTGTAAAAAATGGCAGGTGGTGACATTTTGCATGTTAATGCCTTGTTTTATACCTTGAAATATCAATAATTTTGTTTATTTTATATATTCACATTCACTCCCAGTGAATAGACAGTCAATATGTGAACACCTTGGAATGTGAACACCTTGGAATGTAAACACTTTTGACAGGTTTCACTCTACCAGGTTCTATTATATATTGTGACCTTAAAGTTTTTTTTGTTTCAATTTTATCTTGTTATGTTCTCCAACTTTTCATGGATGGTGCTCGGTAGGTGGTTGGCATCTGTAACAAATGGCAGGGGATGACATTTTTCATGTTAGCCTAATGCTTTGTTATAATATTATTCTTTGCCATTGACTCAGGACTCAATGTTATTTTGTCAGGTTGGGCCAGGATTGAAAGAAATAGCTCATTTGTTGAGACTGGTTGACCAAAATTTTGAAAAAGAGTGAACATTTTGAACGAGAGGATAGTCCTAGTATATACACAATATATACCCTTCTCTAACATAAATATTTTATAGATCATATGTGTTAGTGTTTCCAGTTAATATTACATGGACTTGTTTAACATATAATTTAAACCTTGCAGATACACTTAATGGCAACATAGCTATTTCACAGAAAAATGATGTACAAAGAAAACCTAACGTCTATGCAGCTAACAAAAACATTACAATCTCCACAAATGTTACCGACAAATTCCAAAATGCGAACTTTACGTATATTTGGAGGATTAATGGACTTAAAGAAGGCAACACAACAGATCCAGTCTTCAATGTCACATGTAAGAGTGATGGGAATAATACAATTACAGTTGATGCCTTCGCAGAAGTTGAAGCTGGTTCAAATACATCTATCCACATGGTTAAAAAGTTTGGGAATTTTTCCAAAAACATAGAAGTCAGTTGTAAGTACTTGTATCATAGTTAGAATTTAAGGCCTCATAAAAAATATTTTTGCTTGGAAAACATTTCTCGCCCACTAGAAAATAGTATGACAAGTTTCAAATTGAATATTATTTGCAATATTTTTATTTATTAATTAAAATGGCTTTGATTCACTTTTACATGAACAAATTTAAAGCTCTGTAATTACATCTATACAAGGTTTATAACATATAATTATTAAATAGGCTTATATTTAGGATTTAATGCTGATAATTACAGATATTAGCCCATGAAAGTTGATGCCACTTTGCTTTGAAATGTTGATACAGCTCCAACATTGCAGTACAGTACAGTACACATTCAGTTTCTGTACCTCTATATTTTAATCCATTCTTAACACTTTAATCACTTTATCTCCACTCTTTGGCCTCCATCGCATGTCCTTTGACACTTGTTTTATTTAGGGTCTCTTGACACATTTAACTCAAGCAGTTTGACAAACATGAAGCATTTGATTCACTTATACTTTTTTGTTTATATACAAAACAAACAGCTCATGCTATTTAATGGCCCTTATCACTTGTATTGTACCTTGATATACAGTAAAAGCTTTGGTACCTCCAGATAGTGTTTCACGTCTAGAGGTGTTCTACTTGCAGAGGTGTTCTACTGAGAGAGGCTCGTTTTACTTTAATTGGTAACAGGCTAGATAATTGTTCTACTTCTGAAAGTATTCTACTCGCAAAGGTGTTCTTCCACTTCCAAAGATGTCCCACTGCGCAGATTTTTCTTAATGGTTAATTGAAATGTTATAAAAACATCATCCTCCAACTCCCAGATTATTCCTCCTCAAATCTATGACCTATTCATTTGTCCCAAAAGTTACAGATCATTTGACAAAATGGTCAGATTGCACCAAGTCTCTGCCCCCTGTATTAAGGTGGGAGGGGGGGGGCAATACAGGTGCAGCAATAGTTACAAAGCATTTCTATGGATATCATGTACATATATGTTCAATAAAAAAATTACAGATACATAAGGGTTATGTACTGGGAGATTTTGGATATGGGGTTTATCCAGAGGGAGATATGCATATCTACCTGAGGGACCGTTGGGACCGAAGGTAGATGTGCATATCTCACGAGGGATGAACCCAATATCCAAACCGACCGTACATAACTGCTTTATCCTATACCAAGTAGAGTTTTCAGTGGCATATGGCCATTTTAACAGTACAAGGTGTAAAAATAAACAAATCATTCATATGCAAAGTCATTTTATTGCATTACCGGAAGCAGGAAGATATGCACCGGAAGCGGGAAGATATGCACCGAAGCGGGAGATATGGCAGGAGATATGGAGAAATCAGGATACGGGATATATCTTACCAAATTATCTCCCTAAAACTTTGCTTGGCATAGGATAAAAGTTGACATATACTGATTCCTATATGACAAAATATATATGTTTGCCTCCAGATGCAGTAAATAATCTCAAATATGAAGGCAGATTCAATCTACCAATTAAACGAAACATCAACGCTACAGTTACATGCACAGGCAGGTATGGGACAAAACCATTCATCACCATCGTATGTCTCAGTTACATTTGATCTGTGGCAAGTGTACAATGGCCTTAGCTTCCCAAAATTGAGAGAAATATGCAGGTGCTTAAAATATAGGGATAAGCAGCATGATGTAGAGTATGTACAGTATATCGTTTTGTGAAGCTATGGCCGCGGTACACCTGTGGTAGAGTAAATGTGACCGAGGCTTTACTCTATAACACTTTTTTACTTAAACTATTTAATACTGGCTTGGACTTTCGTTATATACAGTTATGTTATGTTTTTGTTTTTTTATTTCTAATACTAAGAGTGAGAAACACATAAATAAAGTGGGTGGTACCCTATTAGGCATATTATCCCCACGGTTAGGAAATTAACATGGTAGATAAACAGTAATGTGTAAATACAGTAAAACCTGTCTAATCCGAACACCCATGGGACCAGCCAAAAGCGTTCAAATTGGCAGGTGTTCAAATTTCGAGGATATTGTTGGTCGGGGGGGGGATTTTCATTGTTCAGTCCACTATATTGAACACTTAATACTTAGTCAGAAAACAATAGCCTACATGTATATGCTATGTTTTATTTACATTTTGAACAATTTCATTATTTTTGGAAAAATAACTCTTTAATTTTGGCAAAAACTTTGTAATACACTGAATAAGTATATGATAGTCTTGTACGAAATATTATGCTTATTTAATGACTTATCTCATATTATGGTTACATAGCACTGCTTTACTTTAGCTTGAAAAAGTCGTTCATTGTTGTTTGTTTGTTGGCACTTTTGGCATTAGCAATATTTGAGTAGATACCCTCTTCAATTAATTTTTCATGAGTGCTCATTCGAGATGATGCATAATCTTTCAAAATATCAAGGGCATTCAGGATGTCAGATGCGCCTTTTTAGGAGGCATTTTAGTGATAGGATATTACGAAGTTGAATTTTTTCTCTTTCTCGTGATATAATCTTGTCTGCAAATGTGTCTGTGTTGTCTTTGTGATTATAAAACATTTACTGATTGAATCCTAGCTATCATAACAGACCCATGGAATATAAAACAGTTAAGACTTGTTCATAGTCCAAATCAAAAACATCCAGTTAATTTAAAATATGGATAAACCAATTATCTCCCAGATTCTCACCTTTCTCTTAATCCAAATCAAAAACATCCAGGTAATTTCTAATAATGATAAAACAATTATAATCTTGTCTGCAAATGTGTCTGTGTTGTCTCTGTGATTATAAAACATTTACTGATTGAATCCTAGCTATCATAACAGACCCATGGGATATAAAACAGTTAAGACTTGTTCATAATCCAAATCAAAACATCCAATTAATTTAAAATAAGGATAAACCAATTATCTTCTTGATTCACACCTTTCTCTTAATCCAAATCAAAAACATCCAGGTAATTTCTAATAATTATAAAACAATTATAATCTTGTCTGCAAATGTGTCTGTGTTGTCTCTGTGATTATAAAACATTTACTGATTGAATCCTAGCTATCATAACAGACCCATTGGATATAAAACAGTTAAGACTTGTTCATAATCCAAATCAAAAACATCCAGTTAATTTAAAATAAGGATAAACCAATTATCTCCCAGATTCTCACCTTTCTCTTAATCCAAACATAAAACATTCAGTTCTTTTCTAATAGGATAAACCAATTAACTCCTGTATTCACACCTTTCCAAATCATCCTGTTGTTCTCCACAATTAGGGATGTCATTGAGACTTAAATAAGTTAATTAGGACAATATTGGTTCTTTGATTACATTGCATATGTAAAGATAAATAACAACTATAACATTGACTCAATATGTGGCTTTAATTGAAATGTCCAGACATTTGATTTCTGATAAAATGTTCAGATTAGACAGGTCAGTTTTTCAAATCTGGTTGTTCACTGTTCAGATTAGGAGGTGTTCAGATTTCAAGGTTTTTTTAACATGGGAGTCAATGGGAGGAAAAAATGGGACCGAAAAAAAGTGTTCAAATTGGAGGTGTTCGGATTAGCCAGGTGTTCAGATATACAGGTTTTACTGTACTTGTAATATCTCCGATTCAGCACTCCCATCCCATCCAGCCACAAACATGATTTAAACGAGATGTTTAGTCAACTAATTGACATTGCAATGAGTAGTTGATTACCGTAATTGCCGTATTAAGGGCCCACCCCTAATATGCGCCTACTCCGCTTCACAGAGTTCAAGAAATATCGAGGATTGACCAAGTATTAACGAATATATCAGAAAAAATCAAATTTCCAAAGAAATATAGTGGGCAATAATAGATGCATTCTCCTGATAAATATGTATCCCACATCATACTAAGGTAATATTATCTCAAAATAGTCCATAATGAATGAAGGAAATGATCACGTTTCAGAGTTTTGTTTCGACATTTTACTAATTTAGCGATCGTCAAGGTCATGAACTTTCTTGTTTCTTTAAGATTTCTCGACTTTTACATGACTTTTACATGAAAAATGATGATCTGTCATCAAATTAAAAAAAAGGTATAACTTTAGATCTAACAGTCTAAAGTGGAAATATTGAAGATAATCGTGGAAAACAATTCCTTCACCTCGAGGGGCTGTGCTGGGGAGTTTTTCAGTCACTGTCAATATAGTTAGATTCTTGCTTTATTTAAGCGATCTTTACCGTATTCTCTCCAATAACAATACATATCATTATTGTAAAAATAGGCTGTTACTTTTGTTAATAATACATTTTTGGCAAGAAAAATTCCCATACATGAAATTCCCAGGGATTTTTGACTTCTCTCATATATGGGCGCTCTTTGTAATGGGTTACAATGGGAATTTTAATTTCAAAAGCGCCCTGGGCGCTTATTATGGCGAATACGATAACTGTATTTTAAACCTATTCAAAATTAGAGAGTGATCTTACAAAGACCTTTGATTTTCCTTTTAACATATTCAAATAAAATGGAAAACAGCATCAAATTGGATATTGTTATTGTTTTTGTTGATGCCTGTTGGTGTTCAGATTTTGGCAGTTGGATTCCATAACAAATGGCATCTGTAACAAATGGCAGGTAGTGATATTTTCCATGGTAATGCCTTGTTTATTACATGAATGCATTATATCTTGACATATATCCTCTTATTTTCAGTTTCCCAATGACATTTTGCTACAACATCAGCGACCCCTTGGGTTTCCAGATTATGCGTTACTGTAGTGTGGAGAAAGAGAGTGTTGACTGTCAGTTCACAATCGATACCCAAATAGACTCCAAGGGTCATTACATACTTGATATGTCACTTACTAATGATATCAGCACCACTAATAACAGTGTGAAGATCCAGCTGTATGATCCAGGTAAGTTAGTTATAGTTACACAGTTTAAAATTGAGCATTTAAACTGTTAAAGTGGGGTTTATCCTGTGAGTTGAATATTTTCATCACACCCTTGGATGTTATATTGTGATCATTTTTTTTTGCAATACATATGAAGGCATAGAAGGGACCATTTAGCAGCAAAGTTCATCACTGGGTGCAAGATAAATCTGAACTGTCACATTGAAATTGAATTAAGATCACATTTTAGATTCCGACCCAATTTCTCCACATTATAAAAAACGTTATCGAGCTTGGTATTGTACAAATAAAAAATCCTATTATAAATGATATTCACTAACAAGGGTGCCTTGTGTTGCCCCAATGATATATGTGGTATATGTTACAGAGGATGTGAGGGTGATAGTGAACAGTTCCACCCCAGCAGTATTGGACTCACATATAACATTCTTTGCACGTCTGGTGCTTCCAAGTGGTGTCTCTATCAAGGATCCTCGCTTCAGATACATCTGGGAAGATGATGTCAGAGGTAATGTAACTTCTTCACCTATGTGGAGGAAATAAAGACACTGAACTGAACTGAACTGAACTGAACCACAAGTGGTGTGTCGGTGACATATTATTATGGTACTTTTTGTTGATGGTTTAAGCATTCGGCAGTTTGCGTCTGTAGCAGATGGCAGATTTGAATGTTAGTAGAGCCCTTTAATATGAGCACTGAAATATAGACACTGAAACATGAATAATGAAATGAGAACACCTTGAAATATGAACAGTGAAATGTGAATAATGAAATGAGAACACCTTGAAATATGAACACTGAAACGTGAATAATGAAATGAGAACACCTTGAAATATGAACACTGAAACATGAATAATGAAATGAGAACACCTTGAAATATGAACAGTGAAATGTAAACACCATGGAATGTACATACTGGTATGTGAACACCTTGAATGTGAATTAAAATTATAATCTGATACGGTTGGGAGGGTGCCACATAAATCTTGTCGTCAGATTACATGAAAACCTCTTTGACCTGAAATTTTTACAGATCCAAGTTTTGGGTAGTTTTGGGTAAGGCCCTTCATATAGTTTTTGTAGGGCCTCCTACAGTTTTTGTAGTTATTATTATTTATTTATTCTTCTTCTTAGCAGATCCTATTAGTGACCTGGACTGGACTTGTCGGGCAATTAGGTCATAACTAGGTCAAGGTCAAAAGTCAAAATCTAGGTCAAATTTAAGTTTTTTTTCAAGTTTCTCAAATCCTGACACTACACTTCAATATTTTTACCTGAATTTTTACATACAAATAGATTTTTTGGATTCAAATTTAGATTGTCTTAATCACAAAAAACATACTGAGCTCTAAAAAAGTAAAATTTTCAAAGTCAAAGGTCAAGGTCATCAAATTAGGTCACAAACTGTGCTATATAAGTTTCTCTAAAATTCGAGACTACAAATAATATTTTAGGTTGAAAATCAGGATATATATTTGTCTAGAGGTACTACACATATTAGCAGTTGACTATCTATTACAATTTTGCACCAGTTTTGAGATATAAGAGCTCAAAAACTGAAAAAAGGTCAAATTTCGAAATTTTTCAACACCAAATTTCAACTTGCTTCAAATTGACCATCTACAAGTTCTCGGGAGTTCAAATCTGACCTTACTTTTGACCTTTAGTTGACCTTCAGTGACCTTCGAAAGGTCAAAAAAGTTCAGGATATTTATTCCTCTAAAGGTTCTACGCATATTAGCAATTTACTATTTATTAAGATTTTGCACCACTTTTGAGATATTAGAGTTCAATAACTGAAAAAAGGTCAAATTTTGAAAATTTTGAAATTTTTCAAGGTCAAATTTCAACTTCCTTCAGATTGAATAAATATTTGTTATGAGGGGCGAATTGAGAAATCAATAAATAAAAATAAAATAAATAAATATACATCGTCTACAAGTTGCCTAGAGTTCATATATGACCTTAGATTTGAGATTTAACCACGACTGACCTTTTAATTGTCAAAAATGCCTACGGGGCCTCCTTAAAATTGCTTGCAATCTTGATATCTAGTTATTAATTCATAATTGTTTAGGGCTATAACAGATAGATATAGTAATTCTTGATCGTTCGTGGGAAAAATAGTTTTTATGTTCTTACAACATTTACTAACTGGCATTTTTGCCATACATACATTCCAAAACATAGCCTGTGAGGATAAACTAGAGGTGTACAACATACCATTCATTTGCTTACTGAACTTATGATTGCAGAGTTGTATAATACTAATAATTACAATTAAACAGTGTATATTATAGCCTCTTACGTGATATCTGCAGGGCTGAAATGAGTTTCATAAAGGACTAGTTTAAGGTCACTAAGCAGTACAATGCAGCACTGTTAAACCTCAATACTACACTATAAAAATCAATACTGCACTGTTAAACCTCAATACTGCACTATTAAAATCAATACTGCACTGTTTAACCTCAATACTACACTATTAAAATCAATACTACACTGTTAATCTCTATACTACACTGAACTGTTAAACCTCAATTCTTCACTGTTAAACTTCTATACTACACTGTTATCCGCTATACTACACTGTTCAACCTATATACTATACTGTTGACCTCTATACATGTGCACTGCACATTTAAACCTCTACACATCAGCTCTTAAAAAATATTTGGCTGCTACTTTCATTGCAGAAAATCCTTTGACTATAAGTTCATAAGTATTGCAGTGATTTAACCTCTAACGATTGGCTCAGGGTTGAATCCCCAATTAAGACAAAATGTGTTTGTATGTTATGTAATTCAGGGTGTTTGACTGAGTGCTCCACTACTATATATGTTAGCTAGTAAAAGGCTATGACGTCTACTTGTATGTCTGTATACAGGTGCACATAAAGGACGCAGGGCTTATCCAATTCTGACTTTGTCTTGGAGTAAAAAATACATAAAATACGGAATATATTATCAATGAGGTATTGCTCGCAAAATATGGTGGTAATCAAAATACAATGCCATAAGTTGTATAGATGTGAGCAATATCAATTAAATCTTTGCCCAAAATTCATTACAATTGTGAAAAAATTGCAATTCTTCTTAATTATAGAGTCCATAAGTCTCACAAAATATCTCATATCCAATATTTTGATTACAGTATATTGATGAAGCCCAGAGGGGGAGAAACACCAGGGTCAAAATATGCTTCGAATAGTATTATGTTCATTTCTGGTGTGTTAACCAATATCATAGCTTCTCATTTCACATCAAGATAAAGAAAGGTGTACGGAATATGCCTATATCAATTAAAACATCCCATCGAAGTGTAGTATTTGATAACTAGCCGATGAAAATTCGAACGAACGAAGGTGGTAAGCAAGAGAGGTAATTATGTCTGTCATCTTTAAACTCTGGGGCTTTCCCTCCTCTTGATGAAGCCCCTCTCCAGAATGAGTTCCTATGGTTACGTTTTGTATTATTTCAGGTTCACAACTCCAAGTAACAACGGATGATGAAACTTCCAGCATTTCTAGACAGTACCACAGCAAGGACAAGATCAAACCAAAACGCTACACAATGCATGTGACGGTCCAGAACGTGTATGACGGGCGCATTATAGCTAGGGAACAATCACCATTTAACTTAACAAAAACACTCAACACAAAACTTAATATAACTCAAAAGTTGAAATACCGGCGTTTCCAAAATACATTTGCAAGTAATAAACAGGTGAATTTTACAGTAGCAGTACACGATAATTTAACTAACCCAGATATATCATACTGGTGGTATTTAAACAATACACAAATTGGATTCACGAAAGAACCAGAAATCTCAACAGTTGTGAATAAATCTGGAATGTATATCTTGGGGGTTGACATTAGTGCATACATTGATAGTGATGATTCTCCACTACTAGAGCTTCATGGGAAACTACGGCATAATGTGTCTGTGAAAGACACCCTCCATACTCTACAACTAGAGGGGGTCAATAGTGTACCACTTGGTGGCTATCTAGACTGTCGGGTTACCTGCAAAGGAGGGTGAGTTTTGATAGGTACTCTGTTTCTTGAAAAAGTTTTCTATGAAACAATTCAGTGATCAAAATCCTATTATTAAAACCTGCGATTTTGAACAACTCTCCAAAATAAGAACACCCCTCAATATGAACACTTTAAGCTGGTCTCAAAAGTGTTCACCATGAACAGGTTAAACTACGTACTATCCATTACTATAGTGTACTGTGCTATCCAGAAATGCAAGCACTATTACGTGATTTTTCATTGGTCATATCACAGTTTTCAAAAATGCATTTAGTATTTATACTTCCTGTCCTTAAACATCAGTAATACTGCAATATTCATCAAGAATTCAGGTCAATTTTTGAACTACAAGGGCCGATCAAAAAGTTTCTTACCTTGTTGATAAAATGTTTTGATTTTCAGTTCCCCAGTGTCATTCTGTGCTAATGTGACGGACACTAGTGGCAAACAACGGCCAAACACAACCTGTCAGACAACCATGTATACTCAAAAGTGCAGTTTTCCAATCATTCGTAAATTCACCCAGCTTGGCGTTTATAAACTCCAAGCCACCATTACTAATGATGTGAGTGCCAGGTCAACAGTGTTCTACGTGAGCGTCTATGATCCAAGTAAGCGAATTGAGCATACACTTCAAGAAAATATTTTAATATTTGAATTAGGTATTATTGTTCATTTTAATCTGACTAGTTAAGTGTTCTCTGTGAAAGAATCATTTGATAAATATTAGCTCCAAATCCATATTAGTAGTGGAGAAATAAATGTTCTGCTTGACATGCCATAATTTTCTTTTTTGACGATTTTTTAGTTACACAACGGGAAACACTATTTTGTAAGCACTACTAAGAAAGAATACGTTATGTGTTATCCATAAGTAATAATCAAGACTAACCACTGATTCTCAGGAATAAAAAGTTCACACTATTTAGATAGATAGAGCTTATCCTCGGACCAGTTACGTCTTATCCGTGTGTCATATGACTACTGTGTTAATTAACTAAGTAAAGTATTCCAATTAAAAAGTGTTGTATGTTTGCATGCAGCAAGCGTTTAATAATTCTTCGCACATATAAAATTGTCTATAAAAGAGTCTGATATATAATATTGTCCATAAAAGATCGGTCTGATAATTACAAGTAACTCATGTTTATTTTAAAACTATTCTTTACGAATTTATGATAAGTGTATAATGTTCAATCATACAAATGCGCAGTCAGTGATTGTTCTCCACACTCACCCCTCCCCCTTCCTGACATGAACTATTTTGTAAAACCATTGACAGTGTGGAAAGTATTCTTACACTTGAGTGTCAAGGGGGGGGGGGGCAGTTATAAAAATATACAAGGCGATGGTTCACATTGGACAATTTTCAAAACTGCTCAACATGGTGAAAACTTCACGTTTTTAAAGGGTTCCGATTAGCATCCCGTATAAAAACAATATGGCGGCTCTAGGCGAATCAACTGGATCAGTCCATTTTTAAGAAATAAGGGGAGTTCTGTAAAATCCAGTTTATTGAAATTGTCTTTGAGATAAAGTAATCCGTTTATAATGATTTTGAAAACGTTATCCAAAGAGTGATTGCGTTCAAAGAATACATATACAACAGCTAATATAAATCCTTGCATTAGAAACCGGATTGTCTTGCTTTGTTTCATTTGTAGGATATTTCATATGCCAAGTTGTGTGCTATTACGTTATGGGGAAATTTAGATGCCAATTTTTCCTTATTATACACAAATAGATGATCCTGAAACTTCGCCCATAAATGTGGAATTGATTTGTCAAAATAAAAGTCACCCTTTTATAAATGTGTGACAATCTATAATATACTTATGCTATATAACAGTTAGAGGTGTTGACACAACGACCTCAAACCTGTGAACCCTTGAGTATTATTCCGGGATCGGGCCTTTTATACTAAACGGTGAGCAACACCAGAAACGAGCGTTCGATTTGCTAAACGATATGCGTCACCCTTTAAAGAATACTTGCCCGGCGAGTGGTTTGCTCTGGATTGCGAGAAAACAAAAACTTTGAATTAGGATTTTCCTAATACTATCATTAATCTAAACAACTTTTTAAACCTGATTACTCATCATGCCAATTAATACCATGATTGTGTTGACAGGATTAAATATGATATCTATGGAATTATAATTTAATGAACTCAATAGTCTAAATGATAATAAGTTCATAATTTAGTCTTGGCTGACTAGTCTTGCATCATCAGAGTTGGATTGCAAATACCTCCCTAAATCAAATATTTAAAATTAACAAATTTACAAGTGTACGGGTCGGGGACACAAGTCTCCACCCAACCACTAAAGTTTAAAAGGAAGACTATAGTGTCCCGTGAATTCATTATGATTATCTTAGACAATAGTGATGCGTACAATCATGGGAGTGTTAATTAATCGGAATGCAAGTTTGATTTGAAATAACTCCTTTGGATCAAATATTTAAATTCAACCAGAATGTGGGGAGTGGAAACAAGTCTCTATCCAAGCACTAAATATCAAAAGAAAGATTTCAGTACCCCTTAAAGCGGAAATAATGTCAGGTATTCTAATCATCATTATATGTAGTTACAATACTACTGAATAAAATGCAATAAGTTGAAAATCGTGTTATGTGTTAGTTTTTGTATAATATTGAAAATAAAAATCATAAATTGACCCAGTGACCCAGTTGTCTGTTGGACGGGGCTCGCCATTTTTCCCTCAGAGACCCGGATGTAGACCGGAAGTGTGACGTTTCTGCGACCTGAGCCGCCATCTTGAAAGCATTCACAACAAAGGAAAATGCCTATGTGTTGTGCGGTAAATTGTTCAAATATTTCCACTGATAGAGCTAGATTTGGGATAAGGACTTTAAAAGAAATGCCTGAACGACAGTACGACAGTCGGCTGGTGACGGTAGAATTAAAATCTGTCGACAGTTCAAACCAGCTGTCGTTGTCGTGGACCGAATCCCCGGGGAATAGAACACATTTAAAACAGTGTCACTTACTATAGTTTCTGAAAAGTTTCATGCACGGCTTTTAACAATCAAAGATTCCTACTTATTATTGTCTTGTGTGTCGTCCTATATCTATCCTGGGGTTGTGTTTTTTCTCCCCAATACGGGAAAACATTTTGAATAAAGAATTTTCCAATTCCGCCATCGAATAAGTAGGGTAATCTGCAGCAGTTTCGTTTTTGCTTCAACTCTTCACGCATGCCTAGTAGTTTGAAATGATTTACAAGTGCGCATGTGTTTTTGGAATTAAGCCAATCAAATTATTCATTCTAAGGCGCATGAACTAGATTCCAAATCAAGAGGAACTGGCGCAGATTGCCTCAAATGCTGAAATCGCTCTTCAAAAGCTCTTCAAAATAGATTGGTGAATAAAAATGAATAACAACTGAAGTAAGAGTGGTTTATTTAGCACGATGTCAGGATATTTCAAGTAAGTATTGATTATATAGACGCTACAGTGATGATGGTTCTAGACACGCGGGGCAAGTTGTTTTAGCTGATTTTCTCCTCAAACGGCGTAGATTGAACACAATTTTACTTCCGGGTTTACCCACGACAGTTTGCTATCGGCAACAGAAATAACACTGTCGTTATCGACAATGGAATCTCACTGTCGTTCGGGCAGTTGCCATACCATACATATTCTCTCACAAGAAACCAAAGAAAACGGATTCAAGGCGAGCAATCCGGTCCCAAAAAGAGAACTGAACCAGGCCATGTGCCGGTTAGGTCGACGCCATTTTGAAAAAACTTTTTGAATTGTATCGTATCGTATCGTATCGTATCGTATCGTATCGTATGTCTTTAATAGCTTTATAACTTAATACCATATTTGTGAAATAAATATAACATACTAGGTCTACGAGCCTTTAAATTGTTTGTTGTCTACTGTAAATACAACAGAAATACACCTCCATGGTGATCGAAATGACGAACCTTGCGTCATCGATCGCGATCATTCATGACGGGGAATACATTATCAGTTCTGCCTTATATTTATAACAGAGTGTCAAAAATCCAATTAATATCTGCCATTCGTCATTTTATTAAATAAAAGATCCGAATATGTTTAATCTTCAAGCAAAACGATCGAGAGATAATTGATTGTCAACATAAAATTAACGCATTTTCCTGTCATGTCGGTAACCAACGTTCACGAGTTGGTCAGTTTTTGGTTTTGATTGGCACTTTGGGAGTTAATTCTATGAATTGTAAGTATTGATGTGAACATGGTCATGTTTTTCTCGAACAGGTGATATCATATTATAGTATGTCAATATGCCAAATACATCGTCAAAATCTTCAAATTGCTCCATTTTCTTGTTAAGAAGTTCGTAATATTTTTCAATGTGGCCGCCCCGCTACAATCGCGCATGCGCATTTTTTGGGCCAATCAAAATGCTGGAATTTGTCGAGTCGCAGTGACGCCGCTCATGAATATTCATAGGTAGGTTATGGCGACCTCCATAATCCAGGTGAAGATCCAATACCTCAAAATTAATTCCAATATATCTGCCGATGCATTAGAAGATCGTCGCTCATACCCGGGTCATGTTTTTGATTATAGACTTATTATTCTGATGAATCATAGTTTTTACTTGAGGTTATTATCCCTTTAACTTCACTCCCGGACTTCACTATTCACCACCACCCCTCCCCCTTCCCCAATTATTCCTTATGACCCCAGAATGTTCGTTTCTGTGCCCCCCATCCATGGCCAGTAAGTAATCTATGTGTATACTGGCTCCCTCCCGAAGGTGGGAAAAACCAGATGCAGGCATAGACATTGACAGGGTGAGGGGATTTAAATATAAAAAATAGTCTTGTTTTTGGCTCCGACTTAAATATTTTGGAACTGTTTAACGAAGCCGGTTTAAGGAATGAGAGGCAAAACTAATTCCTAGATGGCCTGTCTTTACTGTAATCAAGATGCTACCTAACCGCAGTTTTAAAAGGTATAAGTAATTTATCTTTTGTGATAATATAATACTACTTGTTGATTGGTTTGCCAAATATAAGACCCTGTCATAAGACCCTTGTCTCTGATTGTGAAACATGTATATGCATCCCCGGGTATGCATCAAATCCGAGGAATATTACATTATGTAAAACAATTCCAAAAAGTTTTGTCTTGAACTCAATCAAATAGCGATATATTTCAACATGTGGAAATTATTCATTAACGTAATGTCAGGCACTATAGGTTAACAGGTTAACAGGTTTTTAGTTTTGCTCTTTTTTGTCACGCTTAAATTGTGTGCTTTATTTTTTGGGGATTTGAATTTGAAAAGGTGAATTCACGATCCAATAAAGCTTATAGTATCATTTATTAACAGATGCATCGAGATAGAGCCACCGTTCAAAAGACATAAACATAACTCTGTCGAGTGCAAACCAGTTTTAAATGTCTCTGTTTAAACCTACATGACCTTTTTTTATTTATTAAGCTACAGCATAAGCGGCACATATAGGTTTGTTGTAAGACCATTTCTGCGATGACCAAGGTGCGTATTTTGGTTTTATAATGGGGATATTGCTCGAGCTTGAATAACAAATAAAAGGCATGTTCTTAGTCTTGCTCAAAGACTGTATCCCCCCCCCCGTCACCTTCACTCTCTTTACCTGGCAATATACAGAGAGAAGGATAAAGGGGGGGGGGGAGTACAGGGTCTTTTAAGCAAGACTAGCATGTTCTTATTTCTGTATTCAGTCCTTTGATTGTGTATTAAGTTGAGCTGCACGCCAAACGTAAAAGATTGTTAAAACGCTTAAAATAAAACTTTATTCCTTTCAATTTACATAAAAATGAAACAGATTAGATTCAAATCTCAGTCACACCAGCCACTGGTCAAAGGAAGTACAAATATCTATATTAATCAAATGTCTGAGAATTTGATAACTGTCTGGAATCCAATGCTAATTTTATTGAATCAAACTAAGAAAAGTATAAAGAATAGATGAATTTTAAACTTTTAGAGGGAAAAGTCAAATATGCATTGTAACCCAAAAAATAATTAAGTGTCGTACACATTTCATAACATTTATATAAATAAAACAAATAAAGCACAACTCTAATGCCCTAATGAATTCATATCGGCACAAACGGCCCTTGCAATAAAAACGCATCGAAGCAGGGAATGCTTGGTAAATTCTTCCGAGACTGACTTTTGTTATTTCAAAATTGAAATATGCCAAATTCATTTGAAATAATCAAATAACCACACGATCTTTTTCCCTGGATTTTACTCTATTTTAGATTTACCAGAAAAATGTTTATATGATGTTGTGATGATTGCGTTTGCTTAGTTCATTGAAAAGTTCAGTCGTAAAACTTCAGAGATCAAAAGACTAATTAGGCACCTGATTGCGAAAGTTTGATTGCATTTCGATCGCCGGGATTTTACAAACGTATTGTTTATGTAGCGATCGTGTTCTTGGGATCTTGATAACTTCCTATTTTAAGTTTTGAGTTGGAAGCAATGAGTATGTCGGACTTTCTCAAGTCCACATATTTCTGTTTTCAAATGAAATAATTTCACCCTTGCCCGACTGACTTGTAGATAATGCACGAATCAAATAGCATGGAGATCAGATAATCAGATTGATTCGTATTTTCGCAATCAGATGAATCAGATGAATTAACTTATTGTTTTCTCTGATTAAAAGGCGGTTTGAAGCTACTTTTAACTGTTTACAGGATTTGTAAATTCGCAATCAGACTGGCTTATTTTGATATTTAGTCAGTGTAAGAGGAGGGGGCTATAATGTAGAACAATAACTGAATAATTTATCACAATTGTTAAATACGCAAACAGAGACAGGTTTAAAAATGAGAATAGAGGCAAAAAACTCATGAAATGTAATTAAAACCCGGGAATTAAAAGCAATTTAAGACTGTTAGATGATCTCTTCTGTAATCAAGGTGATGTTGGTACACTTCCGCCGTTAGAAAAACAAAGACTAAGACAAAGACTATATAGCAGTTAATCCTTTTGTAATCATTAAATGTTAGATTCTTATTATTTTGTTGGACAATGTTCAGACTTCTGACCAAGATTAATTCATTTATGTTTGTATTTAAAAAATAGTATTTCAATCAGACAGACGTTCTAATGAGTTAGAAAAATACATTTGTCCATTTCCTCTCAAGAAGTTTTCAAAGGTAATCAAGTCGATTTGTTTGAAAGTTTAGCATTGTTTTTCATAACTTGACGCTTCCATGAACAGAATGTCTTTGAAATGAGTTTTTATAATTTTAGCTTTTATACGGACATGCTTATTGTATATTTCTATATGAACGTTGTAATTTATGTGATGTAACATTGCCCCCCCCCCCCAAATTACAGGTATACACATTTTGGCTTTAACTTGCAATTAAAAGCAATTTTAGACTGTTAGATGATCTCTTATGCAATCTAGGTGATGTTGGTACACTTCCGCATTTAAGAAAACAAAGACTAAGACAAAGAGAACTAAGCAATTAATCCTTTTGTTATCATTAAATGTTCGATTCTTCTTTTTTTATTGGACACTATTAAGACTTCTGTCTCCGATTGTTATGCAGGTATGTGTATAAAATCATGTGAACAACATTATCGTGGAAACTCCCATATTCATTCTCATAATGTCTTACAGCTATTTCGCAAATGACATAATCCTAAACAACATGTGGACATAATATTACAGAACTGAGCGAAAAGAAAGGTGGAACAAATCAGATTAAGATATTTTATTTTTTAAATGCACAAAGGGCAACAGTTGAAGAACAAAAGTTAAAGGTTTTGTGAAATAGATCGTGCTTTTATATGATATCCCCTTCTGTAGTACCCTACCCTTTGCATTTGTTCGACTTAACTTCTTAAAGTCTTCTCGTAGTTTATAATTAGACTCTGCACGCAGCGTAATAGTGCCCCTATTATCCATGACCAGGGGCATAGCCAACTTTCAGTCGGGGGGGGGGGGGGGGGGGGTGCAATCGCCAGAAAACAATAACGGTTTTCAGTTGGGGAGGGGGTTGCGATTGTGGCAAAAGCAAGCCAAAAGATGCACTTCCTTCAAAATAGCATCTACTATAATGTTTATTTTTCTATCCGATATACAACTGATATTGATATCTTTCCCCGGACAATGTGTTATCTCATGGTCCGTTGAAATCATCAACAATGTGATTTACCACAAGAGATTAACCAACATTCCTTAATTAAAAAGTTGACATTTCTTGAATTTTTAAAGCAAAAACACTATGACACAATAACATCGAGGCAAAATCAAAACATGGTGTGGAAATAAAAGGCATACAAAATGGCCATTAAAAAGACATTCTTGTTCATAAAAGTATCTACTTTACTACATTGGACGCAAATACAAAGTATAGAATAAATAAAAATAACGTCTTCCCAGAGATTACAATACGGATCAGTAAGTCAACAAATCTAACCGTTAAATAAACAAACTTAGCCCACGTCTGAAATTGTTCGTCTGCTGGTCAGAACTTGGTATTCGCTTCGGATAATCAATTTCTGAGAATACTGATGTCTTAAATAATTCATAAAGACGACGTTGTCTTTAAATAAGGATCTTTAATCTACAAACTGTTATTAATAACAGTTTTTAGTATACAAATTGAACATACAAAATGTAGCGTATAGATTACACGTTACAGTGGCGTAACCAGCTTTCAGTCGGGGGGAGGGGGGGGGGTGCGATCGTGGCATAAAAAATGTTTTTGAAGATTTGTTTTGAATTTTACAAAAATTGGTGCAACTTCGTTCAAAATCGAACTAGAAGCTTCAAATAAAAAGCATTTTGAGACTTTTCTCTTCTATCTAATGGTTCTATTTTCATTGGTTATGGGGGGGGGTGCGATCACACCCATCGCATCCCCCTGGCTACGCCTATGCGCTATATTAATATAACAAGGTTATCATATCATGCCAATAGTTGGTTAACTAATATTAACACAAAATAATAATACACGATAATTAAAAAAATAAACCTCGGTATTCGGGCCTAAAATCCAAGGATACGTGTACCATTACTTAAGTGTAAGCTGCAATACCATATCGAATACCTGTACCATTACTCAATAATAACCACTAGTAAGACCATAATAACAAGCTTAATAACAAGCTTATTGCAAGTTATTTCATACGATTTTGTCTTGTGTTATTTTCTGGGATAACTTAGGGAAACAAACTAATTTGCCACAAAAAAATTTGGCTGGATACCTACTTTCTATTGGACATTTGAACTCAAGTGCTGAAATCTCCATTAATCTTACATCTTGAAAATTGTCTTCGTGTTTCAAACCAAACCAGTTTTTTTGATTGATCTAAAATGTGGGGACATGTTGTCAAAATATGTTTCTTATGATATATTAAATATGACACCACCACAGGTGGCGACATATTGTTATAGTCACCAAAGTTTTTCTGGATGGCGTTTGATGGGTGGTGGTCAGCGTTCAGCATCTGTAACAAATGGCAGGTGGTGACATTTTGTAATGCCTTATTATTATATAATGCTTTGTTTCAGTCGCCAGTGCAATAGCCTACATATTATAATGACTTGTTTCAGATGCTAGTGCAATAGCCTACATATTATAATGTCTTGTTTCAGATGCCAGTGCAAAAGCCTATATATTATAATGTCTTGTTTCAGATGCCAGTGCAAAAGCCTAAATATTATATTGTCTTGTTTCCGATGCCAGTGCAATAGCCTATATATTTTAATGTCTTGTTTCAGATGCCAGTGCAATAGCCTAAATATTATAATGTCTTGTATCAATGTCAGTGCAATAGCCTATATATTATAATGTCTTGTTTCTGATGCCAGTGTAATAGCCTACATATTATGATGTCTTGATTCAGGTGCCAGTGCAATAGCCTACATATTAAATGTCTTGTTTAAGATGCCAGTGCAATAGCCTATAAATTATAATGCCTTGTTTCAGATACCAGTGCAATAGCCTATATATTATAATGTCTTGTTTCAGATGCCAGTGCAATAGCCTATATCGCCATACCTATACTGATCAGCCTCCTAGCAGCTGTTGTCATCGCAGGAGGCGTTGTTTACCACATTAAAGTGCAGCGTAAAGGAGTTGAAACAGCAGACTTTAACTTTCACCAAACAGCAACAGCAGACACAGGTCCTGTTGTGAGGATTCGCCAGTCATTATCATCTTTGTTTAGTCAAAGCCGCAGTCCAAAGCAACAGGGCTATGCGTATGCTTCTCTGGAGGGTAGCGATGAGACAGTTGAAAGTCCTTCAACAGAATATGGAGCTTTGTGATGGTCGTGTGACACTGTAAAACCCAACGGAAAACCTTTGTCAAGTTTTCGATATAAAGTGGGGACCTAAAGTGCATCTCTGCTCTCAGCGGACAATGTACTGTTGGATATGCTTCATTAAAGTTTCAACAGAGACTTAATGTTTTATAGTGAACAAACGCAAGACTTCAACCAGGTCTTGAGTATGGAGACTTAATGTTTTATAGTGAACAAACGCAAGACTTCAACCAGGTCTTGAGTATGGAGACTTAATGTTTTATTGTGAACAAACACAAGACTTCATCCAGGGCTTGAGTATGGAGACTTAATGTTTTATAGTGAACAAACACAAGACTTCATCCAGGGCTTGAGTATGGAGACTTAATGTTTTATTGTGAACAAACACAAGACTTCATCCAGGGCTTGAGTATGGAGACTTAATGTTTTATAGTGAACAAACGCAAGACTTCATCCAGGGCTTGAGTATGGAGACTTAATGTTTTATTGTGAACAAACACAAGACTTCATCCAGGTCTTGAGTATGGAGACTTAATGTTTTATAGTGAACAAACACAAGACTTCATCCAGGGCTTGAGTATGGAGACTTAATGTTCTATAGTGAACAAACACAAGACTTCATCCAGGTCTTGAGTATGGAGACTTAATGTTTTATAGTGAACAAACACAAGACTTCATCCAGGGCTTGAGTATGGAGACTTAATGTTTTATTCTGAACAAACACAAGACTTGACTTCATCCAGGGCTTGAGTATGGAGACTTAATGTTTTATAGTGAACAAACACAAGACTTCATCCAGGGCTTGAGTATGGAGACTTAATGTTTTATTCTGAACAAACACAAGACTTCACCCAGGTCTTGAGTATGGAGACTTAATGTTTTGTAGTGAACAAACACAAGACTTCATCCAAGTCTTGAGTATGGAGTGATACTAATGAACCTAGGCTTGCACCAGGGTAGTGTATCAGTTAGCCATGTACACCCACAATCCAGTTTAGCATACATGGCTATTGGGGGAACTCTGCATGCATATTGAAGCCTCAGCCTTGTGAATTAGGGAAAATAGCCCATGAATAGGTGGCTTGATGGCAGTAGGCTCCATTAATAACTGTGTCACACAGACTGCTGTGTATGGAGTCTTGCTTCAAGACCCTGGACCCCCTGTTGTTGAAGTAGATAGGTCCAGGGTCTTGAATCAGGACTACTGTGTATAATGAGGCGGGGTCCACACTCCATGTGATGTAGTCAGAGTAAATTCACCAACATTTCCTTTGTTAAATGATCTACAGACAATAGGGATGTAGTGGCTGTTACAGAATGAAAATTGAATAATGTCAGTAACATCACTTTTACCCGCTTAGCTACAATGCATTCCAATATAAGGATTATACTAGTATTTTGTTAATATGCAGTAACATATTACTTTGTGTGGTATGTTTATATTTCCAATGCAATAAGAACATTTTGTACATACACCATTTACTTGTTAAAGGTACTATATATAATTTTACAAGAAACTTTTGTTACCACTAAGAAGAGGTGACATATTGTTACAGCCTTCACTTTTTATTGTGAATAGCACTCTGTGTTTGTCAGTCAGTATTTGTAACAAATTGTAACACAAATGTCACTGAATTCAATAACTTGAGAAGTAATGTTTGAATTTGAAATTGAATTTTTACTGAGAACACATATACATATGTATGTATGTACGTTTCAAATGATTTTTGGCACCTTTTTAGTTGACTTGATGACATGCAATGTTTTGTAACATGAAAGCATTAATTCAATGAGTGATGAGCTATAATTGAAGGTTTTCGGCAATATCCGTTATTATGGGACCTCGATTTTGGGTAGTATCTGTCACCATGACGATGGATTATGATGAGACTTAAAATTTGTTACATTTGTGATAAGTTCAGTAGGCATGATCAGATTGACTTGAAATTCATACAGTGATCTTCTGTAGGCATGATGTTATAGATAGATGTCTTCAGAGATGAGGCAGTATTGGTTACCATGGTAATGAATTCAAGTGTCAACACTCAGATAGGTTTTCACTTTCTAATAATGTGTGCAGGTTGTGACATTTTGTCATATGATGCTTTGTGTTATATTGCTCAAGATTAATATGTTCAATATTTAAGTGTGCATCCACTCAGAGCTGAACGATTATCGCTAACCGAAGCACGATTTGACCTTTGGATCTGCTGCTGAATTATTTATAACTGTGCAAGGAGGATTGGCTCCCAGGGTTCCAACTCAATATTTGACCTTGATGGATATCAACATTGAAAATGTTGTATGAATTCATCATCAGTGATTTGAACTAATATCTTGATCACTTGCGTGTCTTGAAACTTTTTATTTGGAAGACCAAAACTCACAATTCAAATTCTAAAGTGAAAAAATGATGGCTGTTCGAATTTGAATTTTGAAATCACGAATCATCATGGCAGAATAATGACTCAGAACCCTGGGAGCCAATCCTACTTCAAAATTCAAGATTGAAGAAAGAGGAGGTTGGTGCGGAAAGTCACTTTTATTTGCTAATTTCTCCAGCCCCCATGTTATTTCAATGGGAGTTTTTATCAAAAATTGATAAAAGTTTCGCTAATTTTGATAAATTTGTCTAAATCCGAAAATCAATTTTCTTTTATCAATACTATTGGTAAAAAAATTTGGGAGGAGAGTCGATGGGAAGACAAAACTGCACAAGTTAAATTAGCTAAAATTGATAAATTTGATAATTATCATAACTATCGCTTTTATCGCTAAAAAATTTTGGGTCTGGAGGTGATGTTCAGTGAAAATGGCACTAGTTAGATTAGCATTAGCTGATAATATCAGCTAAAAGTGATAAATTTGATAATAATTATTGAAAGTATTGCTTTTTCGCAAAAGAATTTGGGGCTGAAGCTTTTATCGCTAAAAAAATTTGGGTCTGGAGGTGATGTTCCGAGAAAATGGCACTTGGTAAATTAGCATTAGCTGATAATATCAGCTAAAAAAGTGATAAATTTGATATTTATCAAAACTATCGCTAAAAAATTTGGGTCTGGAGCTTTTATCGCTAAAAATTTTGGGTCTGGAGGTGATGCTCATAGAAAATGTTACCAGGTAAATTAGCATTAGCTGATAATATCAGCTAAAAGTGATATTTATCAAAACTAGACTATCGCTTTTATTGCTAAAAAAAATTTGGGTCTGGAGCTTTTATCGCTAAAAAATTTTGGGTCTGGAGGTGATGTTCATAGAAAATGGCACCAGGTAAATTAGCATAAGCTGATAATATCAGCTAAAAGTGATAAATTTGATATTTATCAAAACTATCGCTTTTATCGCTAAAAAAAATTGGGTCTGGAGCTTTTATCGCTAAAAAATTTGGGGACTGGAGGTGATGTTCATAGAAAATGGCACCAGGTAAATTAGCATTAGCTGATAATATCAGCTAAAAGTGATAAATTTGATATTTATCAAAACTATCGCTAAAAAATTTGGGTCTGAAGCTTTTATCGCTAAAAAATTTTGGGTCTGGAGGTGATGCTCATAGAAAATGGCACCAGGTAAATTAGCATTAGCTGATAATATCAGCTAAAAGTGATAAATTTGATATTTATCAAAACTAGACTATCACTTTTATCGCTAAAAAAAATTTGGGTCTGGAGCTTTTATCGCGAAAAAATTTTGGGTCTGGAGGGTCTGTTCATAAAAAATGGCACCAGGTAAATTAGCATTAGCTGATAATATCAGCTAAAAGTGATAAATTTGATATTTATCAAAACTATCGCTTTTATCGCTTAAAAAATTTGGGTCTGGAGCTTTTATTGCTTAAAAATTTTGGGGCTGGAGGTGATATTCATAGAAAATGGCACCAGGTAAATTAGCATTAGCTGATAATATCAGCTAAAAGTGATAAATTTGATATTTATCAAAACTATCGCTTTTATCGCTAAAAATTTTTGGGCCTGGAGTCAATGTTACGAAGAAAAGGGCATAAGTGAAATTAGCATTAGCTGATATTATCAGCTAAAATTGATAATTATCAAATGTATCTGATATTATCAGCTAATGCTAATTTCATGTCTGCCATGTATCAAAATTATCTAATTTATCGATAATTGATATTTATCAAATTTATCGCTAATTGATAAAATTTATCGATAATTGATAATTATCAAATTTATCGCTAATTGATAAAAGTGAAGGGCACATATGAAATTAGCATTAGCTGATAATATCAGCTAAAATTGATATTTATCAAATTTATCGCTAATTGATAAGAATTATCGATAAATGATAATTATCAAATTTATCGCTAATTGATAAAAATTAGTTTCCGCACCTAAATGAGAAAGAGGGTACTATTTTTCTTTGATCAAATATTATTCAGCGTAAAAAGAATTCCAATAAAATATTATAATAGAATTTAGGTTTTAATCTCGTCATATCAAACAGGGGGTCATTAACAGAATCTTCATAAAGTTACGAATTCTTAAATCAATTGTTGTAACCATGGATATAATGACATCACAGTTACATAACAATGGACTTTACGAATTCCTAACTTTATGAAAACAGCGGATTATATAAAAATGGACTGTAACAAATACCCGGATTTGTTGGTTTTTAAAAAAAAAATTTTTTGATATCACTTTTTATGCCCAGCATAAAACGTGATGTCCCATTTTATGCTGGCATAAAAAGTGATGTCCCATTTTATGCTGGCATAAAAAGTGATGTCCCATTTTATGCTGAGCATAAAAAGAGAGACCCCATTTTCTGCTGGTATTATTTAGTAAGTGATGTTTAAAGGTGGTTCAAGATTTCAGACCCATCTTTCTCACATAGATTGCTGAACTTATTTTAGTTAAGAATTCCTAATAGAATTAAGAATTAATAGCTGAAACTGTTCTGTTTGTCCTAGCAAACAATATCCCAATATGCATTTGAAATTCATTTTTGTCTATATGTGTTGACAGTCTGTGATGTCATCATCAATCATCACAATGGGAATTAGGTGAATTCTATCTGTGACAGTGAGATTATCTATGATGTCACATAGTAGTTTGATTTCTAAGAAATGTGGCAGAGTTCTATCTATGACAGAGATGCTTTGTGATGTCATCATGAATTATCTCGTTTCCATTGTGATGATTGATGATGTCATCAGAGTACTTTGTGATGTCATCGTGAATTACCTCATTTCTATTGTGATGATTGATGATGACATCACAGACTGTCAACAAATAGACAGAAGAAGTTGAACTACAAGTTGGAAAATTGTTTGCCAGGGCAAAACAACTCAGTTTCAGCTAATAATTCTTAATTCTATTAGGAATTCTTAACTAACAATGGTTCAGCAATCTGTGCCAGAATGATGGGTCTTAAATCTTGAACTACCATTAACCATCACTTCCAAAACAATACGAGCATAAAATGGAGTATCTCTTTTTATGCTCAGCATAAAATGGGACATCACTTTTTATGCCAGCATAAAATGGGATATCACTTTTTATGCCAGCATAAAATGGGACATCACTTTTTATGCCGGGCATAAAAAGTGATATCAAAAAATTACTTTTTTTAAAAATCAACAAATCCGGGTATTTGTTACAGTCCATTTTTATATAATCCGCTGTTTGAAGTTTCTGTTAATGGCCCCCTAGCTGGTTAATATTTGATACAATATTTTTGTGGTGCTTCACTAGCATGGAATGTAAGTTTCCCATGCATGAGTTTATAACACTAGTCAAACACAGTACTGTATGTTAGTAGTACATGTATATTGGATATACTATATTTACATTGCACATGAATATTTTCAATACATCAGTTACAGATTATATTGATAAACTTACGCTTGATAGTGAATAGGGATATAGAGAAGCTGTCTATCCATCATTATTACCACCTTGCCGGGGCTGTTCTAGGGGTTTTAGTGCTAGTTTAGAAGGCATTTATTTTACTATATCAACCTCAAGCAATATGTGACGTCATAGTAGCGGGCTAATAATGCTCGGCAATTTTCCCGGGAAATTATATTTTGTTCAGTTCTTGTTCTTTCAGCCCTGGGCATTATCGGTGGTAATAATACCAGTAACGTCATTTGGAGGGGCAATATAGTGAAATATTGAACCGAGGCCTATTATTTCACTATATTGCCCTTCGAAATGATGTTATTGTACTATTCTCTGATGACTATCAGGTTTCAAATTCTTGTTTTTTTACAGGCATAGGACAACTGCTTAAGAATGTAAAGAAGGAACTTTCAAGACCATTACTCAATTAAAATGGACAACATTTTTGGCTATGACCATGCAACTTTGGACATATTTAAAATAATCATGTAAAATCGCAGTTCAAGAGGGGATTTCCAAAATAGCCTTTTACTTTGAAATGATCACCCTTTTCATCATAAAAATGATGTTTTTCAAAAATTTGATACAACTGGAATATTTCATGCTTGAGGTAGATTATATATAATAGATGTAGTTTTTCCAAGTTGAAATTGTACTACATCATTACCTCATTCACTGTGAATTCTATAATTGACAGTTCCAAGGGCACTTGACATAAAAGAAGTGATTCACTTCGATTGCTCAAGATTTTTAATGAGATTTTGCGAGATATTGGAATGTAGTGATATTTGTGAGGAATGAGCACATTTAAGCGATTTCAACAATCTTAATGGCACTTGAGTTGTGAACTTCTGAAAAATAATCCTGAGAAATAATCAAGAAACATAAGTGAAAAAGTAGAATTCTGGTTTTGAAAAATTGGGTGTCAATCAAAAAATTGGAAAAAGGCACTGACTGGAATTTGCTACTCCCTCGAGTTGATCTTTTTCTAGGTGACTGTATATTTTGTCAAAATACTTGTAAGTTACATGGTTATTTGAATATATTGTAACTTACCTGGTTATATTGTAACTAACATAATCACTTAAATAATTACTTAAATAATCAAGAAACATAAGTGAAAAAGTAGAATTCTGGTTTTGAAAAATTGGGTGTCAATCAAAAAATTGGAAAAAGGCACTGACTGGAATTTGCTACTCCCTCGAGTTGATCTTTTTCTAGGTGACTGTATATTTTGTCAAAATACATAAGTTACATGGTTATATGAATATATTGTAACTTACCTGGTTATATTGTAGCTTACATGAATATATTGTAACTTACCTGATTGTATTGTTACCTACTTGATTATATTGTAGTTTAAATTATTATATTGTACCATTTATAGGAGTTTTTAGATAATTCATCCCTGGGTGGTCATTTCACAGATGCAATTATTTGAAAGCCCCTGAAAAGAACACTAGTTGTATTGGTCTTTATAATAAGTAGAATATTGATTTTCCAAGGGATGGGGATTAAGAGGGAGAAACTTAAAATTGGATTTTATATTATCTTAGATAAAATCATGAATGCTGACCAATAGGTGCCCCTTTGCTATCTTGACATTTAGTTGCATTTATAAGCTTGGTACTTTATATTTGTTAAGGCTAATGTATTTTCTTGTCCGCCTCCATTAATATCTGACAGTTTTCCAAAAAGGCATGAATTTGGTTGTTCCTCAGGGATTTTCCTAGAAATCTCAAAATGTTTTCCAACTGCTCCATACATTCAGCGATGTACTCTTTTAGTAATTAAAACTGTCATTTATAAAATGTAAAACTGTAAATATGTTGTGATCCTTTCATTCTAACATTAAACATGGTAATGCAATAATTTCATACCATAATTTTTTGTACATTTAAAATGAAATCCAAGTATTGTCTGGAATAAACGTACATGGCAAGTTATGTTCACATACTTACAAGACAATTTTCAGTTTTTTAGGGTGACAAAAAAACGAATATTGAGTCCATTCATAGAGTATTCGTCAAAATGAACCACATGGTGGTATAATGTATAGGTAATACATGTACAATATTTTAGTGGATTACCACAATAAAATTCAGAAAAAGTGTATCTTAACATAAATGTGTTGTTTTGTTTTTCATTATAAGAGTGACCTTGGCCATCACTTTGATACTCTATTTAATAAAAATAAATATTATCTAAAATATATGTCATGTGAATTGCCATGTGAAACTGACATGGTAGACTATTACTTGAAGTCATTTGACAACACCTATATTTGATAGTGTCCTTCCTATTGCTCCATATAAAGACTTGAATCGTACTTTTGTATAATTGAGTATTTGAAACAAGGATTGTTCCCATTGGTCTGGTAGTACAAGGTGACATTCTCTAGCATGAACAGGCTACTCATTTTCCTGGCAGTTGTTTCAGTAAGTTCCCTCTTAGTTTACATTTTGTATGTAAAGTTAATTCAGATGGCCTGGTGCAAAATTTGAAAATTAATTTTAGATATTATTTGTTACTTCAAGATTGTTTAAGACATTTTTCAAAAAGTACCAATAGTGCGGTTTGTAAACTCATATTTAAATAGGTTAGACAATTTTACAGTAGTCAGCAGTCCTGCACTATACAGGGAGTTTCATAAAATCACTGCTAATCCCCCCCCCCCCCCCATATCCGCAGTCAATAATAATTTACATGGCCTCATAATCTGTTTATCATAATACAGATAATGCGATTTGATTTCCATTCTCATCAAATTAGGTGGCATTTGGTGCCTCAGTCAAGGAAACTGAAGAGCTCTCACCTAGAGGTCCAACCCATGGAGGTAATTCAATTGAATTGAATTGAACTTAGTTAGGAGGACCTATTACAAGCTTACTGTCAAATGGCTATATATCTACTATGCCAACTCAATGTTATACTACTACATGTACTAATCATTCGTGACTCATCCATGAAAATTATTAAATTGTTTCTTACTTTTTTCCAACTTCAGTTTCTGAAAATGTAGCCTTGAGCAAAGTTGATAAACATGTTGAGCCAACAGTTTTTACAGAAGCCTTGACATCGCAAAATGATAATAAAATGTCATCAATAATTTCAACTAAAAATTCATGTTAAAATTGGGCCAATATTTCAGAATTAATTGTTGGTGATATTTTGAGACCTGACCCAGAGAAGGTTGCCAGTGGTAGGCCAGATAGAGTGTGGCCCGGGGGAGTGATACCATACGTCATAGATGCAGCTGTCCGTAAGTGATCTAACACAAAAGGGCCAGGTGTAAAATTACATACACTCATAAAATGTATTTGTGTAGAGTATGATTGTATAAAAGATTGGGGATTGTGCCCCGTGTTTCACTGGTATACTACAAGATTGCAATAGACCATGTCCCAAGTACATAACACTTCTTTATGATTGAACCATTGTGCACTGTTTCACCTACTGAGCACCTTATTCCAGCTGCTGACTGCAGGGCTGCAATAGACCAAGCCATTGCCCAGTACAATGAAAAGACTTGCATACGTATTGTTCCACAGACGAATGAAATAGACTTTGTATTAGTCATGAGGCCTCAGAGTGGGTACGTCAACCATATACATGTATAATTAATTCATATCCTTGGCCATATCAGGGTGAGATCTGGAAATTCAAAAATATATTTTTTTCAAATCCATTCTTGAAACTGTTTAAAAAACAAGGCCCTTGTTTACTAGAAATGAAGAAAAGGCCCACTTTTAGGGCCAGAATTGAGAAAAATTTGAAGTTTGGCCCCCTAGGAAATTTCTCTAGACCCACCAGTGTACCACCATATGACCTTGAATTTTTATGTTTTGTTCCAAAGATATGAGAGGAATGTTTTGAAGAAATAATTACATAACACAAGAACTGGTGACATTTTGTTATAGTCTCCAACTTTTTTATGGCAATGTTCAGCGGTTGGTGTTTCGGATCTGTAACAATTAACAGGTGGTGACATTTTACATGTTAATGCCTTGTTATATTTACATACAATGGTAGAATACATAGTTCAAAAACAAAATGTTTCAATTTAAATGATATTTCACCAGTTTTTTGTTTTCAACTTTTTGTGAAGGTGTGAATACCTTAATCACTCTCAAGAGTCTCATGGGACATTACAATGTATTCTTTCAGGTGCAATAGTTATGTAGGCAATATAGGTGGACCACAGGTGCTAAACTTGGGCCCTGGTTGCTGTAGTCTGGGTGAGTCTGGACACCTTGAGCTATTCTCCTTAAAAGATTGATGTAGATGAAGATAATTTCTAATCATTCAATGAACGAAGGAATAAACCCTTTGAGTATACATTTACATGTTGATTATTTCTTCTGGAATGTGAAATTTAATCCTAATGATGACCCGCATTCTTCTGAATAATTGCTCATGTCATAAGAATTATCCATATTTGAAATTATCTAACAAGAAACCATTTAAGAGTTAATGCAAAGGATAGGTATCGATATGGTGAACTGAATTCAACAATGTTTTTCTCTCAAACCAATTATTGAAAACATTCTGTAAAAAACACCGTCCTTTATGTAATGTTGACTGATTGGCAACAGTTTAATGCAAAAATTATTTATATATACAGTAAAACCTGTCCGATGGAATACCTCCCTGTAGGGAAAACCTTTTCAAAAGAACCAAATATTTTTCCATTGACTTACATGTTAACGGACCCTCTCTGTAGGGAAAACCTGTGAACAGGGAACAAGGAACGCTATTTTGGGGCAAATTATAAAAATTCACCTGTGAACAAGGAATATGGAATATTGGTGACACTGTATATTCCATTATTTTTCAGAGGTGTGAAAGTCTTAAGCCAATATCTGAATATAAAAAGCTTGGATTAATATGATTGAGATTAAGATAAGCCAATTGCTTACATGGTGTAGCATTCCACCCACTGTTAATTACCCTGATTTATTTTAAAACTAATACTAATCTGTTTGTTACTTATTATCATGAGCTAATTCTTCCTTTCAAAAACCTAATTACATCAAATCAGTTGTGATAATCTAGGGACTGACACAATTGTTTTATGGAGATAACAGAAAGTAAGTACATGGTCATGTTGAGCCAAGTCTCTTTAAATCTTTTACTGATCCAACTTCTAGATTATCAATGATATAAAATGGGGTTGATGAAACTTGAAATTCAGTTCTTAGCACTATATTTCTACACATCATATAAATAATTACATCAACTGGACATCATCAGACGCTAACAGCAGCTAAACTCAACATGGGGAAAACATAACCAAGTATGGAGTCGGCATTTGTGCAATCAATCAATATATATACAAATATGCTTATTCGGCAAGTTTGAGTTTGCTGAAAGTGTGGCCCCTCTCTATAGGGAAAACCTCTGAACAAGGAAAGTTTCCTCCAGTCCCAAGAGCATTCCCTGTTCGCAGGTTTTACTGTATTTTATATAACTGTTTTTGTTAACATTTTTTTGTTTTTTAGTGCAATTGTTTCTTGTTCCTTTCTTCCAATTCTTGAGAATGAAACAAAATGCCTTTCGAGTCCTTGTTGGAACAAAATAACATATACAACATTTTCTTAGACCTCTCAATATTACAGTTATACAAAGCAAATTTTGGTTGATTTTACAAAAAGTATGCAAAAACTTAAAACAAAAACCCTCAAAATAGATAAAAATCAAGATAAACATTTTATTTTATTAACAAGATACTTTTTTAAAATCAACCAAACTTTCCTTTATACAATTACAATATTGAGAGACCTTAACACATTGTGTTTATGTCGTTTTGTTCCAATGAGGTTCGGATAGATATTTCATTTCATTCCGAACATATGATACTAAGAACAAAAGAAGTGCCTGATGTGTTTTCTAAAACAATATAGAGAAAAGGATATATATATATTTCAAATTATAATGTTACCATCCAAAACATGACCATTAAATTGACGATGTGTAACATTTTCAGAATGTTTTGATGACTGGTTTAAGTAAAACGCGTGTTCAAAAAGTTCACCATATCAATACCACTCCTTTTATAAATCTTTCACAAAATTGATTAGGATTGCTGGTTGATTGTAGGTACTGTGATCCATGAATTTATGCATGCAATTGGCTTTGAGCATGAACACACCAGAGATGACAGGGAGGACTACATCACTGTACATTTTAATAACATTACACCAGGTTTGTAAAAATTATTGTTGAATGCATTATGGTAAGGCAAATCTACCTTCAAACTTGGAGATGCAAAATGGAGTGAAGGTGCATGATGAAAACATTGAGATATTCAGAATAATAAGAAGTTGGACATTGTTTCTTAATAAGATCATACTTTGGGATATAATACTTGATGTTTTTTTTCCCGGATGAGATGTGCACTCGTTCGCTATGCTCACTTGTGAATATATCATATACTCACTCGAGTATAAACAGGATATACAGAAAGAACCATTATATAACCTCATAATACATGTATCCGTATATACTAATTGCAGACTGGCAAAGATGGTATGAGATTATCTGGGACACTGTCAATTTTGCTGAATATGATCCTGCAAGTGTAATGCATTATGATGCCTTTGCTTCAAGAACTGGAACAGCTCCTACAATGACGACAAATATGTAAGCCTTTAATTAAGTCCATAAGACAAGTGAATATCTATGATCTAAAACACTTGAAATAAAAATTTTCCAATGTTCATTATTTAACTTTGATCAATATGTATTTTTACTTTGGCAACCCACAGGCTGGACCATAAAACATTGCAGTGAAACAAAACCTTGTTTTTATGTAATCACAAGTGTTGACATATTGTTAAAGTCTCTAACTTTTTTGGACAACGATTGGTGTTTGGCATCTTTAACAAATTTGGTGTCTGTAACAAATGGATATCTGTAACAATTGGCAGGTGGTGACATTACACATGTTAATGCCTTGTTGTAGTTCCAACAGGCCAGACTTTGGCAACCCATGGGGCCTCACTACCAGAGACATTGAGAAAATCCAGGCTATGTATGGGTGCAGTGGAAGAGCAACAGGAGGTATTACTGTACTCATTTATTAAAAGTTATTCATTGGTGCTCTGTTCCCTATGCAGCTATGTAATACCAATTATCTTTTATTGATTACATTTTATTAACAGCTAGATCATTCACTGCTCATTGTTAATGAAACTTCAAAAAATGATATTTCAAAAGTGTGAAATCTTTTTGTTAAATAAATAGTTCATCGTAAAATCTTCTATATTATTTAGTCACAAAAATGACCATCCAACGTCCCTCTATAAAGCCTATTATTTGAATAATAATAAAAACACGAGGAGATATCAAATCACTGGTTTGAATGCTTATGAAAACAATTTACAATCATTATTTCAGTGGACCCATGCCAAGATGGGAATTCTCAATGTGAAGGTTGGGCACTTAGTGGAGAATGTGAATCAAACCCAAGATATATGAGGTCCAACTGTAGAATCAGCTGCGACTCTTGCCCTCAGTTATAAACATTTGGGTCTCTTTGTAAGATGTCACATTAGTCATGTTAAAGCTGTATCATTTCTCTGTGCCTCCTTTCTAGGTTCACCACTCCTTTCTCACAGGGAGGTGTGGTAGGGTTGATGCTTTAAAGGTACTTATTTTATGATTATGAACATAGTTATCTTGTGTAAAAACATGTACATTGGTCGTATGTTTGAAACAACCAAGTTAAAGTAATGCAAATGCTGATAAAGATATTCGTGAAATCAACATGACAATTGTAACAGATTACTATATGATCATTCAAAAATCTTTTGAAACTGTATTTCATGTAATGAATGCACTAATAAAGAAGTATTCTCATTATATTAAAGTATTTATTCCTCTTTATTTATTTACATATTTTATTAGTAAAACTATTTACTGTACAATGTATTTACAATTTCTTTATACAGAATCATACAGTTTATGAGTGGTCAGTTCTGAACAATTAATTTCTCATAAAATTGTATATGGGTACAAGAATACATGTGAATGACCACAGTATATCTTCAGTAATAAATCACGGTAATGCACCAAGATAATGCACAACAGTAATACACTGTAACAGTCAAATGATTCAGATACATTCTTGTTCTGACTCAGTTTACATAATGTCATATGTTGAATGACTGACATTATTAATTTCAATAAATTTCATCACAAAGTCACTAAAATAATTTCCATATATAGAGAGTATCTAAGAATATGCCCCCGTGAAGCCATAAAATTAATTGGGTGGTGCTATGTAATAACTTAAAATGGGGGACCAGTATTTACATAGTCTTGAACTGGCTTCAAAGGGGTTGAATAAAGTATTATTTTGTGTAATCTCAGAGTTTTGACAATCAGATTCATTTCCAATAAATGAAAAGAACGAGAAAAAAAATAATGCAGTGTCATGGCAGCTAGAAGAGTGGGTTTTCAGTTTGAAGACCCCGGTTGTACAAAACAAATCTGTGTTGCAAAACTCTTGCATTACGATCCCTGCTGAACATAAACCCATATATTGAAGATACACAGGATCAGGTTTGAAAAATGCAAAATAGAGTCAGGGTTATAGTACAATGGCATCATGAAACACATTTCAAATAAATTAATATACTGTTAATTACATTTGACATTCAGTGTGAGTTACTGGATGTTAATAAATTAACACATACACAGACATGAAAGGACATGAATGGACACACAAATGCTCTTTTCACTACAATTACAACTATATTTCTAAATAAGATGGGAGGTGTTCACTAAGACCAGATTTAGTAAAAGTTCATAAGTCCTCATATATTTTCTTCGTCTCCCTCAGTGTTCATCAAAGTGCAACATAGCAACCATAGTAACTAGGTTAGTTTCTATCTGAGTCGGCTGATTGTTCCAAAATGTTCAGTTTGTACAGTAAAATAACATGGCAACTGGACCAAAAGTTCAATATGACTAGGTGGTCAAAAACCTTAGATTTATTGTTTTTTCTTAGATAATATTTTGGCCTTGTATCAAACCACTGTTCCCTCTGTCTGTTAACACATAACAGGTTAATGTCACACAGCTGAGACTTGTTCATCTTCTTCATCCACCATTACTTCTGTAAAAGTAATAGCAGTTTTATATCACTCTTTATCATAGCCTGTGATCATTGGGGTGGGTTCAGTTGTAGGAATGTAAGATGGTAACTTTTTGCAGTTTCCAATTATGGTATCTTGAGTCATTCAGGATGATCAGAAAGTCGAGTGTATGGTATTTGATTTTTATGTTATTTCATGCATTGTGTTCAAAAGTTAAGTCATGATTCAGTTTGGTTCATTTTTGCAATGAGTGGTTCTGCATCCTTACCTATTGCAACATCATCCACTAGTATTTCCTCACCATCAGGGTAATATTGAATGGTCTCTGGGGAGATAGAGTTCTCTGAACCTCCCCCAGCTGTGTGGAGTCTTGCTCGGGTAGACATCATGGCTACTTGTTTATAATCAGGTAGTGGAGGACGTGATTTAGCATTATGGCGGAGAAAATCATTATAGGCTGAAATTGAAATTTGAACATTTAACGATAATGGAGAATGGTATGGGTAATATTACAGAAAAGAAAAATGAGTAAACTATGTATACAACACATCGCATACTATCTAGGCATATTCTTATAACAGTTCACAGAGTGGGGGACCAATCAGTGTTTTCATAACTCGATAATCAAAATGAATATGAGGATGATAGGTGCTGTCCAATAAAATAAAATACCAAGGCAAATTCAAAGACAAACCTTAGCAATGTGATTTTAGATTTTTGAAACACTGATTGAAGCCTCAACTCTGGCCAAATAAGTAAAATCTAACTATCTTCTATCTAGTACAAAGCCAAAATAATCAATCTAATCAATCCCTTCAGTCTAAAATGAATTATAAATTCTAGATAACCAAACCTAGTAAACATGCATTCTGTACAACACATTCAGAACTAGTCTAAAACATTCTGTTCAAAATGAAGATAACATTGCCCGTTTCTCCAAGTTATCACAGATCGTTTTGTTAATATTCACAAAATTCAACGGCAATACATGTAATCACACAACATTTACAAACAAAATTTTAATCATGTGCACTCAACTCTTACGAACAAAAGCGTGTATCTAATTCTAACTACACATATATATATAACGGTGTAAGATGTGTATCTTAACACTAACATGCTATGGAATGGCGAAAGTGGAAAATTTAAATAAAACGGGGAAGAATCAATTGTTTTAAATATTGATTCTAGTACAAAAGCAATGTCACTGTTACTAAACAGATTTTCATAAAGAAGAGGTCAAATTATTTAGGAAATATGGAATTCTTATTTTGTTTCATAAATAGATTTAGTATGATGAAATTTGGAAGCCTCTGAGTACAGAATGTCCTAGTCTATCATTCTACATACTTGAAAAACATTCTTGTCAATGACAACATATTTATAGAATAACCTGGAATAATTCCCTGGAACAAGTACAAAGTGAGAATGGTTCATTTCGAAAAAAAATTAAACCACAGGTGTTTTGAAAAATGACATTGTACAAGGACAACAAAAATTCAATCCCTCGATATTAATCTAGCACATATATATTTCCAGAGCACTTGCTACTAGTACTGGGCATTCAGAGTCGCAAACTATTAATCAAACAACATACATGTCCATAAAATAAAAATAATAAATTCCAACGAGGAGTTTTTTCAGAATTAGTAAGGATTATTAAGATTAGAGAAGCATGAGTTAGAGTTAAAGTAAGGTCAAGGTCATAGTTAGTATAACATTAATTATACAAGGAACATGCAAATATCTAACGATACATTCTGACCATAAATAAACCAAGGGGATCTGAAGATTTATGTTTATTCTAAACACTAAGCTGAAGTCGAGGATGTGACCATTTGTATTTATTTGAAAATGGCTTGCCCAAACCCCTCAACTTCCGTCCATCTTCCCATTTCCTCAAGTAAAAGTCTTTGCTTTCATATCCTATATTAATACTCCTTTGAAGAAAATATATGAATATTCACACAAGAATATGACTTTGAAATGACTACCATTGGAAAATGATTTTACAGATCAATAGGCAAACTTCTAAATCGATAGATTATGAGCTAGAATGTTGAAAAAAAACTTAATGAACTCATGAAGTAACTGGTTGGTTCCCGATTATTGCAAACAGTACTTTTAAGTAACCTTCCTCATGAGTATTAATGAAATTCAATGTCTTCTTCAGCTCAATGTTTAGTGAACCTAAACCTTTGGTATGACCCATGCACTTTGTTCTAGCAAGCTATATTTCTACAACGCACAAGACAAGCAAGATATGCAAAGCAGACAAGCAGTATTTCTAGGCTATTGCAAAACAAGGCAGTAGGTCTGCATGTGTATGCAGTGTGATAGTATTATACACTCTCTTTTTGAAAACACATTAGAGTTATGCACTCTAGCATGAAAACAACAGTAAAACCACGCTAAGGTGAATGTTCTTAGTACCCAACAAAACACATTCAATCCGTAAATTATGCAGTCAATACACACACAGTAAGACCTATTTAAGTAGAACACCTTTGACACCTCTTAAGTGTAGAGGTTCATTTGACTTTAAGTCAATTGCTCTTGAGACTCTGAAAAGTGTTCCACTTACAGAGGTGTTGCACTGTATATCAATATCAATATAGTTCTAGAGTCCCAATATTCAAATTGAGAAGTTTTGCTGTAGTTTCAATATAAAGATAGATTTATAATGATTTAAATTTAGAATGTGAATGAAAGCACCTGTTCATACCAAACCATGCCAGACTCTGTATGAGTAATAATATCACTACTACATTGTACACTACTAGAGTGAAAACCACACACTAAATGCGCTATAAAGCAATCTGAGGTGCAACAGTGAGTGTGTGTGCTTCAGCAGCATGCCCCATGTCTCACCTTTAGAGTTCTGTATTGCGACGTGATATGACGGCAAAGGTGGTCGTGTGGGTGACGTGTGAGTTGTAGGTGGGGCAGAATGAGGGGTAGGGCCCACTGTAATAGACCACAAGTCAACATTAACATCCGAGTGAATGTTAGTTCAGGGCCAAGTACATCAAATGATACCAAAAGACACTTCGGGACTCAGTGCAACAAATATTGAGTTTTGAATAGTTTTGTTTTCCAAATGTCCATAAAATACCCATTCCCTATACCAAGAACCAATGTCCATTACAAACACATAGGGATCCATACACCGTGCACCATCAACATTAACCACCATTGGAAAGGAAATTGAAAGGTATCTGGTCAGCATTTAGCTTATTTATACCAGTCCATTTGTACAAAAAGTGTGCAAATTGAGTTACTTAGAAGAGTGTTATTGTTGAATGAGTTTAATTATCATTGATTAATGGATTTATGGAACTTGTTAGATTAGATAAATGGGTGAACTTCATATCTATAAAAAGTTAAAATAATTGAATTTTAAGGATCAGGATCATGATATTGCAATCTTCACAAAGATGTGTTGAGATAAGTGGTCTAGAAATTAAGTAGGTCAGCTTTTACCAAATACCATTAGATTAGGTAGTTACAGGATTGAATAATCATGGGATTGATATTGCCCTCCTCCCCAAGCAAGGTTCAGTGTAGTGGACAAGATAACCAGGTCACCATAGTAACCACATACCATGGAGATGAAGTATGAGTCCTTAGCAACCAGAGTGATGAACATCATGATAATAATCATCTATTGAATCTAAAACATGCACAATCAAATGGAACCTCATATAAAGCAATCATCATTTTTTTTCTTTCTCGTGGTCTTGCAATTATAAAAATGGGAAATATCAGTACATGTATATCAAGATTTGTATTTTCCTAATTTTGTTTTCCTTTTTCTGTTTGAAAAATGATAGAATATATCAAGATTATCAGATTCACTTTCATAAATTCCTGAATCGATATACACTTTGTAAAAATTTGCAGAATACGTTGATACATTTAAGTTCTCTGAATGACAAATAAACGACATTTTACGAGGGCCAAGCACAGAAATATTGGTGGACTTTTTAAACACTTTCATCTATCCATTTAACATAATCTGTAGAGGACAAACAATCTGAAACTATGTTTTCAGTGGGGGCTTGCCAGTTTTCTGTGTTTGTTTACACAATTATGCTAAAATAATTCTAATTGGCATGCTTGCATATTCTCCTACGACAAACTTTCCAAGTGAAATAAATTTGCACACGTGCCTGACATACGACAGTGATACACGATAAACTACAACAGGAATATTTCATGCACAGTTGTCATTTTAGAGATGGATTCAAATGTGAATAAAAAACTTTGGGAAATTATTTCTCTAAATGTTGATGATGGAGCTTTTGGTATATGAAATTACTAACTTGTTGCATATTATTCACAAATAGGTGTTATTTGATTGGTTCAGAGACTACTTTCGGAGGTTACTTTTGACAATAGACCGATCAGACCCAGGTTTCATTGGGATATATATTCTTGTATATTAAATATAAAGTTTGCCCCCATAAGTTGTGTAAAGTAATTGTTTTTAAGTTTAAATAAGCATTTGTTTCAAAAAGCAAATTAAAACAAATTAGTGAATAAAATATCAAATCAAAAGCTGTGCAATCACAACCTTCAGTGTAAGTGATTAAATAAGCAAAACCTGAATTGCAAATCAATTAAAAGTAAAATTGAACTTGTTCATTACAAAAATTAATTGCAATATCCATAATTGTAAATTCTTAAAATTAATAACCACTAAATATATTAAAGATAAAAAATTAAATGATCACGTCTATTGAAAGTACAAGCTGAACTAGCTTGGAAGCACTTAATCATGAGAAAACAGATTCATTTGAATATCCCAAAAGATGAAGCTTTTAAAATCTTACATATCTCATTATCTATAGACAAAAAAGAAAATATTGCATATAAAGCTGGAATGAACTTACCATGGTTGGCTTGTATGGTTGGTAGATTAACTAAAGAATGTGTGTTATGGTGTCTCTGAGATTGCATAGGGGACATAGAGCCAATAGAGGTCGCTGATGTCATACTCCCGTGACCAGAGTCTGTCCCGTTATTTATACTATTGGTTGGACTTGTGGATGTTGTACTCCGAGTTGAACCTAAAACAAATTACAGATATTTGTGTGACAAGCATTAATAACAAGGCATTTACATGCAAAATGTTACCACCTGCCATTTGTTACAGATACCAAATGCCAAACACCAACTGTCATCCACAAAAAAGTTGGAGACTATAACAATACTGTATGTCCCTACTTCTGGTGGTGACATATGAATGGCTCTAGAGAAGACAGCTGACCTAATGATATCTGAATATTGTACTGATATCACAATTATACAGAAATAACTGTCAAAAGTGAACATGACTAAGACTGGCTGAATATGTTCACATCATTGAAAGATATTCACTTAAGTTGTTCTTTATTCTTAACATCAACCATAAAACATTATGTACATGTATTTATATTGAAAATGTGATGTTTACCTGATGAAGATGTATGAATACATTGAAAATTCGTAAATCTCAACATTTTGTTTTATATTGAGAATAATATCATAGAAACATACCTCTATTTTTGCGGAGATGACTAAGTCCCGTAACTACACTGGAACTCTCGGCTGATAGCCTGACTGCAGGTGCACTCCGGGTGTTTGCCTTGGGAGACATGGGGTGAGACTGGGTGCTTTGAGGTCTACGCTGGATCATTGGACTTACAATGTGGTTGGTGCTGACAGGGTTGGCATTGTGTTTGTGGTGTACTGGACGACTTTTCTCAGCAAGTCCCATCAGTTTGCGGACAGCTTGAGGAGACTCTGTACCTACACAAGCAGATTTCAACGGTTTTGAACAACGGCAACAATTTTTTTCTAAATAGTCTCACATCGAGTCTCTTCCCCCAACTAGCCAACTAGCTCAGTAGGTATAAGTGTATACTCAAGAGAAGGTACATAAGGGGTCGATGCAAGCATAATTTTGATACAAGTCACAGTTTTCCAAAACTTAAGAAATACAGAGTTTGGATGTATGTATCATTCATAACAAAATCTTGTCATTTTTTTCTATATTGAGTCCTTTTCATTAACATAATTTCTTCATTTCAATTTAAATAATTTCTGGCGATTCACAAAATTTTAGTCTATTTTGCCCTTGAAACCATGACCCTGTGACATTTTTAGATGAACTCACCGAACTTTGGTCCTAATGGTATATTTGAGGGGTTTGGTGAGTTTTCTCTCTTCTTATTGGTTGGCGGCTCTAGAACATTTGATTGGTCAGCAAGGTTTGATTCATCTTCATCTACTTTCCTGTGTTGGAGGTAACACTTCACCCTTCGCACCATTTGCGCCTGTAAAACATTTTGAACTTTTTCTTAATGTTTGATGGTAATTTCACATGTACATTGTGCTTGTATATTACTGAGTTCTACACACAAAAATTTCAAACGTTTTTTAACAATCATTTCATATCAGGTAGAACCAGAATTTGGCTTTCTTTACTGTTAGAAAAAGGAAAAAAGAAGTCAAGGATTTTTGTATAAAAGATACACTTGTAAATTAGATTGTGTATATTCATTATTCCTAATCATAATGTAATGTTTGCATCACAGAACATCAGTTCAACACCTGTATCCCTGTATCTGGGTGAATAAAGGTGGTATACTAATGGTATATCATATGTCATAGAATAACATTAAATCTGCTAAAATTCCTATGGTAACAACAAACATACCTCTTCGTACATCTTTTTAGGATTTGGCAATGTTGAAGCGCGTCGTTTTCGTCGCATTGTGGCAACTGCAGAGATACTAGAGGAACTGTTGAGTGCAAATGTACCTGCTGATCCCCCTCCACTCATGAACATTGTTCCTATGTCCTGCAATGTATAATATCAACTCTTAACATGGTCCTTATATCCTGCAATGTCTCTTTATACACATAAACCCCATGGCATGTTTACACAGTTATATCAAATAGAACTTCATGGTCTCTATGTTCAGTCATATACAATAGAAACGCATGTCCCCATGTTTCTGCAATATACATAGTAATTTATAGTCTCTTTGTTCAGTAATATATAATAGCAAGACATTAACATGCAAAATGTCACCATCTGCCATTTGTTACAGATGCCATGTCATTTGTTACAAATGACCATGTTACTGACCGCCAAACTCCAACACCAACACCGAACATCAAACGCTGTTCACAAAATAGTTGGAGACTAACAATATGTCACTGTGGTGGTGACTTAAAAATGCATGTCCCTATGATTCTGCAGTATACAACAATTCATAGTCCATGAGTCCATCAAAATAGTACAATAACTACTCTTATAAAAGAGTGCACATGTCCTGAAAAATACAATATCAACTAAAAACCTATGTGACATGTACAATATACAATATCTATTCATACCCAGTTCAGAATAACAGCCAGCTATAGTCTCTATTTCATTTTAAGTAAAATATTGATATACTGTACTGTCTCAATGTTCATATCCATATTTTGCAGTGATTTATTCAACATTTTGAAAGTACATATGGTACATACATACACTATGTAGGATACTAAAATATCCCATTTCCATCCCTACATTGGACCATTTATTCACACATGTTTGTAGCAAAATGTGAAAGCATTTCTAATATTGTTTTCTAAAACGTAGCACAAAGCTGAAAAACAGTGTAAGTGAATTGCTTGGTTGCTCAGATTATTTATTGAAGGTAAGAAAGGCAAGAACAATCCTCGGTGTTTTTTAAACACAGCTTTATTTCAGACTCGGGCGTGTTTGAGGCACATGGGCTTGTATGGAAGATCGGGCAAAGCCCTCGTCCCCTATAAGCCCATATCTAGTGCAAAATAGAATTTGAAGACGCAGGAAGGCTCTGCCTGATTTTTCATACAAGCTCCTGTGGTTTGAGGTAATGAAAAAGCAAGTTTGAAAATTAAATACTATTAACGGGAAGCTGAAATCTAACAAAGCAGGCAGAACTTATGCAGAAATACATAGTCCTGCAACTAGAACCCTCTGTCTGTTTATCCATGAATGACAGTGTAGGATAAACATATGATCTCATGAAAGTCGCTTCAGGATATTGAAAGTTCCCCATATCCTGAACCTTATATGAATAATATTTATTTTTACAAAGAATGTTTGTTATAGCAAATCCTCTACAAGTGGTGTGATGGTTTAACAGTTGTGTCATAAGATCACTTAAAGCTAAGCATCATTCCATAATTTAAAATCTTTTCTCTCTGGATTTCACAATCAAATATTCAATATATCAACATAATAAGTTGCTAGGTGAATAACCTATCACATCTAAACTTGGGTAACCCATGATACTCTTATATCAAATGCAATTATATTATACATGTACTTCATATTAAGAAGGGGTATGTTTAGATTATTTATTTAATTAGACCATATTATAATGAGAAAAGGGAAATTCAGATTTAGAAGAATATATTATATCTAAATGGTTATATAAGATACCAGGTATGGGATATGCAAGAATTATTTATTGTATGTCATAATATACCAGAGAGACTTTGTCAATCATATTACGTTAAGATAACAAACTTTTACATTAAGAATTCAAACGTTTTCAACACTTCTATCTGCCACAAAAATGAACAATAGCCTATCAATTAATAAAACTAACAATATTACAAAGCAAATGCTAAAAATTTCATAAGAAAAATACAACTGTTACAGAATGTATGAAATCATAACACAATATTCTAATGTATGGGGTAACACATCAAAACATCAGTAAATGCCAACCACAAACTTAACTAAGTTAGAATTAGATTTATCCATAAAACAAGACTATCATTGTTTTTAAATAGCTAATTGAAGTCAGGAAATCAAAGTTACTGATAAAACAGATCTGACTAATATTGTTGTGTATTATACTATTACTGCACCCCAAAATGAAAAGTTCTTGGTTAGATGTACTCTGATGTTTTGATATGACCCCATAGTCAACCTGAAAGCTGTACCATTATGGTGAAACATCAAGCTTTAAAGCTAACATAAGCTAAAGGTCCCTCACACAATGTCATAAAGGTCAGGAGTATATACTATAATTTAAATCATGTGTTCCTTTATTTCCAGAAATGAAAACTGAAGAAGAAGGCTAATCCGAATATAGGAGTTACGCAACAAGTCATGACATCTTTATAGCTCCAAAAGAAAAGTTGAGTGAAATATTTGAAGGATGTAGTTAAAGGTGATATTGACATACCCAAGTTCCACTATTAAGTTCCACTCAATTGTCCAATTGAAACTTCTTATTTATTGGGCCATTGCTTGAGATTCATGGGAGTAGAGCTCCTCTCGCATCTACTTATATTATTATGAGATTCATGGCAGAAAATTCTAATTTTTACAATTATTTTATTTTGTTTTGGGAAATTCATGGGAATAGAACTCTTCTAGAATTCACTTGTACTATATCATTGTTAAAAGAACCATGGGACCAACCCTCTCATTTGTACATCTTATTTTGCCAAACCAGTCCCGACCTTGATGACAATAGTATTGTGGGAATTAACTAAACAATTACCAAGCATGTTTCATATACTTACGCTCTGACTGTGACTTAGAGGACGTTTCCAATTCATGTCATTTTTATGCGGTTTTGGAATCTGGTGTATTGAAAAAATTATTGGTGAATACATGCTTCAAACAAAAGTGGCAAAGTGTTTACCAGTAAGCCCATGCCCCTTTATTGACTGATTGTGTACAAATAAAATATTTTATAATATAACACACCTAGCTTTAGAATGAGTAGACCTCAACAAAATACACTGACCGCTACCAAATTTATCAAAAAATATGTAAAGTAATAAGAATTAAATAAACCTGATCCATGCATGCGACTTCAGAAAAATAAAGTAGAGAAAATCTAGAAGCAAAGCCACAATTATAACTTACGTATTGAGCAGAGCACATATTGCAAACATGGCGGACTTCTTTCGCGATCATACGCAGCTTTTCAAAGTTGGTAAGCCCCTCTACTTTAGAGTCGTTTCCGAGGTGAATGAAGGTCAAATCTTTCTTGACGACTGGGAAAAATGGGATCTGCAACATATGATGAATGAAGTAGTTTAAAAAGAGTTGGTTCTAGGTTTGCATCTGTGTCATCATACAACATAAAGGTAATTACTTCAAAACAATGGAAATTAGCAAAAGGTAAAATATACATGTATACGACCTGAAGTTACCAGTGTGTAAAAGAGGAAAGAAAACAAAAAATTATCAATCAGTAAAATACATTGTTAACAAAACCTTGATGATCAGCCTATTTCACAATGTGAAAAACCTTCAGAAATTGGATTCCATCAAAATACATTTTTTCATTTCAGAACAGTGTTTAAAATCAATTTTCACAATTTGTTATGATAACCCTAGGATGGCCTCCACCTACCATTGGATACTGCACTCGTTCACTGTTGATGAGATTTCTGTACTTTGACATATTCCTAGATGGATCCATGAGGTCTTCCATGTCTTCATATAGCTTCATATATTTACTGGGAACCCTCTCCCATGTATTCTTCAACCTTGACACTGAGCCATGACCCAGGCCACTGACTATTGCAAACATTGAGTTAAAGTTCTTGCATTCTTTACAATGTCCTGCAAATCAAAACATAAATCCTTTAATATATCCGAGTACAGGGGCTTGTCTGGAGGGTCGGGCAAGCCCTCCGATGAGTGTGTACTGGTTATTAAGAGTATAAGAAACTCTTTATATAACAGTACACACTTATTGGAGGGCTTGCCCGACACTCCAGCCAAGCCCCTGTGTATCTGAGTAACAATTTACAATTATCACATGTTCATGACAATCAAAGCAATTCAATTGCATGCAAAGCTTAAATAATTACCATCACTATGCCCTTAGTTCTCTTTCAAACAGGAAACTAATTTTCCTCAACTTAAATTTTGACATCAGCACATCTCTTTTATCCGTTTGGCTTTGCTCATCTCTAGTTTGAATTCAGAACTATATAACCATGGTGAGGTTCTTCCCTTATAGTGTGTACTTACTTGCTATTTTTATAAAGTGTTTGATGAGTTTGCTACGTTTGACAAGATTAGATTCAGCGCATACTTCAGTGACCACCCAGAACATCTCCTTGTTGATCAACTGAAACAGCACAATCATAGAACATTTAACTGAAAACGCATCAGGCTAGATTTTTTCAATTCTTTAACCAGTAAAGAAGGTTGAAAATTGAAAGTTTGATAAAAAAGTTTGTTTCATTTACCAAGACTGTCAAAACAAAATACATTCTACGTTTCAGTTAAACATGAGGTGTGCAATTATCTGATTCCCCAAGCCAGCTCTGCAGAATCAAAACACTTTTCATGAGATATAACATGAAGTTACACACCTCTATTAACTTTTTAAGATGTAAGGTCCCGTATCTTGATTCTAAGCCAAATATGTCATCAACATATTCAGTTGGTTCGACATCACGAAATATTTTAAAGTCCTCTAGAGTTAACTGAGCAGCTACTTCCATAGTGTTGAGGCTTAGAATACTAATTTGAGTCTCTTTATTTAGTTCCTCTATGACATCGTCAGGTACTAGGGCCTCTGTTGATACATTGTTCTTCAGGTAATACCTGGAGGTAAAACAGATATGGTCAATCAGGTACAAAAGTACAAATACTATAAGAAATGTAATATTAATACAAACTATGAACCCATTCTATGATCAATTTGCCTTCATAATACTGCCAAAGTTATGGCATCTTAGAACAATGCACATAAAAATGCTTTACTTTAAAGACTTCTGGTAATATACCCAAATTATATTCTACTCCCCTCGTTTTAATCCATGGCTAGCAGCTTACCTTCCATTGATCCCTATCCTATCTGGTAGGTTGGCGAGTTGGTCTGGTAACCTCTTCTGCTTCAGTAGACCTTCCCCCTCCACTGATACCTCACATAGTGAGTAATTACTGCAACATGAACCACAAGATTTTACATATTAAAGGAACAACAACACTGTCACTTTTATTACATCAAAAATTAAAAAATATCTACAGTATAATCATGTAATCATGTAATATGTAATCAATATCTAAAGTGAGAAGAGATTTAAAAGAAAGTTTGTTAGTATCTGAAGAAAGTTAGAAAAGCACAAAGTCTAGATATTTTAGTGAACTGTTTTCAAAAGCCATCTTGTGGATGTAAATCCAGATTATCTGGTGACTCAAAATATTGTTGCTTCCCAAATGTTGCCTTTTGATAGAAATAGTGCTGTAATTTGGGCAACAACAAATCAGAATATCAAACAACTTCTCAGTAGTTTTCAGGCTGATGAATATTGTATTTATAGAATTAAAACTTTTTGATCTTTTTACATTCTATATTACAACCCAAACATATTTCATTCTGATGGGTATTTAAAGTTTCTGGATAATGATCCAACATTTTTTATAAGTGCTACTTACTTGCTAGGTTCCGTGATGCTAAATTCTTTAAGAGCAAGCATTACAACTTCCCTTGATGTGGTTTCCTATAAATTAATATGATATAATGTTTTATGAAATTCTTATTATGAGCTCAAATTTTCATAGAACCACATTTAAATTAAACATATGAACACACATAAATCATAATAAATTTTCAAATATTGTAAACAATTTCTTAAACTTAAGTTCATGTTTGTATTTTAGTCTATTCAAGAAAAGTTTAACACCAACTATTTAGCACCTTTACAGCTTGTGATTAACAATGACAATTTGAAGATAAATAACAATGAACAAACAAAAAAAACAAAAACAATAAACAATAAATCTTACCCTATGTACAAGCAGATATTTACACGTTTGATCAGATTTATATACTTTTATCACATGTTCCGGGAAGTCGCTTTTCATCTCGTATAAATATGCAGCAGTCAAATCCGGATTGCTGGCACTCTGGTGAAGACTGTGACTTGGGGAACTACTTGCTGAGGAGGATTTACGCACCCCCTTCGTGCTTAGGTTTTCATCAGACGTACTTAGTTCTGGGTTACTAAAAGAAAATGATGATGATGAAATATTGAAATCTAAAAATTATTCTTTCAAGATCGACTTCAAGTCATGCAGTACTCTAGATAAAAAATGAGGATGAGAATATTCATAAATATCTGGAGAACTAAAATTCAATTTCCGTCAATATAAAGTAGAGCATAAGCTTTTGCAAATTTGACTCACCTGTTTAGACTTTTAGGCAGCAAGTTCATTTTCATGAAAGCTTTCCGTAGTTTAGATCTGTTCCCATTTGACATAAAGCCTTTTTTCTCCTGCCTGGAAGACTTCTTACCAGTGGCATCTATGACAGGAGGAACTTGAACCTAAATGCAGAGAAACACATCTATAACCAGAACAACGGCAACGCCAAAGCGTAGCGAATCCCATCGAACAGCCATGGATGGCATTTTTACAAACAAAATATATAGCAAAAATGGCAGCCATTTTTCAAAATGGCGGCCTTCTACAAAAAGAGTCATTAGACCATGTGCCATGCTTATAGTATTAACATACCAAATATGAACAAAATCGCTTCACTACTTTTCAAGTTATAGTAAAATACTTTAAAATGGCGGCCATTTTTTAAAATGGCCGCCTTCTACCAAAAGTGTCATTAGACAGTGTGCCATGCTTATAGTATTCACATACCAAATATGAACAAAATCGCTTCACTACTTTTCGAGTTATAGTAAAATACGTTAAAACGGTGGCCATTTTTCAAAATGGCGGCCATTTTTCAAAATGGGCGCCTTCTACCAAAAGTGTCTTTAGACAGTGTGCAATGTTTATAGTATTCATATACCAAATATGAACAAAATTGCTCCACTACTTTTCGAGTTATAGTAAAATACGTTAAAATGGTGGCCATTTTTCAAAATGGGCGCCTACTACCAAAAGTGTCTTTAGACAGTGTGCAATGTTTATAGTATTCATATACCAAATATGAACAAAATCGCTCCACTACTTTTCGAGTTACAGCAAAAATCGTAAAATAACGATTAAGGCCGCCATTTTTCAAGATGGCTGCCATGTGCTTCTTAAATATATACATTTCTAGCTTTTTTAATGTCCTATATAATATTTTTACATCTAAAACATATTGCTATTACAGTTTTACATATTGCACCTAAATTACTGTAAATTCGGCACTAAAATGGCCGCCATTTTGAAGTGAGCAGCCATTTTGAAAATCGGCTTTCGAGCAGAACTTCTACCCCCATTGGGTATATGTGTACAAAATATGAACAAAATCGGGCCAATGGTATTTGAGTTATTGCCCGGACGGACGGACGGACGGACGGATGTACAGACGGACGGACGGACGGACGGACGGACGGACGGACGGAGGCGTTCCCTATATCCCTCCGAACTTCGTTCGATGGGATAATCATAAATTCAGTGAATTAATATTTATACTTATGGTAAAAACGTGGATATCCAAACATCTCTCTTATATGAACTCTTCTCAATGCAAATGCCTTTAGTTTTTGGTCACATTTTCTTATTTTCAATGTTAAAAATCTCTAAATGTGAACCGATGTTAAAAATATCTTAATGAGAACACATCTAGAATACATATAGGGTATATAATAATGATATATACTTGCATATATATGCATACAGCTATGTAGTATGAGATTTTTCAGAGACTATTCAGAGTTATCTACATCATGCAATAGTAATACATGTACATGTACTGTTATATATGTACATGCTGGTGTAAATATGTATTAAATTCATTCTTACCACTGAATTATGGTGTAAATCGGGTACAGAGAGGCGAGGTTGAGAATGTGAAGCATTGTACATTGTGTTCAACAAACCAGAACTTTGAGGGACTTTGGAATTTTCTGGAGTCAGCAGCATTTCTTTGAATCCTGAAACCATAAAGTAAATCAATACATCAAGTAGGTATATTGCCTCTTGATTGATAAACATTTATCTATATAGAAACAAGGTATATAAGGTATATATTATGTCAACATTAACTGTAGATTTTTTTCAATCCATGACACTTATCATTTGGGGATATCTAATTTAGGAAAGCCCTGTTGATAAAAAAAATATTTTACATTACTACATTTATAATATTTAAGACTTTTTTATTTTCTTATTTTCAAATTGAACATATCTCCAATATAATGTACTAGTATTTAAGATGGAATTCATGTACATCAAGGGTTATGAATTCTTGAAATTTTTATCATGTCACAATATACTGTATCTAGCCTTTTAGCATATTCCTGATAATCATTCAGCTAATCAGAAACATGTCTTGTATTAAGCCCCAAACATTAGTATTTTGACAAGCTTATGAATGAAAAGCCTTGTGAAAAATCATTTAATCACTCTTTTAGGCATATATTGTAAACTAAACAATATTTTCACTTAATAAAAATTATGGCTAGAATATCTTTGCAAGTAATGATTACATTTATTAAAACAAAAACTTAAAAAATAAATTCATGATAGGAGTAATCCAGTAGTAAAAACAACAAATCCCCATTACCCACAACCATACAAATCTTCCACATTATTCTTAACTCAGAAGCTGTACAGTGTATTATAACAGGGCCAGTAATATTAAATATGAAGAAATCTTAAATAAAAAAGAATATATCACAAAATGGTAATAAAGCTACCCATGCTGTAGATGAGCAAATTACATTATTACAAGTAATAAATATCTAGATTAGAAATGTGTTTGCTTATTACAGACTTGCCATTTTCAGAACGTCAAAAAGCAGACATCCTCTGAAATCAGTCCAATGCACAGATCCTCAAAAACATTGTCATACTGATGCCAAATGGAGTCAATATGAGCTATTTCTTGGGGACTGTGCTTTAGCCTGGGATGTCAATATATTCACCATGCATACTGTATTCCTCTATTAGAAGCACATTTGTGGGTGTGCAGCCAATGGAGGAATACAGTATATAACACTTGTATACCTATACCAGCAATAGAATAGCTTCAAGGTACAGCCTTGGTAATACAAAGACAAAGAGTAAAGAACCACCAGGGATATTTAATCCATCCAAAATGATTACTTTTATGTGGGCTATGCTACCTACCCTCATCATAAGACAATTCATTGTAACCTAAAATATTGTATAATATGGAAATATGAAAAAAAAGATAAAAAACATGAAAAAATAAAATTCTCTCAATGAACAAGGAAGTTCTAATGCAAATAAATATTTTCAAAATAATCTCAAAACAAAACTGAAACTAACAAATATATATGATTTGAATCTCATCAAGGTCATGCTTTTATGCTATTAAGTGTATCTTTGAATGAAATTGGATAAATCTTTATTTCTACATCTTCCTCAATATAAAACCCATGAATAAAACATTCCAAATTTGCTTCCCGTTTCTTGTAAAATGAGAAATTCTTCTGCTATCTTAGACTCTTGTGTTCAAAAGAGATCTTTTCTGAGGTTTCATGTCTACATTCAGAGCATGACAAAGCATGGCCTTGTGAGCTTTTTCTAATGTAAGGGCTCCTACAATAACAATCTCCTATTTCAATATATGTCTACTGGTGAAGTGAGAAGTGTGGGTGGTTGATACATTTATACTTTTTGGAATCGAATTAAAGAGATAAATATCGCAAAATGTTATCGTGAGCGATACTTTGCTATACTGTAAGAACCCCAATTGATGTAAACGCTTATATGATAAATCTACAGTGCATCTAAGATCTAACCATATCCATAGCAACTAATAAGAGTAGTTTTACAATCAGACAATCCAAATTCAAGTGACCACAATCATCCAATGAAATTTCCTAAATAGTCACATGACCACTGAGAAAATTCCTTGAACACAGTCACATGACCATTGGGTTGTCATGACAACCCATGTGTAAAACTCTACTAGGCTTTTATTGAGATAATTGTGTATGCTTACCAAGCAGGTTAGACTTGACAGTGATTGCCAGATGAGTGGTACCACGTAAGATCTCTAGAGCTCTGTTGTGGTGTATGTGCTGAAAGTTGTGGTTGTTCACTTCTAGAATCTGAAACGATTAGATCATAACATGAACATTATGACATTATTAATATGTGTACGTACAAGGAAAATTGCCTATGAAGAATTATAAAATTACAAATGATCAATGACTAGCTGATTGAGTTCATCAATCAATGTTCAAAGATATCATAGACTTTTGTTTCATGTATAATCTGATACTGCAATTTTTTCTTATTCCTATATTGTGCATACAAGTTATAGATGTCAGACAAACAAGGACTGATTACATTTTATATCTTTTGTATTTAGATCTAATACTTTTGATTAACAGTGTCACATAAGCCAATGCTGGCTTAGAGCTTTTTGTAGGATTGCAACTATGTAGTGTACCCTATGTAGGATATTCATGTGACACTTAAACAATATAACAATCCATATCATACAAGACTCCAACATACCTGATCCCCGCGTTTCAAGCCACACTCAGCAGCCTTTGATCCCTTATGAACCTTTGAGATGAAGAGACCCGCCCCTCTCTCTAGCCCACCTAACACAGAGAAATGTAGCACCTCATCACGTGTGGCACGTGTAAGTGTTATAGTCCGTGCCCTGGCCTTAGCTGCACAAGCTATATTCAGCAATCTCAGCTGTCCACTCATTCTCTGTAAAATGTAAAGTGTCATTTTTACTAGGTGTTTTCCATGCTTCATTGGGGTTCATTGATAATTTGGATAAAATTTATATTAATGCACATGTACAAATGTACATGGATAATTGTCAGAGTTGATCTTCTCTAAATAGAATGTATTTATGATTTATGATTACAGAACTGATATAAGAATTAGACAACAATGATATAGTAATTATTAAAGTGAAATAAAAAGTTTTGAAACAAGGCATTAACATGCAAAATGTCACCACCTGCCATTTGTTACAGATGCAGAATGCCGACCACTTGCCAACTGTGCCAAACACCAAACAATGTCCACAAAAAGTTGGAGACTATAACAATATGTCACCACTTGTGCTGGTGGTGACATAATAAATCACTGACAACTGCTCTTACCTCTCCCTCTAAAAGTTGTTCAAACTTTTCAAGAAATTCACTCATCATTGAGTCTGTTTCAAAGTCTATAAAGTGATTATTAACCCATAATAACACAACCCTGGTGACCCGATCCCGTAATCGTGGGTCATTAAACCAGGCTAATAGTCTATCTGCTATTTGTTGCGGACAAGGAATAAAAGTCCTATATGTAAGTAAAAAGTCCTCTACATATGTAGGGTCTACACTTGAATGTTCTTCCACTAAATGAGACATTAGTCGTTCTGGACTTCCCTGAAAATACAATAACATTATACTTAATTTAGCAGGTCATAAGGTTATAACAAAATGGGCAATATAGAGCGACTGTTGTTAAACAAGTAGATATTCCCACAAAATGACAAATTAGCTACATAACAGAAAAGTAATTGCACATAAAACAACTTCTAATCCGGTAACTCTGTGAATATATAGTAGAGCAAGTTTCAAGTTTTTCCAAAATGAAATAGCAGACATTATTTCTTACCCTAATTACAATATGCCCATTTCTGTTGCCACCATCGAGACTCCGATGCTCTGTTACCATGACAACCTCTCCCTCCTCCATATGTTTGCGACTGTTCTCCTCGCATTCACTGAGGATCTTGTAGTAATCATCCTGAGCAATACAGACAAACTGGCAGTCTTCACACTTGGTCCTCATTACACCTTTATGGTACATCTTCTGGGTGGTAGGAGTTATACCAAAACTGGAAAGGAGTGGGATTGAAGTATTGATTTTTAAAAGGGATGGCATATTTTAAGTATTGTTTGTTATAAAAAAAGAATGACATATTTTAAGTATTGATTGTTAAAGGAATGACATACATTACATACAAGTTAAGTTTTGTAAAAGTATTTGACTGTAAGGAATAAGATTTGAAAGAGTTTTGAAAAAGAGGATTTGCTCAACAATGTCTCTTGACAAATCGTTTATAAAACATACAGTTTTTTTTATTAAGATCAATCATAAAGATCAATAATATATGACGACCACTGTATCCATACTGCAAAAATGATCAAAATGGATTCTTATAGACACTGGGTCCAAAATTATCTAAAAATTGCAAGTTACCTATCTCCCATGTGAAGATGCTGAAAGGTACCATAGTTATCTTCAATCTCAACGGCACCATTTAGAATCACAGACCAGGAATCTAGCTCCTCTCCGTCATTCATTACGATTGTTCCCGCCTTTTCTACCACTGCAAACACCATCACGGCACACAGTGCACGTCGTGTGGCTAGAGTCATGTTAGCAAAAGCCTGCAATAGAATTATGAGACATATGTATTATTCATTTGGTTAAATTAGTATATACTATCGATTCGGCTATATAGGCTTTGATGCAAACGGTTAAGTGCGTAAACCCTGCATTGTGGAATGATTTTCATTCCTCAAAGGTGTTGTTTCCATCATTGCACGTGATACGTAGCATCGAGTGGAAAGTATGAAATGACTTAAAAGAATATATTTTCAAGGAAACTTTTTGTAAGGGTCAAGTTTTCAATGACACGACCCATTACATGTAGTCTTACATGAATATGTCCAAAGGTTCTAATACTAGGCCTACCTTAATTAATTGAGAGGGGAATCAATGTTCAAGTGCACACTGTTGTCACGTTTTCCATATCTTTTGAAGGAAATGATCTTCTTTATATCAATTTATATGATTACCATGCTTACTTGAATATTCATTTGCAACAAGGTAAGATCTATGAAAACCGGTACCAGACTAATATGTTTAATGAAAAAGCTTGTGACACACACTGAAAATGGGTTAAATATGCATCACAAGCCCAACTGAGAAATAATCCTAGGAACAACATAGAAAGGGATCTTTTTCAATGTTTGATTGGGATTATTTACACTAAAATGTACTTACAGGTAAATGTTGCATGAACTCCAGCAGAATCTCAATATCATCTTCAGTTCTGTCAGTGGGATCTTTCTCTAAACAATCCCTCACAGTGTCACGTACTATCATAGACTACAAGATGAAAATACAGTATGGCATAAATGGAAGTATTTCTAAAGGCTTCCTAGTCAACTCATACCCAAGACAACTTGTACCCAAGACAACTTGTACCTAAGACAACTCGTACCCAAGTCAACTGGTACCCAAGATAACTCGTACCCACATTTATTTTCTGTATTATGGGTGCATATAAGAAAACAAATTGAGTCTGTGTCAAAATGTTTAATGTTATAATGTGCCTCAATATTTTTTCTGAATTCAGAAGACATTTTTTCTCAATGGATTAAGCAAAGCATTTTGTTTTAACTTGGATTACCTTTGAAGTGCTTTGAAGGGCTTGTTCTCAACTTTTTTGTAATACATATATATAAATGAATATAATTACAACAGTAACTTTTCAACAAATGAATCAAACAATTAATTTAGCTTAGTGCATTCAGAGAAAATTAATAAGGGAACTTTAATCTGTTAATTTCTTTTCCATTTTGAACATAATTGGATTATATTTGAACACATGCATGCAAAGTGTATTATATCATGTATGAATAAGTATCAAAATAATATTTGATATTCATATTATTTAGAATATTTTTTATTGCTTAATTTTATGAAGGTGACTTCTTAGAATTATCATTCTTTAATCTGATAATTTTAAATCTTAAATAGATTATAAGTTAATAAGAAATAGGCGCAAGTTTTGAAAATCTTTATATTTTTGATAATACCATATTTCAAGATGAATTAGATCTGATACTTGTTCCAAACACTCATTAACATACAAAAATACCACTAATATTGTGAACAATGATTATGAATATGTGGAATAAACATAAATCTCAAAAATCACAAAAATCGATTTCTTCCAAAAACTCTTCTACATACTTCAAACTATTCTGAACTGTATGTAACCATTATAATATGTATATCTATACCCATTCCCAGCCCAACACTTGATTCAAAACAAAACATATACTTGGGTACAAGTTGTCTTGGGTACGACTTGTCTTGGGTACGACTTGACTTGGGTACGAGTTGTCTTGGGTACGAGTTGACCAGTTACCTTTCTAAAGACTTAGCTGTGATGTATTATCTCAGCAGAAGCAATCATATTTAGAGTATACATTTAGAGTACTTTAGAGTATATATTTATCATAAAATTGAAGAATTTATTAATAATATATAACCATAAACAAAAATGTTTTTTCTTGTCAAGGTTGTCCTTTTCTATTCCATTTCTCTCTAAAATTTAAACAAACTTCTTTAAACTATCCTAAGTTTGAACTTTGTGCCAATTAACTTTATTCCTTGTTCATTACACTCTCTCCTCTCTATTTGTCTTTCACAAAAACACAGGATTTCATTCTGTGTTTTCATTAACTAATGTACAAATGAGTAAAGGTGGTACTTTGAAAAGTGATCTCTTAAATTATCAAATAAAACATTTAATTGAAATATAAAGCTTCTGTATTGCCAGTAATTGATCCTAATAAATTGTATATCATAGAAACATATAAAACAAAAATAAAAGGAAAATAAGAAATTTTAGACAAGGCATTAACATGCAAAATGTCACCACCATTTGTTACAGACACCAACCGCCCATCGCCAACCACCATTGCCAACCGCCAATGCCAACCGCCAAACAGAGACCATAACAATATGTCACCACTTTTTGGTGACGACATAAAAACTAAGAAAATCTGGTAAATATTCTAAAAATGTATTACCTCTACAGATTCAGCATATCCCTCTTCATCGTCAGAGTCCACAACACTCTCTACAAGTCCGCTGAGGTCAATGTCCGCATCCTCAATAGATGAACCAATCACATCAGAGCCAGAGTAGGCGCTGGATGTATCGCTGGCCCTTGAGCCACGTTTATAGTTGAACTGCCCAGTCTGCAGATATTGCTGCTCGCTACGTTGTAACACATTTTGAACGTCCTGATGCTCCCCAGAAACCTTGAAACAAAAATGTTTTGATGAGAGGTTGTAGTCATATTGTATTTTTGATTCACATTCTACTAGCAAGCCAAGTCAAACAGTACATGATAAAATTTGAATGAACTGTTTTATTTTCTCAGATTAGCATATGAACCCCTCCCTGTGATTTATTTTCCATGTAGGAATATACTTACAGGGTCTATACTGCTTTCAGAAGGACATTTGATCCGCATTCTGCCATCAGTTTGTTCCATCATATATCTATCTAGGTTATTGGATTGTCGTTTGCTACTTGGTCGCATCAGGTGTACATCTGGATAGTCCACCTGGAAATATATGACATCACAATATATTATGACATGATATATGTTTGATATTGCAACAATTAACTTTAGAGCATAATTATATGCAGTCTTTAACCCTATAAGCTTATTCTAAATATGGTGCAATGAAAGAACAAATACATTGTATACGTGTATTATTCATGAAACAATCCTGAATTTGACCTTGTTAATTATGAAACGGACCAACTAACTACTGAATAAAGATCCAACCTCTATCTTAGGTATCTCTATTTCGAAAGACATCACTTAGAACTAGCAGGAAATTGGGCGTTATTACTCAATGCAGTTCTAAGGATAATCACATTTATAACTATGTTAAACACTCAACTAGATTGTAGCTCTATGTCAGATCTTACTTAATATATATCTAGAATGTCACCTCCAGAATATATTAGCAGACTAAGCAATTTGGAATTCCTTCTACCTAATGGATCCATTTTTCTATATACTCTTTAACATGATATCATATTTTTTAGGTTTAAAGGTTGTTATTATTATTATATTAGTCAATTCCTATTTAACATATACAACCAGGACCGAGGCAATGCATTATTGGCCCTGTTAAATACAGGGCTAATGATATCATATTGTTCTACATGTAGTTTTACATGATTCCCTGGGATCCCTGAGGTAAAGCTATAGTATGATGATGCAGTATTAAACAAATATATATTTAATGAACAATTAAATAAATATATTGAAACAAATATGTCTTATTAATATTGGTGTTATGCACGTGCAGAATTGTTACTTTCACTTTGAAACTATAGACAACACATGACACCATAGAAACACATGACATCACAGAAACACATGACATCATGAACAACATATGACATCATAAACAACATATGACATCATAAACAACACATGACATCATATATGACACACGACACCATAGACAACGCTATATCATCGATGCAATCATTTAAACCATAATGACCAGAATTGATACAAATCATGGTTATATAAAACACGGGATACTAGAGTATCCGCGTATATTGAGTATGACCGGTTCTAAGCTTACGAGTGTGACCGTATTTCTGTTCCTATAAACAGACGAGGTGAGTACTTGCTTTTTATGAACACTTTCGAACGTTTTCTTTTTATCCTACTTGGTCAATGAATGATACTTGGTATACTTATAATGCCAGGCATATCACAAGGGGCCTTAATCAAGAGAAAACGTATCAATATTAGATTGAAGCCGTAAAATCCTAGTTTCCAGTATCTTTGATCAGTTTTTGTGTAACACAACGCAACTCCGAAGAGGATGACACATCTTATGTATAATATATAGCTAGATCTACGAATTAGTCATGAATATTTTAAATAATTTAGCCTGCTCTGTCCAAATATGATACATCTTTGAATTTTTGAGAATACGAATGTCACTGGTGCCCCATTATTGGAGAATACGATTGTGAAACAATCAGTGGGCCGTGTTACACTCGTTTCCATGACATTTCACAAGCGTATCCTCTGGGAAAAGATAAATCCTTCTCTTGCTCACTCTACGGGGGATCATATAAACTGAGATTTGGAGATCTTGTTCAGGTTAGCCATAAAAAGGTTTGGGATTTGTTTTTTTCTACTGTGATATTAATGATTTGGCTCTAAGGCGAGAAATCTGTACTTTCTGATTGATATTCCATTATGAACAGTTACATTGCTAAAATAGCTCATGTTTAACATTTTTTTGTTACATTACTATTAAATACAGCATAAACTATATTCAACAAACACAATTTCAAAAAGGATAATATAGAAGTTAACCTTTATTTTCCATTTTTAAGCAGCTGTGCCTCTCATGACTTTCCAAAACAGGTCATATTCGTAGCCTAAGAACCGGTCATACTCAATATACGCGGATACTCTAGTTACCCGTGTAAAACAAAATATTTTGGAATTAGTTTTGATGATTTTGGGGAGGGGATTTTCCCGTCATATTACCTTGTATCTACTACCATATGCAATGTCAGCATTGTCTGTTATATCTGTTATACATCTCTAGGAAAATAATGTGTTATGTCAGAAATACTGATATTACAATTTCATTTTGTGACTTTATCTTAATTTCAAACATCCTGAATTTGGTGTCAAGAAAATTCCCAGATATGTAATTGAGTACCAATACAACAATTTAAAGTGAATAATCGTGCATCTTTAAAGCTGGACTTCCCTCCGAAACGCAATCTTGGGTTGTTTCGGGGGTGAACTTTATCATTTTGAGCTTAATGAAAGATTATAGAATGATGAACAAATGGGGCAAATTTTGTGTAGAAATACTTACGATAAATGTGTCATTTCAAAGATTTTTCATTGAATTTGCTTCGATCGGTGCCGGCGATATGATTTTGGAAAGGTTTCTAAATGAAGAACGTGACGTCACTTCCGAATCATAGCATTCAAAATAAGTAGCGTTTAATTACTCGAACTCTCCACAAGAACTCGGTGGTGTAGGGGTAGAATCCTCGCTAAGGACGCGGGAGGCCCGGGTTCGAATCCCGCACTTGCCTTTTTATTTTTTAACTAAATGATTGTTCTTTGATATTTCGCAGAAATTTTTTTTTTTTATTTACATAAACTTTATATTAGAGCTTGAAAATGTAAAAACAATATATGTCAACATATTGCGTTTTGGAGCGATGTGCAGGTTTAAGTTGTCAATTTGTAGTATTTGTAGTTTGGTATGCTTGTTATTTAGAACTTAATGAACATTCAAATTACATGCTTTATTAAGTTTTATGCATTTCAACAAAATGAAAAATTGGAGATGTATACTTTGTCTATCTCTGAACCAAACTTCACAGTTTTTATTTTCCAATCTTTAGGAGGCCAACTATTTAATGAAAACACAGAATGACAATACCTTTAAAGATCAGTGTTTAACGTATCTACCTATCAAACAGTTTTGAACAGATTTTGAATATGCCGCGTAAATATTTGAAAAATATCTTCCTGATTTTTGGAACAGCATATCCTATTGTGAGGTAAATTTTTACAACACAAGGAAACACTGTACATGTACATGATAATGATTTGATTATATGCAAGATGTCATACATCAGTCTGATATGGTCTATATCTAACAATGCAGAACATCCTATTGACCATAGCTCAACATGTAAATTGCCTAATAATATAAGCCTGGGGTATCTCTCATAACTCCTAATCATGATTGATTTCAGACACTTAGAACCAACCCATGCCAAAAATACGCTCTTAAATTTACGAAATTTTTTTCGAAAATTTAAAAGAAGTACACAATTTAATGATAGTTTACTCGTGTGGAAGTAAAAATTGGAGACCTTGCAATATTTTTCAAATGCGAGGAATTTGATTTTTCCAATTTTCTAACAAACTGAAAGGGAAAATGATATTAAGGGACAAGGCACACTTTAAATCATTGAATTATCGACATAAAAGAAAAACAGATCTTGAGTAGATTTGAAGCTTTAGTCAGAGCAATAAGACTGGCTGGATTAATGTATGTATATAGGACCCAATGGAGTCGTTAAGGTAACAAATATAAACCAATGTATTGTTTCACTGGACAGTAACTATAATTCAGGTTGTTCCTTTTCCTTTTGATAATGGTCATCTTATTTTGGGAAAGTTTTGTCTAATATGATGCTAAAATGGCTACATCAAAACATTGAGAAATTAGGAAAGGGCTTAATGATATAAAAAGGAAATCATAAGAGATTGTTTTGAGGGATGGTAAATTAAAGCAACTAAGAAGATATGGTCGGACATAGTAATTTGTACTATTCAAATATCAAGCGCCATTTGATACTAATATCCAAGAAATTAATGATAAATGTCATATGCAATAGAAAACGGCTTTATAATACTCTTTCTTAATAAAATTCTGAAGTGGTCAACCCACACATTAAACAGTGACCTGTATAGAATTTTTCTCATTTTACCATTAGTATCTGATGATATTAATCCCCACTGGCTTTCTAGTCTTATTTCATTTTCAATGTCAACAAATTTCCTTTATAACATATTTTAGATTAATAAAATGATTTAATCATGTTCTTGATACATCTTCCTGCTCTTAGATGATAATCAAATTATACACAAACATTCTCAACCTCCTTTGATTAACAGAGCTGACATAAAATATATCATTCCATTTTTCAATATTCCAAATATATCCAACTTAATATACTATTTTATGTACAAACTCCAATTTGTGTCCCATCTTGGCAATTTCAGCCATTTCACAAGTTAAATTCATAGAATATATTTTGATCAATACCAGCGAGATTGTACATGTATATTACTTTATGTGGAATCATCTAAATGAGAATATTCGAGATTGTACATGTATATTACTTGATGTGGAATCATCTAAATGAAAATATTTGAGTTTACATGTACAACAATTATATGATTGTTCAAAAGATTTTTAAAATGTTTGAGGATTTGTGAATAGCTGAGTTTCATATTTGGTTTCAATGTTTCACTTTCCATTCAGCATTTCCTGGTCGTATTATTGACTGTTATGCTAAGGTATCATAGATTTGGATTTTCTATGTTAACATTTAACTTATTGAGGTCCATATGCCTCTAAATCCTATGCATTTAACACTAAGGACAGACATAGAGAATAGTCTGTGACGGACCTCTATATTATGGAGGGTTGTGGAACGATATAAGCACATACCAAAGCCTTCTGTTAGCCAAGTGGTGGAACACTCAGCCAATTCCCCTCATTTACATAAATAGACTATAATGCAGAATTTTGCCTGAGATGGGAGTCGAACCTGAACAAACTTGAGACAACTTCTACAAGTGATATAAATATACAGTATTATATATGCTCTATTCCAAGCTGGATCTACCAACTGTATTCGTTTCATTTCTGATCACAAAATGAAACAGCATTTTCCCTCTTAACTAAATATTACCTCTCACACATCATGAAGTCATAACTTTTTCCAAAAACTTGTTGAAAGATCTTGCATATTAATTGTCCTGTTATCTATTTGTATGTGTTTATATTAATTGTACATATTGCAGTGATCTCCCCAGCATTAAAGCTAGTGGGCGCAGCACCCACCTGAGATTTTGAAAATAGGCTTGCACCAACCAGAAAATCCATTTGCACCTACATGTACTTGAAAATGAGAAAAATCATGAAAAATGGGCATATTTTGACCAATTTTGGTCTGAATTATGAAAATAAGAATTTTGCACCCAATTGAAAAAAATCCTGTGGAGATCACTGTATTGTAATTAATTGTAAATTATCACTAGGCCTCTAGGAAGACCAGTTTTTGTACTGATAGAGCTGTCCAGAATAAATGTAGTTTTCAAATCAAATGAAATCAACTCCCGATTACATAAAAAATGTGAGAGCATCAAATACTTGAAGGAAATAGAGTAGACTATGCATGACAAGTATGCATAATCATTGGCACGTGCATCACTTCTTTTACTTTACACTAAACACGACAATCAAGACTTGTTTTCTTGTCCCAAAATCAATTGAATTTGCCGATAATACAGAACCTGCTTAAATGCCTTGATTGGATTTGGTTAAGTAGAAAAAGATAAAGTGGGAGAAATCCACTTAAGACTGTAGATATTTGTGGGACAGAAGCAGAGTACATCTGATATTGTTAAATTAGACATCAATTCTGCTTTAGACAATACATGCTTGTGACTTTCTGAAGTGAAAGGTTCAATCTAAACTCACATTGTGAAAGTTTATCAGTAAAACTGAATGTGTCCCCAGATTTCAAGTATGACGGAATTCCTTTAACTTCCTTCTTCTTGTTCCATGAAATTCAAATTAATAGTACTGTTAGTCAATTTGGCGACCAATTTAATTTGGCGAATTGCAAATTCAACTGCTGTATTGTATTGTATTTTGTTTGTATCAAACCCACCAATCAAAGTGAGCGATACCTCTTGGGTATATTCCATTAGATTATATACATTTGTAATTTATGCAATTAACCTGGAAGATTGTCCCAGAAACCCCTCTCTGAAGGAGCCCTGTGTTCTTTAATGTGCACTTTTACATAGACACACAAGTACACAACACAGCCTTTTGAACGAGTTATGGACCACTCAGTCAAACATCCTAAAGTACCGCCATAACAATGTTGCTGTATTTGTGAAGATAAGCTTCATGAAAACTGACTTGAAATTACTTAACAAGAGATAATGTGCCTAATGATATTGAACTTATGGAGAAATCTAAAGTAAGACAAATTACTAATGAAGGAATGTCAGTTTCAGTTTTATTACCATTATCACATAACACACGCCTACAACATGAGCCCCTTAACATCAATAAAGCAATATGTCCTTTAAGCAATTCTAGACTTCTATGGGCAATAGCCATTTTGTTCTATTTTAAGAGAAATGTCGATGAACTGAAGCCACCATTAGCAAAATTCTAAATCTCTCGTATGCGACATAAGATATAAAAGACATGTAATGAATGAGATTGATGAGTGAAGATCCGAATGTTTCATTACTGTGGGGAACCTTTAACATGTAATAATCCATGACTAGGGGATCTGCTACATCAGCAACTAAATATTCCATCAATCTTAAGATATTTGTTTCTTTAAATCAAGAACAAGGTAAGCATTAAATGGGTTTGAGATTCAATATTTTTATTTAAGCTTTCAGACCACTCATATCCTTATACAAGGAGATATGTTCTGTACTTAATTAGCACTTATGAGTTTATAGCACTTTATGAACACTCATATTATTACTTAAATGAGCAGTCATTTTCACTAAATAAGCGCTCTGGTGATTTTACACTCAAGAGAGCTCATATAGTGCTTTTTTGTTACTAAACAAGCATTTGGTATATCTTCCTGTATTCTCTCCCCTTGAACCTTTATGGCTAACCCCACTGACCAAAATATCAATGGAATGGTATGAATAAATCATTTTGAAAAATGGTTAAGGACTTAAGGTTGTTTTAAGCACTGGTGCTCTGCAATACAGGTCACTTACCACTATCATCTCAGATGCTTCCAGTATAAGGCACTCATTTGGTCTTCTTGTACAGCCAGCAGTACGTTTTCCAAAACTGAAAGTAAATGAATCATATATCCATTTATATGGGAATTCAGACATTACATTATTCAAAATATTCAATTTTTCATCATTGTTTCTAGAGTTTATGATTATTTCAATTAAACTGTTTGATTTAAATGTATTAGTGACTACTTCTAAGTATTATTGTTCCTGAATGATAATTAATATTTTATTATTGATCAATTATATTTTCATAAAACATCACTAAAATAAAGCATTAGCCCTCTAAGTTTCCCACTTCCACAGATATAAAATCATGTCAGATGAAATATATGAAACTGTACCGAATATAGTACAGAAGTCAATATTATCCTTTTATTTGAATGTCACTTTATGTATTAGTATTATTCACCCTATGCAGACAGAGCCTGTGGGAAATATTGGGTGCGGCGCAAATGAGCGGAGGGTGCGGAGCTAACGGTCATTTTTGAATTTAAAATTGGGATATTTCTGAAACTAAGCCGTTTTGGGACTTCAAATATACCAAGATATGTGTATTTGACACCAAATATCAATAAAATTGTGAAAATAGTAGTGCAATTCATTTTATAGCGACGCAGTATGCCTTAAACATTTCCCGGACCTATATATTTTGAGACTATCCTTTTAATACTGCGTCCCCAGCATTCATAAAAAAATGGTGTTCAAGATACACTACCCATGCAAATTATTTTTGCATCTTGGAAGCCAGGCAGTATCTGTGTGATTTTATAAAAATTCGGAAATGTTCTTCAGATATGAGCCCCCTCTAAATATTGGGTGCGGAGCTACGTTTATGGAGCTGCTCCGCACCCAATATTTAGAGGGGGCTCATATCTGAAAATATTTCCGAATTTTTATAAAATCACACAGATACTGCCTGGCTTCCAAGATGCAAAAATAATTTGTATAGATAGTGCACCTTGAACACCATTTTTTATGAATGCTGGGGACTCAGTATTAAAAGGATAATTTCAAAATATATAGGTCTGGGAAAGGTTTAAGGCACACTGCGTCGCTATAGAATGAATTGCGCTACTATTTTCACAATTGTATTGATATTTGGTGTCAAATACACATATCTTGGTATATTTGAAGTCCCAAAACGGCTTAGTTTCAGAAATATCCCAAATTTAAATTCAAAAATAACCGTTAGCTCCGCACCCTCCGCTCATTTGCTCCGCACCCAATATTTCCCACAGGCTCTGTCTGCATAGGGTGATTATTACTGGCTTGTATATATTGCGGATTTAGTGAGTAGACTCTGAGGTTAGAACAATAGAATCCCCAACAGAATTGGATATAGGACATTAAACACATTACACTGCCCTGTTTCCCTCAAAACTGAATTACTGTATATCCAATGAGCAATTTGAATACACAAGACAAATAGTGAGAGTTTTTCCCTCATATCTTGGAAGAAATTTGAGAGATTATGAGGTTTTGAAAAAGTAAAAGACAAAATTAAATTAACCAGAAAATAAAGGGACTGCAAATGTTACATTGTAATATTCCTCCATTTCCTTTATGAGGTATAATTCTCGAGACACCATTTGATCGGGAGAGACAAGAGACAAATGAGAGTTGTTCTATGCGCCATATCTGAGTCTGCTCTCTGCAGTTCATACGATCATGCGATAGCTTTCCAGGCCTTCATTAGGTAGCACGAATCAATGCTGATTATCCCAACTACTAATCTAACTTATTTCTTATTACCCATCAGTTGAATATCCTCACATTTTCCCAGTTGTAAAAGCTCAGGGTTAAATCCCTGTATTTTATATGGATGAGTTTTCTGTATTCCGTCCTCCAGGGTCTTTTACTTGATTGATCAGGCCAGTAATGCAATACATTACATATCAACATGATATGTCGTATCAAAAATGTTGCACCAAACCCCAGAGGCAACAGGAACTATGATCACTTGAATTGTTTGAATTCTGAATGTTCAGTTACCCCTTTCATGTCAAAATATATCTGATGTGTGTATTTACTATTAGTATGCATATCAAATACAGATTAAATTGTATAATAAAGACCATTCTGATCTAGTCAGCATTACTGGCAAATAATGCACCTTCTAAAGTTGTGTCATTTCAATACACAGCATAACATTCAAAGAATTATCTTTTGGAGAATTTTTCTAATTTTCTCAGCAAAAATATCTTTTAAATAAAGGATTAATAGCCATTTTTATACTTGGAGATCCAGTACTTATAAATCAAACTAGAAAAACACAAAACTCCCATAAAATTCATCATCCCAAATTGACTATTCCATCTAGCCTTAATTTGAATGGCGACAAAAAACATGCGATTCCTATCTTGAATACATACGAGGTCTAATTTTATAGTGAAATTGGTTTTGATGAACTAGTGTCACGGTAACTTCCAGGTTTTCCTGAAATGATTGCAAGTGTCACATTTAAGACTTGATCACATTCTCTGAGGTCCTCTACAAGGCATATTGCAATGTCTACTCTAAATCTAAATCTAAGAAACAATACATACTGACTGACCCTTGATTAAACCCCATCAACAGATACGACCTCACCTCTCTGAGGTGGGATATTGCAATGTCTCCTCTTAATCTAAGAAACAAAACTGACCGCCAAGGAACAATTCTACAAACAAATGCTCTAACACAATCCAATGGGGAAATTTTCAAATCTTCGGACTGATTATGAAAAGATGAGGATTTTCGGTATCTAACCCGATCTACCACTGAATAGCTTCATATGTCCCCTTTAAAGCCGAAATGTTTTTGCATTGAAATAAAAAGATATGACCACTTTTCCCACCCTCCTTTCAAATTTTGAACGATTGTCAATAGATTTCAAATTCAAGACCACTGTCACAAAAAAAGTCAAATATTTGAAATAAACCGAATCATTTCATCATACCTTTTGTAAAATCATTAAGATAAACAAAATAAAATAGAAAGTCTGTTTATTTTCAATGGTGATTGCACTGATAAATTTTGATTTCAATCAAACATCATCCCAATTTTAAATTTCGTTTTCTGTCTTTTACCTTTTTAACAGCAACATCTGTAGAGTTATCTCCAAGTAACCCCAATCAGTGGATTAATTTCTGGGATACGTTTGAAATATTAGTTATTTTCAAAAACATCTAATTGAAATATTTCAATTATAAAGAGAGACATTATGTTTGTCTTATCACCAAATTTACAGCCTTATCAATAGAGATGAGTCAAATCCCCTTGTATTATTTCACAAAACATTTCATCTGGTATGCCCACTACCACTTATCTCTATTAAAAAAATCAGCAGCCAATCCTTTAATATTCAAGAAAGAGATGGTCAGTTGGATCAAACGATATACAAATGGTGATATTCAGAACTTTAATCAGCTGATGGGGTTGTACGTATCAAAGTACTGGCTGAATAATGTGAAACCATAAAGGGTGTCACTCTAATAACATATACATGTATATCTGTGCTACTCAGCTTGGTGGCTCAATATCCTCTCAATGGCTTAAACTCCAAAAAAATATCTTGGCAAAGTAAAGATATCCTGTGTTGTTAAGGAAATGATGTTAACTTGCAATCAACACATTAATGCAATAATACATAATTTTTCTCATTTATCAAGCCAAATATTTACTACTCAGTGATTTTTAAGAATCAATTCATTTCTCTCAAAAGCTATAATGAAAACAAAAGCTGATATGTTTTTTTTTCATTCAAGATTTGGTTCATAAGTGTTTTCCTTCTTTACATGCTGCTATAAAACTGGTGAGTAGTTTGTAGGGAATTAACATAATCCAACATTTGGGCAATAAAAATGAGGGGTTTTGCATCCAGTCAAAAATCAAAATCTACAATCTTATTGAACTAATTATGCTTTGGATTTTCAACATTATTTCAAATGACATATATGTGTTTGTTTTCTTGTTCCAAATCATGCATGCAAGGAGAATCAAAAGATTAATTGAACTTCCTTCGGCCTCATGGGGTGATATTTTCAGTAGTTAACGGTCATGTTTAAATTATATATTAAGATACATGACTTACTGTGTTCCCTGCATGTATGAAATGACTCATTTAACAAACCCCAGGTTTTCACACATGAACCCTACCTTATTCGCCCTACCTTAACTATATGGATTACTACAATAATGACGAAAGGAATAATATCTACATTTATCTTGTAACTGTAAAAACGAGCATTGCATTAGCACTTACTCAGAGGAAAAAGTTTAAAGGTAAAGTTTCAAATACATCTGTACATAACGAATCTGAAAAATGAAATCGCTCGCACAGTATGTCCTTTAACTAGTGCTATGTGAATAAGCTATGAATACTTCTCATAAAAGTCATTCCAATTGAATAGTTAATATCTCAGACAGAATTAAATGGCCTATCAAAGGAAAAGAGCTTTCTCCACCAATCATGCAAATTGTCTCTAATTACATTTAGCAAGTTGGTCAAAGGGTAGGAATACTGCAAGACACTGTCCTTAGTGAACTTTTACAGTCTCAAAGTGGGAATTCGATTAATTCGCAAATTAAACTTTCGGCCGTCAGATACCGGATTAACTTTATTCCATTCATATTTAAATGGGTTGGTCATAAAATAGTAGGTTAATCCGGTAGCTGACAGCCGAAAGTTGCATTCGCGAATACTAGCTACATATTATGAATTATAATTCCTTTTCAAATTTGTCTTTTTATTGCAGAATTATTCATTTCTGTACTGTATGTTATACTTACATGTATTTTGTATTTTACGATATATGTAAATGTTATGCTGTACTTGTAAATTATCAAATACTATCCATCATACATCAATTATACATGTATTATATTTACTACTGTATTTGTAGAATCGGTAAAATCGGTTTATTTGTTAATGAGTTAAATAGGTTTATTTGTAAAGAAAATATAATAAAGCTTTGAAATCTGAAAAAATCTGTCATTATCACTGTTAATGTAAATCCAATACCATACATGTAAACATTATACTTTACATGTAAATCTTATACCATATATGTAAATGTTTACTATTGTACATGTAAATTGTATACAACATATCCATGGTAACACATAAATAAAAATGAGCCTACCCTATTTTATTACTTTAATTGAATCCAAGAATCCACAAAAATGATATCTGCAACACGTTATTGTATAAGATGATTTCCAAAGACAGAATATGATATTAATATTTCCTAATTTGATCATACACTATATGCTACCACACTTAACCATCTTTATTATTAACGCCATTTGGTAGTAAAAGCTGAGAGTTTCCTACGTTTGTTCTGCTGTGTTCGTCTTTTAATCCAACAGGTAATTTGATCACTGAAGCATACGCGAGGAGAGTAATTTCCTCCTAACGTCTAATGCAATACTTGGGTTTGTAAATACATCCAAGGACGTCTTGATGATGTTTCTTCAGAATCATTAGTTAAATACTCTTCTTTGAACTCCAATAATGGATGGCAGTCATACTGGCATTTGTAGTATGTACGATAAGTCATTATAGGTAAAACGTGAAATTAATACTACTTCGCATTCACGATTTATTTATAAGTTGACGTCTTTTCTATAGTGTGTTAAATATCACATATTGTTTCCTTTAGAACGACTGTCCTCCTCAGTATGGAATTACGGATATGTGTCAAACTCCAAGATATCATGATATAATATTTCTGCTTCTGTATCCTATGATACCATAATTATCCCATGATGACTCCAATCCCGACTTGGGATATTCCTAATTTTATAACAATTTAGTTTTCACTTTGTATTCTACAGTCTTAATTATTTGAAACACCAAAATCAAACGAATGAACCAAGTAAGTTGTCGGTATACTGAGCCATACTGAGCATATGCTATATAGGTGATTTTGATTGTATATTAACTTAACAACAAAACTTGGCATAAGTTTTACTGTTATAGCTGACAATTATCTCAAGTATCATATCACTCTGGTCTGTATAGATAACCCTGCCAAAAATAAAACAATCATCGCATTGACATCATAACATTATCTTCGCATAGATATCATAACATTATCATCTGACTACTGTAATAACTATCAAAATTCCATAGCAAATGCTAGTCCAGTTAACATTGACACTCAGTATTCAACATACAAACCCTACATATTTTGTGTTTTAGTTTGACATGAAAAGCGCATAAATTGCAAATTAATGGATGGTTTGTCCGTAACCTTGATGCATTTTGTATAGGTTATTGGATACTCATGTTATACCATGTATTATTTATATGAAGTGGCAGATTTAGTCATGAAATCTATCCAAGTTCAAAAACATATTGACCTTATATCACTCAATAATATTATCACGAACAGTGAATAAAAATTCTAAATAAACAGAATGTACATGTGCATGTATATGTCAAAGGATGACCAGTTTTCTGTATAATGAGACCTGGGAGACTAGGAGTGTGTGATTTGAATTTCCTTTGAAAAAATAAGGATCAAAATCATATTTGAAAAATATGCCATTTCAAAACAGTGGTTAATAAAAATCTAAATGTGCAATTTAAGTATTACATACTATACCTACTTAGCAACGTGCCTATGTTTTGTACATAACATTTTATCGACAAATTAAATCCATTCGTGATAATCAGAATTTGTATCTCAATTCTGTGTCGATAAGTTCATTTACTATTTAAAAATAATCAAAATATTACATTTTTATCTCCCAATGTCTAAAATAGCCCCATATACTTGTCTATACAGCCAATTACAAAAATATCATTATCTCTCATTTTAATGATCAAAATGACAAAAGTTAATTAGACCTGTTACCATTTAACTAGTTATATCTATGATAACTTAAACACATACTAACAACAAATAGCTTCATTTTTCAATCATGAGCCTGTAAAAAATTTATCCTAAGGGAATTTTAATGATTGATAAGTGAGATGCCTATACATACATGTTGTTGTAGCTGTAAGAGTGATTAAAAATGGTGTACAAATCTACCTTGATGCCTAAAGTTGGTAAATGATTTGAGTTAAATACAAACAAGGCAGTAACATGCAAAATGTCACCACCTGTCATTTGTTAAAGACTGACCGCTGAATGCTGTTATGGATGGCGAGCACCAACCGCTGAACATCAACTGCTGCCACATAAAGTAGGAGACTATAACAATATGTCTCCACTTGTGGTGGTGACAAAAATAGAATGCCCTAGTAGAAATCAAGAAAGTTTGTATTTCATGAGATACCAGCCAAAAGTACAATGGGCAAGATTGGTAGAAATATCACAACTATTAAATAAACTACTGTACATAACCATACAATGTTACTTCCTCAATAACATTAATAGATTATCATTAAGGAACTGCATTTGAAACCAGATTGGAAATCATTTTCTAACTTTTTTAAAATACGAGAGTTTCATCTGCACAAGAAAATAAATCAGTCTTGCAAAGGGTTAATAGGGCCGCATATGCCTTTTAATAAAATTAAGGCTTATATACATGTACTTCATGAAGAATCATATATTTTTTAGTTATACGCAAGTAGGTTCGAGTTAAGCTGAAACCTCATCGTTGGTTATTGGATCCATTTGCACTCTGATCACAGACCAATATGCCATCAATACTACACCAATTTCACAGAGTTAATCGTCTTTATTAGGCAATATATTTCAACTAATAAGCATTAACATTCACTGATGCACAGGAACATCAAATGAAATGATTCCAGATGAGTAAATTTTTTCAATTTACTACTTATGAATACTCCAGGATTCTTCTGGTCTTGACATTGGACTAAATATACTGTCCCATACTTATACACGTAGCCCTAGGAATTTTACTTCTATTTAATAGAGGGTTTACTAAATAGCTTTGAAATCTCGTTGAAGTGTCGTTATAATGAGATTTTAGGATCCAACTGCCTATTCAGTCAAGTTTTCATTCCGATATCCATCACATCTCTGTCTTGCAACAAGGAAGACCTCAAGACCCGAGAAGGAAGATGGCGATACATGTTTATTCTGTTTAGACTGTAAAGCACAATGTGACATCCAAACTAAAATCTATACAAAGTTACCCCTGAGAAAATTTTCTCAATTAATATTTGTGGAATTCCCTGGTGAATAAATGTATGATCTTTAATGGAGAAAACTTCTGTTTAGACCTTATCAATAAATCTAAAAAATGTGCTAATCAGGAAAGAACAAATATTGTCAACTAGATTTGTGCGTCATTAGCCAAGACTAGGACGTAAATCAGCATATATTATTAGATTGTTTTAATTATAGTAGGAACTGTAAATCTTACGAGACATTGAACTGCTCTCTCATCCATTTATGGTAAGTTTATAGTCGGTTGTTCAATTCAAAATTTCTCACATACATTCAATTAAAATTTGATGTAGAGAGTACTTTGTATAAAAATTAGTGATTTTAAAAATAAATGTTTAGATATAGGGTCTGTTTCTCTTGATGGAGATTAACATTGTTTCAGAGGGTTAAACAATATCATATGAAGAGTATATTGTAGAAAAGACTGGTTGTGTTTTCAGGATTATAACAGCAGGATATAGAATCAATAGGTTGGGGAAGCAGGACATATCTCCCGCTGTATATCCCTGGTCTATTATTCCCGGGAAAATGTTTTTGTTCAGTGTAGAAACAGACAAATTCGTTTGAATAATTCAGTATTTGGAGGCATCCAACGATGGAAAACTATAACCATGGTATTCTCACTGAAATAAAGTTAAGAAATGGTTTTGAATATGGGGTATATCCAAAACCTCCCATAACAGTAACATAACCCTAATATAGTCTTGGGTGTTATCTATCCCATATCTATGTTAGTATGAGATACTAAAGATACATACCTGCTCCTAGGAAGGAACATTGAGCCATCTATAAACACAGACCCCGAGAGTAGAATGTACCAGCATGTACTCAGGTCACCTTGTCTGAAATATAACAATGTACAGGATGTTAAAAAATAATGCCACCCCCCCCCCTATACAGCTTAAATGTTATATGGCTTGTCATATCTCATTTGAAAGGTAATTGAATTCTGCAGTAATATGATTTAAAAAATCTTTATTGTCACAAAAATTCCCATAAGAATATTAATACAACACAGGATTTATACTATCATATAATTAAACATCCAGATTCTGGTCTCCCGTATCTATTTTGTGATTCTGTATTCATGAAAATAGGAGTAAGAAGGAGGTTTGTTGTAAGTCTAATATTGAAGGAATAAATGACAAAATAAATCTCTGAATGTGAATACATCAGTTAATAACAGCCATTCTTTAATTTCCGATAGTTATAATATACCTATGATTGGAAAAGAATAATTACGTAAATGCAATTATATATTGCAGTCTAATTACATATATAATGTTGTATATTCATGTTTGAATCATGTATATCTTATATAATATATAATAAATATGCAGGATCTTAAATCTTTATGCAGCACATGACTAAAACTAGAATGAAAAGCGGAACTCTCCTGTACAACATATAGCCTAATACTGTTATACCAGTCCTAGGAATAATCATTCATTCATTCATGATACTGACAAGTTTATTTATAGAATTAATGGCTAACATTTATCACCCTTGGTATACGCAGCTAACGAAAATTGACCGGTACAGGTCAAAAGCTGGACCGGTACGGGTTAACGGTTTTATTTGAATTTAAAATAGCCATAACTTGCTCAATATTGACTTCCTCGTGTCTAATTTGAAATATATGATGCCTCCTGATGCTTTTAAGTGCCCCAATTTTTTACAGATTTTTAAACGGACCAAAACTCTCTAAATGCGCATTTATGCTCTTTTCCTCTGAGAACGACTGTCTCATTTTCACGATAACTTTTATTAAGTACTTCTAACATATAAGATCTATTTTTCCCCATCAAGGTATGATGTAAATGACATGCTATTTACATCTTGTGAGTTTCAATGACGCGCGTTTGATTTTATAAAAAATGCCAAACTTTGTGACAAAGAATTTCATCAGCTATTGCCCCGAACTGGTCCGTCTTCTCGCTACAAGCAGATTGCCCCGAACCGGTCCGTCTTCTCGCTGCAAGTAGGATGAAATTCTTTGTCACAAAGTTTGGCATTTTTTATAAAATCAAACGCGCGTCATTCAAACTCACAAGATGTAAATAGCATGTCATTTACATCATACCTTGATGGAGAAAAATAGATCTTATATGTTAGAAGTACTAAATAAAAGTTATCGTGAAAATGAGACAGTTGTTCTCGAGAGAAAAGAGCATAAATGCGCATTTAGAGAGTTTTGGTCTGTTTAAAAATCTGTAAAAAATTGGGGTACTTAAAAGCATCGGGAGGCATAATATATTTCAAATTAGACACAAGGAAGTCAATATTGAGCAAGTTATGGCTGTTTTAAATTCAAATAAAACCGTTAACCCGTACCGGTCCAGCTTTTGACCCGTACCGGTCAATTTTCATTAGCTGCGTATACCAAGGGTGTTTATGCTGATATAAATCACTCTAAACGTGCATATCAGATAACATTATATTTTTAAGAAACCTTCTTTGTGTTGATCTAATGAAAAAACATTCCAAGGAATAAGAAATGATGAATATTATCAATCATATGTAATATACATTCCACATCCAATGATTTATGAGGGATATCACTTTTATCCATGTGTGAATATCAATTTTTCCCTTTGAGTAAAGTACAGAAAAACAAGGAAATCAGTTTGACAAGTAATTCAATTACTCCAGTTCCATTGAATCAATAAGGAACTATACCTACTACAGCATACAATGTAATCACCGAGTAAACAAGTTGATAAAAGAGTGACCACCCTAAATGCATAAAACAATGGAGGGAGGAGGGGGAATCAGTTGAATACTTGAAATTTGCCTTGTGCTTCAAGGAATTTTTGCCCAGCTCTAAAATTGGTAAAACAATACAGTATAGGAAGAATTTTGCATCTAAAATTGTAAGATTTCTACATCTGATGAAGTTTATGACAACGCCATCCTTTGGTAACATTTGCGATGAAATTCATGTCTACACTCTACATATAATATATGTGAAAAGTATTGATATCTCAAGAGCCATCTATATGAACATGAATATATCAGACTTTCTACATATTACAAAAATGTATGGATTGAACCTTCCTGTAATAGCTAAATAAATATTACATATAAAATTTGAAAACAGTCCTTTGAACTGACCTATATAATATTTGGTTGGCATCATGGAATTCATATCGCACTGCCTTACAGAGGCTTCTCAATGCAGGCTCCCTCAGACACGTCAATGCTTCCATACCATGGAGGTACGAGTAGATTATATCAAGGTCCTGGAAGTAGAAATAAAATGCGATGAAATGCTAAGAAATAAAGTTCCTGAAAGTGTATTCTAGTAAGTGGAACACCTCTAGAAATGGAAGACCTCTGTTCGTGGAACACTTTTCAGAGTCACAAGACCAACTGACTTAATGTTAAATGAATCTCTGTAAGTGGAACACATCCCAAGTGGAACACTTTTTAGAGGTACCAAATGGGTTCTACTTCGAAAGGTTTTACTTTATTTACATTTATATTAAAGTTGATATCTTTATGATACTTGAAAAATGCATTGACAAGGCATTCAAAAGAATGAAATCATTTCTGGATGTATCATAAATAAATGGTTAATGTGTTAATTGCATATGCGTACTATACATATGTGTTAATTGTATGTACATACTATATTATATTATGAGAATGTAGTGTAGTTACAATAATATGTTTTTCAGATATAATATAAAAGTAGATCAATGGTTACAAATTATTATCCTTTTGTAGTTTGTCATTTTGGAGAGACTAAATGATACCCCAAAATTTGCTATATCAATTATAACCCATGATCTCCTCTTGGAGAATTCTCTTAGTCAGAACTCAGTAATTTCAATTAAGAACACTTTAATGGGTAAATGACTGCTCCTTACAGACCAGCTACCTCATAAGTTAAGGTATGTATCACAAGGTTTGGAATGACCATGATATACCACAGGAATGTGGTACTACCTAAAATACATGTAAAGTAAACCCAACAGGTAAAATATCTGCAGTTATACAAGGAGGATTGGCTCCCAGGATCGAAGCTCAATATTATTTTTGACAAAATGACGGCTATTTGAATTCGAATTTTGAATCACAACATCTCCATATATGGGACAGAATATCGATGTTGCAATCTGGGAGCCAATCCTCCTTGGCAGTTATAATTGTAAAATATCCAAAACATGCGGTCGTTGATCAGAGCATTATTAACATGAAATAAAGTTGATACTGATTTATATAGAAACGTCAGAAAATTGGGCAGTTCTTACAAATATTAGAGATCTTGTAAGTGAAAACTATTTCAACATGAGCAGCTTACTAAGAATGTACTTTAGGTTCTTATCTTTTGTCTAGAGTAGAGTAGCCCTTGGGAAAATACCAGATTATAAGTCCTTTAACAGTCCAGATTCTCCTACAACATCAGGCACCAAAACACAAACATTCTGATATAGCTTTTATTTAAACAGAGATTTAATGAGGTGAGCTTAAAGTGTTACATGGAGGTTTTTAACTCTATAAAACCTGTGTCTGAAAAGTAACACCTTGGAAACAATCCTGACTATGAAGAGTATAGCAAATCTCAGCATAGCATTGTTAAAGTATACCAGATTTTTGTATCTAACGATGTCCAGGTCAAAGTCGTTAATTATTGATTAGACAACTTATTATCATTAGTTGTTGCTGACTATATAGTATGCAAATCCACTCCTCAGATAAATCGATGATGAGAAACCAATGAAAAAATGTAATAACAAATTGTGCTATGTAATTGAAAATGTCCTACAGAGCAATAATACTTCAGTTTATGAAACTTTTGTCAGTTCTCATAAAGAGAATATGAACGAGGAAGGCGCCAAAAATTCAACCAAATTCTCAAATAATTAGGGCACTCTCCCCTCCTAGATCCCTGCTGTATTGGTCCAAAAATATACAAAATACAGCTTTCCTCACAAAGATTCTACAATGCCATGATTCAGCACCATCAGTATATATGTGCACTAATCAGCACACCAAAGAAATGAATAGGTTCAATTAATTCAATAGATTAATTAATTAATTTCAATTCACACTTGGTTCTTGGATCGACTGTATATTCTAGAGATTTACAATACAAAGTTTCCTATTGTTTAAATTAAAGTACTGTTGCAATATAGAATCATTTAACAGGCATGAACAATGCAGTTATATCATTGATAGTATTTGATTTATACAGTCTGGCCTGAGAATAATCTATTTAATTAACACTCTAGTATTAATTAAACTTCAACTGGCTTTCAGGGGGTCTAGCCAAAGATTAAAATGTCACCTAATTCATAATACTTCATGGGATTTCTGAATTTTGATTAAACTTCTTACATCCTGGTACTTGTGATACTTTTTCAGCAATTGATTTCACTACAATGAATATTATTCTTGTTCTTGATAACTGCTCATTTGTTCCCTATTTTATTACTTCAAAATGTGACAGTTGTAATATTTTAATCAATGGGAGCCTTATCTTGGGATAGTATAACATAATTTGGGTAGGAGTTATCCAGTCCCTGTCACAGAGAGGAGGGGGATACCCTCAGCATCTTTTGGTAGACTTTTTAAATAGACAAAGGACTCATTCTGGTACCTATCGCCTCTTTCAAACTAACAATATTCTACAAAGAAACTGTCAGAATACTGATTTTAAGTCACTTTGAATACATCGTTACCCAACCACCATTCAACATGTACCTCATGAGCTAGGTCACATTACCATTTCCTGATTGCTGTAAGGTATATGTAACATCACTAAGAAAAAATAAAATGCATCATTAATTTAATGCCTAGATGTGTCTCAGTTTATTTCAATAATATAGCCTGGATATCATAATTGAATATGCAATAAGGCTATATAACTATTCCTAAGTGCAACATCAAGTTGATTTAACTTTGATCAGGTCCCAACTTATTTCAAGGTTATCAACTTATTTACATTTTGGTCTATCTTCTTCTGAGAAAATGATTTCAAAAGGTTTTTAAGGTAAAGTAGCGAATCAGATAGCCTTTTACATACAGGATTATATTCTATTTGCAGAAAAGTCCAAAATATGTTCCTCTATTCCCACCTTAATATTCATACTGAATCAATGATAGTCTTCCTTAATGATGCTCATAATATCTGACAACCTGTTAACCATTAGAATTTGAAGAAGAAAAATCTATAGTTATTTGTCCAACCCTAATAAAAGGCCAAACTGTATGCTAAATGGCATCTTGATTCAGAAGGTTTCAGTACCCTTTGCATTTGTTCAACTTCACTTCTTAAAAGAGAAATTCGTATTCACTCTTTTAGTTCACAATAAATCTCTGATCTCACGAGCCAATCAGAATTTGTCGTCGAAATACGGACGACTTTCTTTATGGTCATTTCCTATGACATCACCGCATAATTAATGAGCATGTATTTAGCACGCGTTCCTTCCACTTCGCTGATTGGTTGAGGAAGGGTCAGCGTGGTAGATTTGGAATGATTTATTACCCGGGCTGTCACAGGCTCCAATCTTTGAGGCGGGGCTGCTAAACTGTAATATAGTCTATACATATTTCAGTTGCTCCAACTTCCAACTTAAAACACTTTGGAAGTTGAAGATGGCTAAATGGTACATCCTTCTTCAAAGGACTTCATTCAAAGAAGTGAAATACCCTTGGACCAAGGATTAAATGGTGTGACTCGTCAATATTGTCCTGATTTCTGGAGCACCCTGTTGATTCAAGTGTTTAGGTAGTTCATGTACATGTACAGCCCATGTAGTTTTATCAAGTACCTTGTAAAAGGATCAGTATATGAACTTTATAAAGTACATCACTTTATTTTGGTATTGACATAAATCTAGGGACCTTTACTGGAGTTGACAGCTTACAATTGAATTGCAGATCAACTCAAAATAAGTTCAATTCTCTACCCCAGAAAGAATAAATATATCCAACGTCCTTCTTTAAGAAATTTCAAAATAGGTTTTCAAGATTTAGATTCAACAAGGAAGTTATTTAAACTTATCTTTAAGATTTAAACTGTAAACACACTAGTTCACTGAAATCCAAAATATATCTGTTTATCAATATTGCATATCACCAGGGGTCTATCAAGACACGATTGCTCACAAACGTAAGACACAATGCCAACTGACAAATTCCAAAATGTCTTCCCAAAATATAATGGTTTGTTCTGAGGATCACGATAAAGCTGCACAAGTAATAGGTACGCAACTTGTCCCATACCATCAGACAAGTTTTTAAATATCAGTTCTAATTCTCTACCAAAGCATTTTACTCATGGAATTCATGACAAAGAAGCTAAAAATGGGCCTAATTTTCAACTACTGTATAAGTTAGGCATTATTTCCAAAATAAATTTTTTGGACTACTTGTCGATTTCTAGATCAGCCCCTGGTATTTCAAAGGATAAATTACTTGATTATAGTTAGAGGTAGTTTTTCTCCAATATTCAAAGGTAACTTATTACCTACCTCTAAAATAATGTTCTACCTTACATTAATGATGGCAAGCATCCAACATTTCTAAAAATCCGTAGATGCCAATTTATCCAAGCCCTGCATGTAGTGTCAGTGTTACATGGCAGAAACACCAACACAGAATGGCAATAACAAAAGCTACATATAAAGCAATTATCAAGTCAATTAATATACTTATGTGATGCTGGATGTACCTTTTCCTCACATTCAATTTTACAATTGTGACGAAGATTTTCTGATACTTTTAACTTCATACTGAGAGTGAAAATGTCATGGTTCATTTTATTACGGTTATAAATCTAAAAGAATCAACTTTCCCCTATTATACTCCTAAACATGAATGGCATATAGATTCCATTTATCCCAGCCCCTCATGGTATCGACACAAGATATTTGTAATATCTTGTTAAAACATACTGTTCTGCTCTTGTCAAAAACATGCAATACCTCACACCTGAGGCGAGATAGTTTAGATTAGCAGTTAACCTCTTGACGCAAGTGTGTTGGTAGATATTTCCAGAAGTAACGAAACTTGAAACAATTTTTACATTACTAAGATACCTTATATTTCATGATTCTAAGTTTGACTCAATAGATGTTTTTACAGAGGCAATGTAAACATCAATGCAATAGAATCTTGAAGACAAAAATAACTACGGAATTACAAAAAAGCTTTTGGAGATTTATATGGTTCCTGGATCCTGTATGTTTAGAAATGGGAAAGTTTAGGAATGTTGATCTGTTTTTTCTCA